GGTAACGCGACGGAGAGGAGAGACAGGACTCAGGCGCGGGCAAGCCTACCGGGGGGGCAGCATCGGAGAGGCCGGGGGCGTGAGATAAGTCCAGAGCGGGCGTCGGGCCCACGGAAAGGGCGGAGGGGTTGGGCCCCCGAGGGGCAGGAACGGACGGAAGTAAGGTAGTTGACGAGCCGAGGAGGGGCGCCCCAAGTAGGGCCGGGGAAGGCAAGGAAAGCCTGCCCGGCACCGGACAGGCAAGGGGCGAGTCCTGCAGTAAGGTAGGCAACCGTAAGAGAGGGCCAGAGAAAAGGATGCGCAGAGAGAGGGGGCGCGCACCGGGTAGGCAGAAGACACAGTCGGATGAGGAGGATTCGCATAGACGAGGCGTAACAACGGCGAAGGAGGTCGCCGCTTCTGTGGAGAAGCAGAGGCTGGGTGGAGGCGAAGGTGAATGGCAAAGTAGCGACGAGCGAAGTTACCTGTGGCACGAGCCGAACTAGAGGCAACGCGGCGGAGTCTTGGGAACGAGGTAGAGAATATGAATGGTAGGTAAGAGAGTCGGCATGAGGCTGGAGGCTTACGTTTTCTGCTGTCGATGACTGCATTAGGTTATTTTCGTACTCTCTACTCGATTGCCGTGCGAGCGGCCCACCCGCCCTCCCACTAACAGCCAAATGGCTGATCGGAATTGTCTTTGAAGGGTTTGGGTACCGCGGGAGTGTGGTCGCAGACGCAATGGCCTTCCCCACAATAAGTTAGTAGTGAGTACGGATCACGCGATGACGTTTAAGCAATCCGCTGCATGATAACGTGCAACACGTGATGAAGGTAAAGGGTTTCTTTGTAGCAGTACCCGTACTTCAGAGAAGCGAGCGCGTAACGCCGCTTTATGCGTTTCACTGTTTTGTCGAGGATTAAACAGCGGCGAATCGTATTTCATGAAGTTTTCTTTCCATAAATATAGCGCTAATCTCCAGAGATTGTGAACAGCTGTGCGCGCACGTCTCATAAAACATTTGAATATATGGTCGTGTTGAAAAAATTATTTAAGCGTTAAAAATTATTCTTAAAACCGAAACTGTAGCAAAGGAACTTCCGTGCAAATTTGCGGCGTTGTTTAGCAGTAGATGCTGCAAAGAATGCGATGGGCTGTGGCTCGGCGGGCTAAAGGGGGGCTCGGCCCATTTACATTGACCACGTTTACTCCTGCCCACCCCGCACGCCCCGCCCTCCCCTTACGAAGATAACTGTTTTGGCGGGCGATTCCGTTCCGGTCACCCTGGAGCTTTCGGCCGGCACATGCGTGTTCTTGCCAGCAGAAGGACGTAGCTTTGGTGTCGTTTGGGGTTATAGCAGCAACCGCGCGCATGGGGCCAGCAAGAGAGCAGCAAAGGAGGAACAGAAGCGAGATACGTGCTGGTCAGTCAGGCTTTTGGTCTGCCTCTAGCTGCTTTGTACAAGCCTGCGTAAGCCCGTCGCTGAGATCGGGATACTATGACACATTATCAAATCGGTATCAAACTGTAGACCGTGGCCTTTGTCAGAAGATTTAGTTAATGTCTGCGATTCTACTGGCACTAAAACAGCAGAGCGGGCGTTCTGGCTGGCAAAGTGCTGATACTTACGACGTGGCGGAAGCCATCATAGGTTGAAAAGCGTCTGACGCACTACCCGATCATCGCGCTCAAGCTATTCGAACTTGTGACCTGGTTCTCCTCACAAAGCGTACCTCTGCGACATCTGTGCGGCCAAAGTTTTTAATAGGTATTTGCTGCGGCGGCTGGAATCGCTTGCAATACCTCCAGCAATTAGTGTCCCATGTTGTGTAGATAAATTACGATTACCATTACCTGTTGTCCAATCATGCCAGTCCCTATTTCCAGCAAAAGGTTGTTCTTCGAACTAGGCGGGCAGTACGAATGCAGGCGAGATTCTCATGACGGGCTGAGTCCAAGTCCGAGTCAGTAAGTCCAAAAAAGTGAAAACTCATTCAACTTAGAAATTTCTCTTCGTCAGTCCCACCGAATAACAACTTTGTCGTGACATTGCTTTGAGTTGGACCGCTGCCAAAAGGCCTTCCCATAAGTTTCAAATTAACGCATGCGACCAGGGCTGTGGTAATAAGCTGAGCCTGAAACCCTGGCGTCCAGGTCAAGGCCTCCTTGACCAATCTTTACTCACCCCTGGCTCGTGTTGAAAACCGAAGCCGTGTTTAGAAATGTGCTCTGCTGTGAATGCGAGCGATGTCCATGTGAACCCGGCGCATCCCAAAGTAGTTGCGTTCGCCGCCACCCAAGCCAACCGAAGCCGTTTACTCGCAACTCGTACATCAATTCAGCCGTGTTTTTCATCCCACGTGGGCCTTTTCCCTGCTCGTTCATGTCAGTGCAGGTAGCGTTGGGTCCCATGTACTTGACGGCCGCGGCATCCCTTCTGACGGGCAGTCAAAGTGGCTTGGGGGGCGGAATGGCAGCCCACATGGCCGCCCTCACCGTTCCCGTGCTGTGGGCTCTGTATTTGGCGGCTTTATGGCTGGAGGGAGGTGGGATTGAACCGGGAACTTCGAAGACCTTCATGATCCGCACCATCACTTTTTTAATCTTTACAAATATATAACACGGGCACACACGCACATACACACACATACACACACAGGCACACACAGGCACACACAGGCACACACAGGCACACACAGGCACACACAGGCACACACAGGCACACACAGGCACACACAGGCACACACAGGCACACACAGGCACACACAGGCACACACAGGCACACACAGGCACACACAGACACACACAGGCACACACAGGCACACACAGACACACACAGACACACACAGACACACACAGACACACACAGACACACACAGACACACACAGACACACACAGACACACACAGACACACACAGACACACACAGACACACACAGGCACACACAGGCACACACAGGCACACACACAGAGAGGCACCCCGCCTTAGCAAAAGCCCATCTTCCTTATCCACCTACCTACTACACACCTACTACACACCCTGTACTTCCCATAGAGTTCTCTCGGACTTCCGGAACAGCCCGAAAAGCAAAGAAGCGTTGATGACGTCATCCAACACCCAACACTTTGCGGGTGTTGCAAGAGAAGGACAGAGGATGTTTTGTACATGTCTGTATTTGTGCCCGAAAGGGGCCCATTGGACTGCTTGAGGTCTGCTGCTGCAGTTGCTGCCTAGATGCGTAGATGCCCAACCGCCACCCAACTCCCGTTTTCAGATGCGCGAAACACGGCACTGGCATGTGCCTGACCATTACCGTTCCCGTGAGATCGATGGATACATGTATCGATGGGTTCATCTGTCAGTCCGTGCACTCGTTCCTTGCATTCCGCACAGATCTGTAGGCATACCGATTCATCCACTCCACAATGTCATTAGGGCCCCCCCCAAAGTCATTTTCGTGCACGTTCACCGCCTGGCAACTGTTGCCTCTAACCGCATGCCCTCACGTCGGTGCAGTACGGCGGCTGTCGTACGACCCAAGGAACAGCAACAACTCGGAGTTTGGTCGAGTGGTGCAAGCTGTGCGTTACACAGGCGGTTGGCTGTCCCGGCTTTCCCTCCCCTCCACCAGCCATCGTCCTCCACCAAGGGGCTCCACAAACCCAAGCTACATGACTCATTCCACCATTACCACCACCACCACCAACATCAGAACTCCATCGCCGTCGTCGACGTCGAGATCCCCGTCCCACCCCCTTCCGGCTGCTCTGCCGCCAGCCACTCACGTGATCTCCACATCTGCAACCCAAGGCCGGCGCACCACTGCCGCCTTGGCCACCGGCATGACCACAGCACCGCATTCAGCCACGACCCTGGCCGCATTAGTGATGGTGACAGCGGCAGCGCGGCATGCGGCCCCAGCGGGGCCCGTGCCTGCACCAACAACTGCCGGTGGCACCGCCGACAGCGACCAGAAGCGCCACGCCTACGCACGTCTGCGTGAAGAGATTCGGGCACAGGTTCCTCCTGGCAACATCTTCAACACAGACATGTGCGCGGTGTGCTTTGAGGCGCTGCACTCCCACAACACGGGGCCCGATGTAGGTGACGCGAGTTCTTCGGACCCCACTTCTTCGACAGGTCGGCTACAGCAGCAGCGGCAGCAGCAGATCCGAAGCGCGTCCGGAGGATGGCGGGGTGTGAGGCAGGTGCCGCGCGAGGGGCTGGGCACGACTGGGGCCAGCAGCGGTGGTGTTGGCGGCCGCTTCGCCACGGGCTCTGCGCCAGGGCAGAACTCTTGGCCAGGGGACGAGGTAGCCACAGGCCGGGAGGAGTCTGCGCAAGGGCGGCTGGTGCTGCGGTGCGGACACTCCTTCCACGAGTGGTGCGTGCTCGAGTGGCTTTTGCGATCACCCCGATGTCCCATGTGCCGGGAGCCGGCCGTGGGTGCATCGCGCCACATAAACATGTTGTTCTGATAGCACCACACGTAGAGATGTTTTCACCCTTTCATTATTGTAATTTAAAGTCTTACGCCTAGCTGCGAGTCCAGCAGCTTCTGATTCCCCTGTTGCGGCGCTACCTGAGGGGAAGGGGTCGCTGTGGGTGTGGAACGTCCCTGACAGAGATCGTTAGGGTAAGACGCGCGGCGATGCTGGTGAGTAAGATATCTAATCGCCAGCCTACTGTGAAAAATAAATATGGATGTCGACACGCCTGGCACGCGGTGAAAAAAAGCACATACTGCATGTACCGGTGCTACTGTAAATCGATGGGGCTGCGCGGCGGTTGGCATTGTCGCTGGTCGTGTTCGGCCATGTTCTCACAAACGCCATGTTCTCACAGACACGTAGGGCTTTCCAGGACCGAATCAACGGGAAAGTGTTTTCCGAAAGGTACATACAGACCTTGGCTCGTGTCGAGGGCTCGTGCGCGCGTCATGCGTTGAGTGCAGTACAGTCGACTAGCAGTAGGCTAGTGGTGGCGGGAACGAAAGACAAAAGACTTGTTCCTATGAGGTAGTAGGATGAACGGTCCTCTGCTGTGGCTGTGCGGCTAGTGACCAACTTCGATGTTGTTCAGGCCCTCCGCCTGCAGCCCCCTGGACCTCCCAACATAGCTGTTCTGGAAATCAACGATTCACGACGCGGAGAAATATAGAGCATTGAACCATTGTAAAGGGAAAAAGCATCTTTAAGGAAGTTCTTGCATTGAACTTGTCAGCACCTTGTGGGCAGGTGGCGGAAGTCCGACAGGCAGTTAACAACGCGCGTTCGTGTTGCGTAAGTCTGCTTCTCCTTTCGTACCCTGAGAAGCTTCATCGTAGGGCGGACGGCCGGTGAATGCGGCAGCAGCCGGGAAGTATAGCCGCAGCCTAAGAAAGCGATATGTGAATAATCGCAAGGGAGCTGTTGCAGACACAAACTGTATGGAAGCGCTGACCTAAGGCAAGCCGATCGTCATCGCTATGCTCTCACTTCGAAGATTTATGTGTGACGGCATATGCACTCGCTTCCACGCACACGTTCCTTGCGATATCGTTACGTTCGCGGCGTTTCCACGCAGTTACACGGAGAATTCAAACTGGATTTGAAACCGTTCGTGCGCGCAGCACGACGGTTTCCGGTTCGGCTTTGGTATGTGCTGAGCCCCGAAACTATGCGTAAACCCTTCGAGAGGTTTGTGGCAAGCCGCGATAGTTCGCAACTATTGGCATGCACCAACGATCAGTACAATGGTGCGGAATTTAATGCATAACGCTGTTACGGAAAACCTGTCTTCGATGTCATGCAGCCTTAGGTATAGCGACGATTTTTGCACGCGAGAAATACACACTTCGATCTTGGCGGGCGTCCCGTAATGGAAAAGTCCATAAGTGTTATTGCAAACGCGAATGGCAAGCACCTGTGAACAACCAGGCAGGCCAGTGGAAGCTGCGTAAAGTGTGATGATCACATAGTAGCATACCTCGCAGGAACCTACTCAGCTAGTGGTTGTCTGTTATATGTGTTCCGTTGCTCTGCAGTAAGACCAAAAGGAATCGAAATCACTGACGGTTGCTTTTAATAAGCATCTTAGGTTTTATTATCGGGCATGGCCTGACACTTAACTCACTTGCCACCTTCTCAACATGTGACAAGCCTATGTAGCGGTTGCTTTCCAATTGGGGTTTCGGAGGCAGGCATCTGACAAATACTGCATTTTCAAGCTTTCTAATGTAGCTGGATTTCATGCTTCACCGCTTGCATTGAATCAATCTACTCCTGCCAAGACGCAGCGAGGTCGAGGTGGCGGGCGCATCTCTACCGTGGTCCAGACTTCACAGGACCGAACGCACCAAAATGGTTATTATTTGTCCCTTAACACCATAAAGTTATGCGATTTAAGCTTAACGAATGCGTCCTCTAGGAAATGGACGTTTCCCCTACCATTTAACATCGACAACGTATCACTTAAATTAACCATGGAGGTCATACCATGGCTGGCTATTGCAGCTTCCTATCGGGTGGCACGACACGGAGATCGCTGACACGAACTCTTCGCCAGGTTTGTCCGTTTTGAACACTTTCTTATTGAGTAGTAATGCCATGCAATAAACATATATCATTCTTTTGTAAAAGAAAGGGTTAGGAGTTCTACATGCTTGCAGTGCGACGAGTCCAGCACCGCTGTCAGCAAGCATGCGCGCTATCCACAATAAATGAACGCAGGATTTAGAGCACGCACTTGGCTGGCATACGTGTTCTTAAGTAGCAAAGCGCACCTGCTGTCAGCCCGTGGTAGTAGTAATACTTTCCCCACCATTGTCGGTCGCTAATAGTTCGCATTCGGCTCCCTTACTTGGAAGTCTTGGCGTGACTGTTAGAATGGAAATATCATAGTCGACATTTTGAAAGTGAAGTCCTACTCCACAAGCGCGCCAAATTTCGTGTTTCGTTTCTGTTTTTCCGTGCGCAGGCTCCGTACTGAGTCTTACTGACAAAGGTGCGCAAGGGCTGCATATTATTTGCATCTCCTTAGTGACGAGTTTTGCTGCCGTGCAATAAAAGACTTGCGCTTCTGACCCTGGAGTGGAAATACCCACGCTAAAAAAGAAGGGAGGACGAACCTGTCGACAGCACATGCCAATTTTCTTACAGCTGGTTGCACTAGCACACTGGGCACAGGGCACGCAATTTGGAATGCATGGCTTTCTGTAGGCTCGTCCCGCTCCGACTGAGGGAGACGGTTGTGCCTCAACGATGAGATCCATTTTCGTGCACGTTTTGCAGGCGCAAGCCAACCTGATTTCCTGGCCTAGGCATCGGTTCTAAGGCTATCGCTACCACCTTCTAGCACCGGCCGACATCTGCAGTGTTTGGACAACGACGTTCCAGTTACCCGGCTCTCCGCCTTCACGTCTCTTCGTGTGACGTGGAGTTTTCAAGATCCGCTTTCCTTCACCGAAGTTGACCTTCTTGTTTATAATAAAAATAAACATCTTACCTGAAGGCCATACACGCTCCCACATCCCTTTGCCTCCGCCATCTTTCCCCATTCAGCAAGTTGTCAAATCACCGGCCACTTTCACCAGGCAACATGAACCACGCCAACGGCACCGTTGCCGCGCTCGACACGCTTGCCAAGTTGAACACTGCCGGCGACTCCTGCTTCCTCTCCCGTGGCACCGACGCGATTGTTGCACCTGGTCCTTACCACCTAGCTGAAACCCCGATGGCCGGCCGCAAGCGCTGCCACTCGGAGTCCTTCCTGGTTGGCCAAACGGACGTCGCGGAATGCGTGGAATCCTTGCGCGGCAGCGGTGCTGGCAGCGGCGGCGACAGCTGCTTGCCGCCGCATGCGCATGGCCGTGATGTTACCTGCTGCATGGTGTACGACAACGCGGACTCGCATTCACACCATCAGCTTCAACAACAGCAGCACCATCACCACCACCATCAACAACAACAAAACCACCCTAACCACCCTAACCGCCTTTACCCGCAGTATCATCACCCACCTCGACACCATGCACGTCCCCACCCCCACCAACATCACCAACAGCATCATGGCCAGCACCATCAGCACCATCATCATGATCATCACAGCCCCTACGTCCACCCACATGCCAGGGAGGCTCCATTACCGCTACCACCACCACGGCCGACCCCCCAAGCTCCGCTGGCGTTGGCACCTCCCGTCTCTGGCTGGGCATCCTCACCACCCTTGGCTACCTCCACGTGGCACACAGGAGCAAGCAGCTGCTGCCAGCAGTCGTGCATGACCGCTGTAGCATATCGCGACGTTTCCAGTCCGCACCCCGTACCGCCCTCGGGGTCTATGCTACAGCAGCGTCATTCAACACCCCAAGACTCCCTATCACCCCACCCACCGGGGTCAGAGCCTTCAGAGCCCTCACCCCCTCGAGGGTGCTGCTGCCTTTTAGGCCACCAGAACTCCCTGCCTACCCAGTATTCCGGACACATCACACACGGTGACGGCGCTAGCGGGGCGAATGTCTGGCCGCCCTTGCATCCTGCACCGCCGCTGCCGCCGCCGTCACACGTCCCCCAGTGGTCTGTAGGCGAGCTCCAGCTTGATGGCGCTGCCGCGGGGCCTGGACGTCCCTGGAGCGCCCCGGGACCCGTTCAGGTCTCCACGGGCAGTTTTCCTGTTGATGGGTTGGCGGTGGGGACAGCGGTGCTAGATGACACAGATCCTCCTTCAACTCCGACCGGGGCGGCCGTCGTGGTGGCGGCGGCGGCAGCGGTGCCGCTGGGGCTGAGGTTCAGCGGCTCTTCCCCTAGCGAGCAGCCGACAGCAGCGGCCGTGACTGGATGTGGCTGCGGTGGCTGCATCAACAGCGGTGGCTTTAGCGCTGAGCGCAGCGTCTGCGCGGGAGGGGGCTGTAGCATTACTCCCTGCATTGTACGTGGATCCGGGTGCAGCGGCGCCGTTGAAGGCCACATGGCCGTGTCTGAGGTAGCAATAACCTCTCGTGACAATCCCTCAGCCCTAGCACCACCGCCGCCGCCGCCGCCGCTGCCGCCACCACCAATAGCGTCTGGCTTGCTCATACCGTTGCCGCCTGTCACCACAGGCCTGCCTGAGCCATGTTGTCAACCTGCGTTCACGTACCACTGCAACCTCCAGGCGGTGCAGCTCCGTTCTCTGAGCTTTCAGCATCAGAAGCCTCGGCCAAGTCAATCACAGCAGGCAGGCGCAGCGACGTCTGCGGTGGCAATAGAACCGCCAGCCAACGCTGGCATTGCAGGCAGTAGCACGGCACAGCAGAGTGACAGCGGGGTCAAACGTCCAGCCAGCTGTAGATCACCGACTGCTGCAAACCCGGCAGCAGCACAAGCACCACCACCACCACTACAACCACCACCACCACTACAACCAGCTACGGCAGCGGCGACGGTGTTGGGAGGAGCCACCACCGAGCCAGGAGCCGCTTCGGGTTGCTTGCACGCAAACCAGGTAAATGAGGCTATTGCCGTGTCCCCCCTTCGGTGCGGGCAGGGCTAGATACCCGTTCTGATGGGTCGACGCATTGTAGGCGGCATTGTGAAGACGGGGTCGTTGGTTGCTTAGCTGTTTTGTTGCTAGGGCAACAGCGACTGGAGTGTAAACTGTGCTGGCAGAAACCTGTTCTGGCTCCGTTCCGTTCTTTGGTTGTTTGGATGTTCAGTTTTTTGGAGGCTCCAAAGTCGCTCCTAAGTTGCTTTGGTTCATTAACGTTGTGCTTCGTGGCCCCTACTCCTTCGATCGACCCACTGACCCCACCCGGCGCATAGGATGGCGCCGTGGATGCAATGGACCACGATGCAACGCCGAGGTGGACTGCGGATGGAGCCTGGCTGCTGTCTACCAGCCTAAGAGGAGTGCCGCCAGCAACAGCACCACCACCACTACCGCCACCACCAGCACCAGCACTACCCGCCTCCGGTGCCGGCTTGGCCGTGGGAAATGCGCCGGGAATTCTTCTTCACAACAGCACGCCGACATCGTCCGGCAAGCATCAAAAGCAACACCAGCACCAACCGCTTCTGGGCAACGTAATCACGACGGGGAACAGCATTGAGTGTGGACTGCCCCCCTTGATACAATGCGGCAGCGGCGGAAAGCAGCAGCAGCAGCAGGTTGGAATAGCTGGGAATGCATCGGGTGCAGCGGTGGTGGCAGCCGCCGTGGCAGATCCCACCGCTAAGAGCTCGCCGCCACCGCCGCAACAGCCCCATCCGCCACCACAGCAGCAGCAGCAGCAGCAGCAGCACGAGAGTAATGAGCCCAAAGACATGGGCTTACTGCCGCGCCCGCCGCCGCGCCCTGCTGTCGCCCCGAACGCCGTCACGACCGGTGCGGGGCCCTTCGCGGTGGAGGCAACGGGAATCACATTCGCCGCGGCAGGCCTGGCGGGCCTTAACTTTGGTGGCGGTGCTTGCCAGGACGGCATTGGGGGTTGCTGCACCGCAGGTCAGCCGCAGAAGCAGCACCAGCAGCAGCATCGCCAGTGGGGAATGCAGGGCCCGTTCAGTGCACGGCGAGAATTAGCAAAGCCTCTCGGGCGTTTCAATGTCCATGCCGCCCGAGAAGGTGAGGCGGAGACCCCTGCACTGGCGGCGGCAGCGACAGCGGCGGCAGCGGCAGCGGCAGCGGCGCCTTGGGAAGGTTTTGCGGATGACGCCACAAGCTCCTGCAGCTCTAAGGACATGCGGGCGCGGCCCACCACCGCGGCTGCGAGTGCCGCCGCGGCGGTGAAGCCGTCTCCTGGGCGGCAGCAGCGGGACAAGGAGGGGATGCTACATGAGCAGGACAACGACGACGACGACGTGGTGCATGAAGATGAGGATGATGAAGAGGAGGACGAAGAGGACGACAAGGAGGAGCGTGAGCAGGCGGAGGTGAAGGATCAGCTTGGAGGCGGCGAGGAGCAGGACGAGCAGCAGGATGAGGATGAGGATGGGGAGGGCGAGTATGGGCAAGAATACGAGCAGAACCAGCGCCGGCGGCGCCGCGGGCAGGCGCTGTTGAGCATTGCTTTCCCGCCGCCTGGCCCCGAAATACAACAAGGCGATAGGTCATGTCTGGAAGGCGCACCCACATCCAAGCCCCAGTCTCCGGACAATGTTGTGCTACCACTGCCGCACCACTCCTCCCTCCACTGCGCATACCGCCAACTCAATCCTCACCATGTAAAGCAGCATGCCCCACACCAACCTCAGCACCAGCACCAGCACCAGCACCCCGACAGCGGCGGCGCGCAAGGGGCCGTACAGGATCTGCGGACGGTGGCGCAGCTGCCGCCGCCAGGCTGTTCCAGCGGTCGCGGGACGGCCCCATGTGAGCCTCCAAGGCTTCCCGGTTCTGGAGCTGCTGAAGTACACGGCCAGGAGGGCGGCTGGACCATGCTTAGTGAGGGCTTTGAGCCGTACAACACGGCTGAGCCAGCGCAACCTCCCTGGGCCCTCGGCTGGGCAAATTTTAGTTCGGGTGCAGGAGGGATGTCAGCAGGTGCGGCAGCGGCGGCGGCAGCGGTGCCTAGGGCCACTGACGGCGTATCCTCCGTGCAGCTGCCCCGTACGGCGACCCGGGTGGTTCAACCTAGCGACGGCGGCAGCGGGCGCGTCAGATCGTCGTACTGGGACGAGATGGAGCCGATGTACGGCAGTGCGTGTGTCTCTGACGAGCTGCCGCCTCCGCCGCCATCGTCGGTTCTCATGCCGCCAGAATACGAACGGGACGCGGCAGGAGCGGCTTTGTCCACTTCGGGGACCGTGCTTCAGCATGTTGAGCCGCCAGCAGCGGCGCCGGCACCGGTGCCGCAGCCCCCACAGCCGCAGCGGTCGGCGGAGCCGGTGTCAGCGTCAGCAGCAACGTCGTCGTACACCGCGGAGCCGTGTCAACGGTCTTTACACGCCCTTCTGCCGCCGCCGCCGCCGTCAGCGCAGCTTGCATCGCCACTGCAGCAGCAGCAGCAGCAACAACAACCTGAGCATCAGAATGAATTCCACCATGCAGCCGACAGAGCCGTACACCCCATTAGTGGCAGCTCCGCCGCTGCCGCCACCGCTGCCGCCACGGCTTCGTTTGTCCATGCGGCATCTGGGTTTGCACCCGCCCTTACCTACCCCCACGCTCCGCCGCAGCCTGTCGCTCTCTACACACCATTTGCCAACCAGTCCGACGTCTGGAGATGTGACGGCCGCGTTAAGACCCCGACACCGCCATCCCAGCAGCAGCAACAACCGCTACCACCGCAGCTGCAGCCGCCGCAGCCAGCGCCACCAAATGATTATTGTCCCAGCCACCGTTCTAGCATTAATCGCCCAGAGTGGTCGGCTCCTCTACTCCCCACGGGCTCTTTACCCAAAGCACGAGAGCAATGGCAGCGACCCGGGCCCCGTGAGCCCGCCTCCGGAGGGGAGCACGGCGCCACGGCGCCGCCGCCGTCGCCGCCGCCACCGGCAGCTGTACCTGACTGTTGTTATTGTTCCTACTGCCACGCTGGTGCCGGCTGCAAAGATGGCGGCAGCAGCGCCTGTGCTGTACATGCGTCGTACGACATCTGTACGGCTTGTTGCCACGCTGTCAGCCAGCTTGGTGAAAATCCACATCACGGACATCCTCAGCCATACCACCACCAGCAGCAAGGTGCCACACACCACCATCAACATGGAAAGGTCAGTGCCTACTGCACGAAGAAAGGAGCAGGTGAGGGCAGCACGGCGGCTGTTGACGGCGGCGACGGACGTAAGCACAGGTTGGACGTATCTGGCGGCAGCTGCGGCGGCGACGGCGGTGACGGCGACGCTGATAAGGAACTTCATAACTCTAAAATCCAACGGTCGGCGTACGGCAACGCTGACGCTGACGTGTCAGTCCTTCACGGTGTATCGCAGCAGGAACAGGCGCAATGCCACGTCAGCGGCGACACTGCCTGCGCATCTGGTATCAGGGAGCGACGAGTCTTCGGGTATGGCGCCGCAGCGCCGTACGGCACGCTGTCTCCTCGGCGCTCGCTATACGGCATTGATCCGCTCAGCGGAGCCGTGACGTCGGCGCCGCAATGGCAGCAGCCGGTTTCCCCGCCGGGCCCTGGTCGTGCACCGACGCCTGTAGGCGGCGGCGGCGCCGCCGCCAGGCCTGCCGTGTCACCACTGTACGGCACATGCTCCTGTCCCTTCTGTACTGCGCAGCTGCGGCAACAGCCATCATCTGCGATCGTGCTGGCGGGTCACACGGCGACGCCTGGGCCTGGGGTGGGCCCTGCCGCCGGGTTTGCACCCACTACAGCAGCATCTGCCTCTTCAATTACGGCTGCCGCTGCAGCCGCCGTTACCGCTGGCAGCGGGCCCGCTCCCCGCCCGCCGTGCCCCTGTGAAGTGTGCCGACGCGCCGGCGTCAGCATGTTGCCAAGCGGCACAGCACCGCCGCCGCCATCTTTGCGGCCGCCACCGCCGCCACCCGCTTCAACGGTACACCAGCCCTGCCACAGCCATTGCCAAAAGGCCAGACAGTCGCCAAACCGTGCCAGTGCCCTGACGCAGCCGCCAGCGCTGCCGCGCACTACACTCCATGCGCTTGGGGCCACGAACCTGCAGCCGGCTCCGCATTCTCCGAATCTGACGTCAACGCATCCCAACAGTACGGGAAGCTTTGCGCACGCCGCGACCAGCAGCCACATCGCGTCGCCGTTCTCCTCAGTGTCGTACCAGGTGCCGTACTCTGCGACGCACCGGCCCGAGGCAGGACGACCTCCGACCACCACCGCCGCATCGTGCAGCTGTCCTGCCTGCGTGGGTGCGCCGCCAGGGACCGCAGCCGGCGCCGCCGCGTTGAACGCCGTACCATCCGCCGACGCGGCAGCTGCCAGTATCGGCACGGATCCGCCGCAATCGCAGCCGTTGCCACCGCCGCAGCTGTACGACCACACCAACACCCAGCGCAGGCCCGCGTCGCTCGTCGCTGCGTCGTACACCACATCGGCAGCGGCGCCGCCGCCGCCGTTCCCTCCCGTCAGCTGCATCTCCCTGACACGTGGCGTATCCGCAAGTGGCGGCGGATCCACTCGGGAGCCTGACGGGAGCAACAGGCCGTCGGCGGGGGTCGCGCCGCCGCCGTGGTCAGGTTCATGGTACGACAATGCGGCGTACAATTCCAGTAACATGCCATCCGCGCAGGGGCCCGCATCGCTGCCGCATCAGCCGCCGCCGTACGCGCCCCATCATGTGCAGACATCCGTACGAGCACCGCCGCTGCCGTCGCCGGGATCATCTCGTCTGCCGTCCAGCTACTCGTCCAGTGGCCCGGGGGCTGTTGCAACCGCAATAACGGCGGCGGCGCCGTCGCAAGCTATCCCTCAGTACGGCAACCATGATGAGTCGCCTCCGGAACCGCAGCAGCGGCAGCAGCTGCTGCAACAGCCCCTGCCGCAGCCTCTCGCTCCGCACGTATGTGCTCCGGCACCAGCAACTCAGCGCGACAGCCAAGATTGCCTGCCCACCTGCCCGCCAACATGCAGGCCTACTCTTAGGGCGTCACTGTCAGTACCAGATCCATACGCGTACCAGATCCAACCTTGCCAGCAGCTACAGCTTCATGCATGCCACTCATCGCTCCCAACGACTAAAAGTGCCGCTACAGCCTCCGCTGCGGCGGGAGCGACTGTGACCGGCAACTGCACCATACCGGTCCGGCCCGGCATAGACATGCTGCAGTACGGCACAGCGTCGTACTGCGCCGCCGCTGCCTTGACGCCCCCACCGTCAGTGCTGGCACACAAGGTGAGCATGCAGCTCGATGGCAGCGCAACGAGATACGCTAGCTGTACGACGCCAAGGTGCGATCCATCGTGCAATCTGCCGTACTCCCTCTCTGCCCCGGGGTGCTACGTAGTACGGGCGCCGTTACCTGCGCTTCCGCTACTGCCACCTCTCCCACCGACGCCGCCAAGCCAGCCTACGGCTGTCGCGGCGGTTGTGGCGGCGGCAGCAGCAGGTATCGAGGGCCCAGAGGTCACACAGCACAGCCAGCTAATGTCGCAATCTGACCTGGGCCAGAGGGAGTCTCACGCACTGGCGCCGCCGCCGCCGCCGCTGCCGCACAGCAGTGGCGGTAGCGGCGATGCCATGCAATCTGATTTCACCCCGGCTGCAGCAACGGCTGCAGCAGCAGCTGCTACAACACATTCTAGCGCCGTGTGCTGTGGCTGCGGTGCTCCGCTGCCGGCGGCAGCAGCAGCTGCTACAGCCGCCGTCGCGACGGACATGGTGGGGTTCTGGCAGCCACCGCCGCTCCAGTACGGCACTGCGGCCACCGTGGCACCGAACGCGGGGCACGCCACAGCTCAGGCGGGCAGTGTACAGCAGACCGGCTTCGCACCAGGTGCAGCTGCATCAGGGGGAGCCGGCCTGATCGTGTTGGCGGGAATGTACGGCGAGTCCGTCACAGCCACAGGTAAGGCCCTTATCGTGGGCCCTTATCATACAAGGGACATGCGGTTGCCGTATTGCTATTTTACCTTTTTGTGCTTTTTCAGTGCCCGCCTGGCTCCGCCGATCGCTTATTTGGTCCAAACTCCACCCTGTGTCGCATCCGCCTGCCATCAGCCCCAGATCCACCCCCATGCCATATTCGCTGCGTCTTTTTTCTCGGCGCAGACGGCACCTGCACCGGCACCGCGCCATCGGGTTTTTGGGACCATGGGCATCTGCCAGCAGTCTGCAGCGCTCCGGCAGCACACACCGAGTACTGCGGGGGCGGTGGAGGCGGCGAGAGCCAGCCCTGGTCCCGCTGGGCTCCATCGCTTCCAGCGGCGCAGCAGCAGCACCACAACCACCTTAATCACCAGCCCCAGAATCAACAGCAACCCCAGCTGCAGCAACGAGGGCCGCCCATGCCGACGGCGGCAGGGGGGCCGGCAGCGGCGGCAGCGGCGGCAGCGGGAGGCCCGGATGCAGCCATCGGGGGCTACTCATCCTCAGATGCCGATGTCTACCGGAGCCTGCCGCAGCATCCGCAGATACCGCACATATCAACTGCTACTACCCAGATGACCCTTGGGTCGGTAGCGGCGGACGAGGAGGCGGCGATGTGGGCCGAGGACCCGATCAGTTTGCCATGGCCTCGAAGGATCGCCAGGGCGGTGTAGCTGTAGCAGTAACAGTAGTAGTGGTAGTAGCAGTGGCAGTAACAGTAGCAGTGGCAGTAACAGTAGCAGTGGCAGGGGCAGTAGCAGTGGCAATAGCAGTAGCAGTGGTAATAGCAGTAGCAATGGCAGTGGCAGTGGCAGTAGCAATGGCAGTGGCAGTAGCAGTAGCAGTGGCAGTGGCAGTGGCAGTAGCAGCCTGATTGAGTGAACGTAGAGCAAGACGCAGGTGTGCGTTCGCATGAAGAAGATGACGTATTTTCCGTACGCATTACGCACAGGTCCTGACCTAGCCTCCCCAGGGGCCCCACACCGCGCACTCGCGGTGAGGAGGCAAACCAAGCGTCAGTTGTCCACGACGGACCTGAACCAGGAATGGTCGGCGCATTAAGCAGGGAAGGAATGGAACTAGATAGCGGAATAGATGTTGGCGTTTCACAGAACGATGATGATGGTGATGGTGATGATGATGACGACGATGATGATGATGATCACGGCATTGGGAAGGCTGGATGGGAGACAGGAGGATAGGTAAGCGGGACTAAGGGAACTGGATTATAGGGAGTGAAAGCAGACGAAAGATGGGCAGAGGGGGGAAGGAGGAGGACGGATGAACTCATCCGCAAGCTGGTAGGATGCAATGAACTCGAATCTGTGTGTATATAGCTCTGGTCTGATGCCGTCTTTGTTGTCATCGTGGAAATTTCATTTGTTCTCTGGTGGTTTTTTGATGGCTCGTTAATTCGTTACTTGGCTCTGCTATTGCTGTTGCTGCTGCCGTATTATTAGTAACCTGGGCACACCGGTTTCGTTCTCATCCTCTGCGTATACGTATGTATGTATGATTGTATGTAGTACGCATGCACGAGGTGGACTGGGGCAAGGGGAGAGTATGCTGGGAGAAAAAGGCGTTGTTACGAAGCATGCATGCAGAAGCGTGGGTTATGGAGACCGGGGTGGTGTTCAGGTTGCTGAAGTGACGATGGCGCGCTGCATCTTGTTTTATGTGTCGGTGGTGAACAAAGTGGTGAGCTGGCTGTGCTCCGTGTTCTTCCATAGCCACATGCGGCGGGACGCGCTGTGTATTAGATGGATGGAAGGAGCCTAGAGTTGCGCCAAGGAAATTGGAACCTTAAGTTGCGGTACGACAGCTGTACGAATTACTGGTCAGCGTATTAGCTGCAGCATAGAGAAAGAACAACACATACTACCTTGGAGTTATGTCAATGAGACATGTGTCGTCACGGTGCTGTTGACAAATAGCAATTCAACAGAAGTTTTAGTGTGCAGAGCGAGCGAGAGAGAGAGAGAAAAAATGAACACATGGCTTACATCAAACAGGCCTGTTGAAACGGCAACAAACGCCGAGCGAGCACGTGCTTGCTTTCTATTAATGTGCATGTTGATGGTTATATATATATATATGTGTGTGTGTGTGTGCCTGTGTACGGCTGGCCGTACATTAGGGGCTTCTGCTACTCACGTGCCGACAAATGAGGTAGAAGGATACTCACAGCCTTGTTGCGTCCCTCTACGGCTTGCTGAACAAGCATCCGGGTGAGCGGGGTAACTTTTTGAGTTTTTTTTCGTTCGCGTTTCCGATGTGTATTCACGTATGTATATCGACATGTGCTTACTGCCGATGCTTACTGCCCCGTCGTCATTCATTATGTCGTCGCTTCAATCGTAAGGTTGAGGGAGATGTACATGCGCACCACCCGGGCGATATCATACACAGAGGCGTGCTTGAAAGGGATGGGAGTAATACACGCCACGCGGTAGCATACCCAGCGGAGTGTACGACACTTCCCTAAGTACACAATAGGGCGGGTCGTTTTCTAGTGAGGCTATCCTTGCTTTCGACCGCGTGATGGAAGGGGGGATAAAGGTGCAAGTGAGCCGCATGCACTTCTGGAAACCGTACGGTGACTGTGTACGAGCGTAAAAAGCAAGGGCACGGTATCTGCTTGCGGATACATGCATTCATATGTGACCATATGCGTTCATGTACATGTCGGTAATGATTGTGTGGCTATGAGGGGTTGTACGACACTTGCATGTGTCGACGGCGTTGCATGAACTGGTGGTCATGCTCTGTAGGGCTTATTACGGGATCTGACTTCCGCCGGTCGGTACCTTTCTGTATTAGTGATACTAAGCACGGGTATCTGTGGCCATCATGTTGACAGGAAAGCAACGTGCATCCACCCCATCCGTGTCACACTTCCAGTTTCTGCGCAAGCTTCAGTTTTATTCTTAAACCCGAAGTGAGCTGTCGAGACATGCCGCCTTTGCCGAAGTACTCTTCCATGAGCAATTTGCTCAAGACACGGCTCAACATGGCTCATCGGGGAAGTCTGGCTGGTGATTAAGTGGAATGGCCGGGTTGTCATGGCAGTGTGCTTTTGTACTGGGGTCTGGAGGAAGCGCTGTACGGCCAATGTACGGCAGTGCCGGTGTGCCGGCACCTGCAATGCGCGCCTCCACCACGCGCTAGCAAAGTTCGCTTTCCCTGCCAAAATGTTAACCGTGTGGGCTCGTTTTTCCTTTTCCTCTCTTGGCTCAGCCGGCCATGTCAGCTGAGCCGAGCTGGTGACTTGCAACGAGGCATGACTTCCTCAGTCGGACACGAGGAGGGGAGATTTGCACCGAACTAGCAACGAGGGCGGGCACTTCATGTGCAAGTACTGAAACGGTGGGAACGCGGCTGGGGACGGCCACAAGCGCCTTGCGTGGCGCTGCTAGCTCTACCCCCGGTCTTGCTGCTCGTCGCGAGCGCGGCAGTGCAGATGTCGCTGTGACCTGCAGTGTTGTGTTTTAACATCGTTTGGCGTCATAACTTTGCAAAGGAAACAAAACCAAGGCAGGTTGCCCCCCTATGATGAGATAACTAACATTATGCGTGTATACATTGCAACTGTGTGTGAGATGATGGCTTGGGACATCTGGCAGTTCAGGAGGAGCCCCTCTTTTTGGTCTTCTGGAGTAACTGCTGCACGCTTCCTTGCTAGGTAGTTGTGAGGCAATGTAGGTCTATCCTCAAGATCCTCACGGTCTATGCGCGTGCAGCGGTTGTTTGTTGATCGTTAGTTGGCATTCTCGTACATTCTGGATCCGGACGGGCCGTACATTCTCGATCTGACGGGCGATGCCGACGGTTTCCTTCCTTGCATGATTTCATCCCCAGGCCCAAATGGTTTCCTTGTTTATTGGAGTGGAAGACGTTCGGTATGGATTCTCAAGTTCAAGCTTTATAAAATGATCGACGCAGGCTTACCAATCTTATTTTTCTCTCTGTCTGTTTTGCTGAAGGCCATCCATGGCCTTCTTCAAAGCGTGGCGGAGAAATAACGCGCCCCAGCTGACTCCGTTAATGCCTCTCATCAACTGCTGGGGACGCTACGCACGGCCAATCGTAGACTATAAGGAGATATTTGTTAAGGGGGAAGGTCGGCGGCGAAGGGCGTTTGCCTGTTGTTGTCGACGTCGTTGCTGCGTGCATCTTGTCGTTCAGATGTAGACTGAAAGTGCCAGTAGTCGTCGGCTGTTTGGTCAAGTGTACACTTGTTTTCTGTGTGCTACTGTAGGCGGTTGCCTTGCGCTGGACAGTGGTCGGCATAGCATGCATGGCCGTTGCCGTATGGAAAAAAGGTAATTCTGTCAAGGATTCTTAGTTTGTCAATTATGACTGTGCACAGCCATGGATGGGAGGCAATTCATATGCAGCTGCACAGTAGTTTGGATGATGCGATTTCTCCTCGGACCTCGACGAGACCTACCATTGCTTTTTACATACGAGCGGGTCTAAATTCGTTTTGTGGTTGTTGTATTTTAGGTTACCGCAACCTAAACCGCACATCCTGGCCAGCCACACAAGTACATAATAGTAATATATAATATATTTCATACTCTTGTTCCCGGCTCCACAACCGGCGCGTTCAATCCAACATCTTGGCGTTTCCCATTTTGTTTCAACATTTTCATCGTACTCCGTACAAGCAAGCAAACGAATAATGGCGATACCGTGGATCGATTACCAGTGGTGCGCGTGGCACATATAGCTAACTTACATAATAACCTGTGGAGGTCGAGGATGCCCCAGCGTGAATCGTTACTGGTGTGAACTCTGACCCCAAGACTTGGGTATGCCTGCTCTGCTTCACCCCCCTGCCTAAGACTCGGGGTCGGCGGGATTACCGTTGCTTTGGGCCAGTCCCGGTATTCAAAGCAGGCCGACGCTTTGAATACAGCAGTAACATGGAATAGCGCACGCTTTAAATATGAGGATCAGTACAGTAGCCACCAGCAGAGATAAACAATGGAGCCTCAGACTAATACATATATTTCAATATGTGCCTTAAAGTGCTGTCCATGCACCGCTAAAGTTGCTATTGCGAATACGAATCAGTTAAGGCCCCTCCAAGCAGGCCCCAATCCGTCGCGAATGGCACGTAGGCCCATGATCAAGATCATGATAAATCACAAGTCGCAGATGAGACTGCAGATAAAAGTAACTCAAGGTTTCATCAATCTAAATAATGATAAAGCAACCTAAAAGCGAGTCCAAAATGTGCGATTTCAAAGTCAACCCAAATCGCGCCAAAGCACAGCACCATGCCGTGGCAGAAACTTTCGAAAAAAATACCACCATTTTGTGTCTCCGTTACATGTCATGCAACTCCTAAAGATGTAAGTTTATGAATTCTGGCGGTTGGATTAATACCCTCCTCAGAAAGGATTATCGCAAGCCCGGACAATGCATAGCAGCTGGCGTGCGTGCTCTCCTCGCAGACGCCGTATCGATGTTCGCCTTGAACATCCACAACCATTACTGCATTGCATAAAAGTACATATGACGCTAAGGAATTCAGTCCATGGAAGGGTGCGAAAAGCACGCGCTCAGAACAGTCCTAGAGTCAAAAGTCAAAAAAGGAAAAAGCCGTCCAAGATGTAAGGTCATTCTATGTGCATTACCACGCACATTACAGGACAGGCCACGTCAGGGCACTCCGGGCCTGACTGCCCTGATTGTTTGCCTGGAGCCCGTCCGTGTCTCACCTGGTCGGACCCTGCGCAATAACTAGCCGATTGCACCGCTTGAAGAGCGCGTCAATGCAGAGGCGCCCGGTCATGTAGGCCACAATCATCTTCTTCACCATTATCCTCATCATCCTCATCCTCATCCTCATCACTAGTAGGCAGCCCAGCAGCCTGTGAAGCACATCCGGTTCCCTCCCATCTTTGCCTTCCCCTCAGGAAACTGTGTTTGTTCAATCCAAACCCTGGTCAAACATTCAAACCCTGGTCAAACGTCCAAACCCTGGTCAAAACATTCAAACCCTGGTCAAACATCCAAACCCTGGTCAAACATCCCAAAGAGAATGAGGAGCCCTGGCAACCAGCAGCGGGTGCGCCAACGAGACCACCTGGAAATGGACGAACTGCCATAGTCTCAGCTAACACACGGTAAACACGTACGACAATGAGTCATTAATTCCAAACGGACCAACTAACCTGCCAACTGTCTCCCGGCAAGGGGAAGGGATAGGCCGCCGCCGTCGAAAGGCCGGGAGCACGGCGGCGGTTGGCGCAGTGTGGTCGACGTGGGAGCCCTTTACATGTCCCCAAACATCGATCTTCTAACCGCGTCCTGGGTCGTTACCACCACCAACGAAAAGATGCATCCCCCGGCGAGGGTGGTACGGCACACATGGACTCCAACGCACATGTTACCCCTATAGGCGGTGTTTCCTCCTAAAACTACGTACATATGGATGCACACGGGCTTGCACACGCAAGTCTGTTGCCTGTTGTTGGTATTTGTCCTCAAAAACACAGCCACAACAACAACAACAAGCGGGGCGCGGCTTTTCACCTCTGCCGTACGTGTACGACAAGGGAGCTGCATCTGTTTTTGTTCAGTCCATGTTGTGCTCAGTCCTTTTTGTCCAGTTTGCTTCTTAAAAGTCCACGATGCTCGCTTGGTAAGCAGCGCACAGCCAAGTTACGGTATTCAAGACACACATATATGCTCGGCACCGCACGGTACGGCACTAGACGGTACGACATGCAACGCAACACACGGCGCACAATGGGCCCTTCCACCACCCCGCATCCGTAGGGTCAACGGCACCCTTAGTTCAAACGACCGAAGCAGCAGCAGCATAAGCAATAGCAGTAGCCGCAAGTATCAGCAGCTGTAGCTGTGGCGGCAATAGCAACACTATTAATCAGTAGCAGCAGCAGCAGTAGCAGCAATAGCAGCAGCAACAAAGCACTGTCTACCACACCACAACGACCACCGCGACTCCAGTACGGAAAGACACAAACACGCACATATACACACATACACACGCACACACGGCACCCCCAAGGCGGTCCCAAATCGGTCACAAGCACCCTCCAGCCTTTACTAAGAAGGGGCCTCCGCATTCGAAAAATGCGTGTGTCGCGATTGTGCACCGCCGTTGTGTGCACGGACCTAGATAGACAGGTATTGCACCCACCATCACAACCATCAGCACCCAAACCCGAGTTGTGCCGATAGACCTAGATGACGAAACCCACGCCGTTCGGCGAGCACCCCACCCCTCCCCTCCACGCCTCCCCTCGGGCCATCCCGACGGATCCGCTGATCCTTGCTCACGCAGCAGCAGCTTGGGAGCGAGAAGAAGCCGCCGAGAAGAAACAGGGACAGCGCCAAGAACACCCAGGCGGGGACCCCTTCCCAAAAATGGGGATTAGGAACTCTCACCTCAAGCAGTAAACGTGTACACGTCGATAGCTGTAAGGTCATGGACGGTGATCTTGTTTTTTAATGTAATATGTATGGGGCGGACGTGAGTTTTGCGGCGGTAATTGACTTGCGGCAGAGTCTCTCAAAAAGAATGTTGTACCGCACCCATTCGCAGCACACCCGCGCGTGCACGTCACGCATGTAAAATATTCTTGTATGTTATGCTTGTATGTGTATGTAAGTATGCATGTATATCACGACTCGTTTTCGTTTAGCCTGACACGGCTTTTCCTGCAGGGCCATTTACTATAGTTCGAGGCCCTACATATAACATATTTTTACGGGCCGGTGCACGACGGCGTGTGTGGCTTGTATTGAGGGTGTCTTACGGAGCGGGTTTTAGGGTGGTGGGGAATCTCACGATGTTGGGCTCTTAACCGCTAACCGCTAACCGCCCAACGGAATACCCCCACCACTACCACTCCCATTACCGCAACGACCAGCCACCAACAACAACGACTATAAAAAAGAACTGGCAAAGCTATCAACGGCAGCAACAATCGCACGGTCACAAAACAACGTCACCAGCAGTATCAACAGTATACGTGGTATTTCATCGCTGCTGCAGCCGTCAGAAACTACATTGCAACATTATCATCATCATCATCATCATCATCATCAACAACATCAACAACAACGAGAAAACCAGGGAAAAGGAGGTCCACCCACATCATATCGCTCATGCACGCACCCGGACATCACCCACCCGACTTCCTCACGTGCACACTGGACCACACGCACAGGCATCACATCGCTACTTAGCTTTTACAGCCAAAGCTACTTAACTTTGCCACAACGCCGCAACGCGCCCCTAATGCACAAAATATTCTTCCACCCCCATCCCCCCCAGTTACCCACCGTACAACATGAACATCAGTACCCCCTGTACTCTCGCTCGTACAGCACACGCATAACGGCGATGGTGTGCATGATGCCAGCAGATTTTGTGCCGTACTGAGATTTGACTGGCTGGTTCACACAGCCCTCTGGCAAGCGTCAAACTTCCTTTTGATATTGGACGTTGAGAAACGAATTTATACCTCCGGATGATGCATCAGGGCCAGCGCCAGGGAGGGCGCCGCTAAGAAGCCGCCGGAAGCCGCATCATCTTAAAAAACACAATCGCATCGGACGGACCCACGGGTCGCACCCGGCAGCCACGGTGGCCCTCTCTCTTCCGGTGGAGCTGTTAGCCGGTCTTACAACACGAGACATCTCCTCGTCCTCCCTTAACCACACCTGCCGTACACGCAAAGCGGATGAAGCCTACGGAGCACCCGCACGTTGCAGGCAGGGCCACAGCCAGGCAGGTGCCAAACTGGCACCCAGCCCCAGCCCCTGAGCTCAATGTACGGCAGCGGTGGCGGCGACGCCCGTACCTTCGGGCCCCGCCACTGCCGGTATGATCATCGCCTCCGTGGTTACAACCGCCACGCTGCCCGTCTGCGCGGCCTTGCGGCGGAAAGATTCCGGCGAGGGCCCTACGTCCACAACACAGCTCGCCAGCTCAGTGCTACGCTTTTCGGTAACCGCTGCGGCGACGGTTGTGCCGCCGCCGGCGGCGGCGGCAGCGGCGGCAGCGGCAAGAGGCTTCGTCGCCGCCGCTGCTGCCGCCGGCACAATGGCAGCGGCGGCTGCGCCGCCGCCGCTGCCAGGGCTGCGAGTGCCGAGAGCGGCAGGCGCTCCGACTGCCAGGTTGACAATGGCGTCCCCTGTGCAGCTGCTGCCGGCCATCAGCGGCAACCCAAAGGGGCCCAGCGGCGACGTCGGCATGCGGTTCCCCGGCTCAGGCTCGAGCTCCACCACTACCATAGACATCGCTGCGTCGTCTCGCTGCAATGCAGGGATTGCGGGCTCCGGAACCAATTTGGATCTAGCAGACTGGTGGTGGTGCTGCTGCGGCAGTGTCGACTGCGGCGGCGGCGGCAGGGCGAGCTGGGACGTCGCAACACCGTCGGCTGCAGTCGGGTCAACCGCTCCGCCGCCGCCGCCACCGCCGCCGCCGCGGCGGCTGTCGTTCTGGGAGCCACCCGAGCCCCGGAGCCGACGCAAAAGGCCCGGCGGCCAAGCCCAGGCAAGAAGCGCGGTGAGTCTGCCCTTGCCCTTGCCAATGCCGTTGCTTGTGCCAGCCTCACCGCCGTCGCCGCCACCGCCAGCTGCGCCGCCTTCTTGTGCTGCTCCGTCATTTCTCGCGTCCTGTTCCCCTTGGGCTTCCAGACTCGCCCTGCACACCTCGCATATCTCCAGCCCAACCATGCTGTTGTTAATGGTGGTCCAGACTTGTCCCGTTCCTGAAGGGGGTGAGAGAGGCGATGTTCGGCAGGGGTACGACAGGAGTACGGCAGGAGTACCGCAACGCACAGAGGATTCACATACAAGAAACAAAAAAACAATTTCGCCGCCGTCCCCAGAAAGGGGAAGAGAAGGTTAACGTAGAGAGAACAAACGCGATACGATGATCCCAGACAGACTGACTGACTGACAGAATGCTAGGGGACTTGTTTTCTCAGCAATAACGACTTGTTTGTGGTCGTGTGGAATATCCAGTGCTTTGAAATTCTCCATTTCCTCCCACAAGACCGAGCAGGACAGGACCTGGCTGAAGGGTTGCCTGGGAGATGGGAGGGCGCACACACGCCGCACCTATATACATACAGACGTTATCGCCATTTCCCTCAACGATAATACTGATCAAGCCCAGACCATCAATAGCACACAGACAACACAGGCTAGGTCAGAATTCCTGTCCCAGGCTCAGATAATGACGACGCACAACGGACAACACCGGCGGTGCTGCTTTTCTTTTTTTTCGTAGCCGCAGAGATGTGAGGGTGGGTGGCGCAAAACGCGCGTGGGGCTCTCCGTCAAAAAGCGCCTCAGCTTTGCGAAACACAGACAAGCAAGCACACGCGCGCGCGCGCGTGTGTGTGCACATCACCGCACACATCACGTGCGGTGATGCGGGCATTCACAAGGGGTGGGCAGAGCACACAAGATCAGTGAACCCGCGCATCCATTGACCCAAGCATCGATGAATCGTACCTGCGGGCAGCGGTAGGTGGGATGGTGGGCGGCCACCCTGGAGTTGGCGTGCTCTGGCTTTCTTGACGCGTTGTCTGTCGTACAAAATGTACGCCAGTACGAAAAGGAGGATTAGAAACAGCGATCCCACCACGATGCCGATGATGAGGCCCATCTCACGTCGTGAAATGTCGGCCATGGTCGCGGTACTGCTGTTGCTGCTGGCGCTGGTCGTGGTGCTGTTTTTGTTGCCGTGTTCTGGTGGTGCTGCTCCTGCGGCCCTTGTAGATATTCCAACCGCTGGTTGCGCTGCTTGTGCTCCTGCTTCAGCTGCAGCTGCTGTTTTTCTGGTCCCTCCTGCTGCTGCGCTGACGCAGGTGTTGCAGCCGCTTAGTGCGTGGCAACGCTACCGCTGCTGGTGCTGATCGCGGCACACTGGCCATTCACTGAAGGCTGCGTGTTCTGTAAGAAGCCTGAACCCGAAGTGTGCTCCCGAGCTGCGCGGCATACCGAAAAATACTTTAGAGGCGGCAGGCCTAGTCAAATGAAACCCTTAAATTATAATGTCGCACAATTGTGTTGTAATAATTGTAAACGTGCGCGCTACTGAGCAGCGCCAGTGCTGGGCGGTTACCTAAGCAGTTGGCCAAGACAGGGTTAAGGCAGCTTGAGCAGCTATTCAGGATTTGCATAGGCAATGTGATGTACATATTCTTCAACAAAATTGTAGCGTGAACTGGATGCAATTTGGAATGCACAGTTGTAACCTACACGACATCCCAACGCATCCTGTATGTGATATGGTAAAACGTTATGCATGTTGTCGGTACTGTTGCCACTAATTGCCCGCCATGGTTCGCAGTGAGACCTGAGATACCGTCAGAGCGCGGAAACTCGTAGATAGACCCGATTGTCACTACTAGGGAGCAGACCGCCCTCTATGCCAGCACAACAACGATATAACTAGACATCGCAGTATAAAGCTAACCTTGATCGGGATTGTATGCCAGGGACTTGGTCATTTGGACAGCTGAGTAGCGGACAGATGGATAGAACGATTGATGTGCAAAGTCGCTCCCCAGCGGTGTTCATCCAGGCCTGTGACTCGTAGTACGTAGATTGCGCGCCGTCTCTCTTGTTGGGTCCGGAAATCGCATTTCAAAATACGACCTCGCAGTGCATGCGCGCCCCCAATACCTTTTCCATCGAGGTATAAATTTCAGACGTGAAACTTAACGCGAGTAAGAGCTTGGGACGTGAACCGCCCACCTTTCTCCCCGTACAGTTGTTTGCTTACACGGAATGTTGACCCTTTCATGTTTCCACCTTCATATCACTAGGTTGCGTTGTGTGATGATGGTGAGGATTCGTCAGGGGTGCCATGATTGGAAGCGTCACTGAAGCGTGAGAGAGCTCCACAGAAAAGCAGCATGCACGGTCCCGCTTCTCTTCATGGCTTATATAACTTTTAATAAGGAGTAAGAGGATATACTGCCCTCTGATCAATTTTGGTTCAAACTTGAGCATATTGGGTAGGCGTTCAATAGATTGCGCGTTTGGTGACTTGTAAGCCATGGCGGTGAGCACATCAGTTCTATGCACAATTACAAACAGTACAGCTACCAATACCGTTCTGCCATGCTCAACTTGGAGGAGCCTATGCAAACAGTCCCAGTTGTCATCCCTGCAGATGTCTCTATGAGCAGCGCGCCACCTCCAGATTCTGCGGACCGACATGGCCCTATTGTAAGACTGGTCTGGGAAAGATATAGCTTGAATATTCATCAAACCTGCTGTCCACGGCTAATTCCGCGCTCCTTCTCCCGCTCCCGCCCGCCGGCTCTCCCCCAAACCCCCCATGCAGCCTTGGTGGATGCCGAATGAACCTACTGCCGAACGCATAGGAGTATTCTCTGCGCTCTGCCTGTCGGTGCTCCTTGGAGCTGCCGTGGGGTTATATGCCATGTACCGGTTGCAAAAATGGCTCAAGCGCGGCCGCGACGCCGTGCTCGAAGAGCCCAACACGGCAGCGGACCTCAAATGCGGGGACGCGTCGTACATTTGCAAACCGGGGGCCGCCAGTATTGCGCCCTGTTGTCGGAACAGTCAACCGCCTGCGGCCGCAACAGCGGCAGGGCTTGCGCCTTGGCCCAGCCTCAAGCACGGTGGTCCGTACAACGTAGCCGCAGGTACGGGGGCCCCCATAGTTATTAAGCATTGCTCCGTGCGGCGGCAGTCCGCGGGTTGACCGTACCGGGAACGCTACTAGCATGAGATGAGAGACCTAAACAGGGAAGTTTTGCGGACGAACCTGGTGCATGCGTGGTCATCGCTCCATGCATGCTCAATTGGCAAAGAACCTGGCCAAACTGGATCCTTTCACCTTTTGGATCATGACGTGTCAACATTTCATAATACCATAAGAGAGTGTACCGCTGCAACCTGCAACGACGTGCCAACTACATAGCAACCGCAAACCAACTGCACATCAACTGCAAACCGATGTACAGCTATCATGCAATGATGTATCTCATACAAAGGTATACAATTCACGGTAGACTACCTGGGTTTTTACCACGACATCGCAAAAGGATTCCCTTCTGTCGACTCATGAACGATACACTAATCGCGATACACGCATTGTCCCGTGCGCCGTGCGTTGTGGCGTCGTGTAAAAACCCCGTAATTCGCATGTCTCACAACAATCCTAAATCCAATACCTTGCCATCCCCCCATCGTGCACGAACCAGCAGGCGCTGGGGTCCTGCCCATGCTCGACACCGCTGCCAACAGCATCGGAGCTGCACGGCATCCACTTCCTGCAGCCCCAACACGGACAGCAGGAGCGCAAGGCAAGGGCTCACCCTCCGGAAGTAGCAGCAGCGGCAGTGATGCTGCCACCGCCACCGCCAGCCCCGCCTCATCTTCTCCGTCACCGCCTCGCGACGACGACGATAACGACTATCCTCAGGAGCCGCTCAGCCCTCATGGCAGTCGTCATGACTCGTCCCGCAGCTTCACTGCTGGGGATGGCTTCCCAGGGCCGGATGGCCCCGGGAAGGCAGTCAGGCGGGTGCTAGAGACCGGGCCGGAACCGGCCGACGGAGATGGTGACGGCCGTGGAGGGGACTGCAGCGACAGCAGCCGTTATGTTGCGATGAACAGCGTTGGGACTGGGCTGGCAGTAGCACTAGCAGGAGGGCCCGGAGCTACAGCCGGACCCGGATCCAGGGAGTTCGGGATTCCATCCTCGGCGCGAGTACGACCCGTTGCTGCTGCAGCCAATGAAGGGGGAGGGGTGGCGGCGCCGACGACGACGCCGGTGCCGGTGACTCCGCCGGCGAGAACGCATGCGCACATCGTAACGCCGCAGACCCCCTCATGCGCTGCGGCAACCCCAGCGGAAAGCGCCGTGTACGCAACCCGGGCTCTGTTCGAGTCATACCACGAGCGCGAAATTGAGCAGCGTTTGCTCCAAGCAGTCTTTGGTCCATGTCACCAGCCCGAGATGCCGCCAACGCAGCAGCAGCAACAACAGCAGCAGCAGCAGCAAAATTGGGGCTACGATACACGAGGTGGCCTTTGTGCTCACGCAGCAGCTCAGCTGCAGCCGTCGCCCGCGGTCAGCGGCAGAGGGACCGGCGGTGCCGCCGCCGTTGGGACGCGCTCCCTGGAGCTTACGTTGCGATGGGGTTCCGGAGCGTCTCTAGAGTCAGCGGCAGCAGCAGCAGCAACAACAACAGCTGCAGTGGGCAGCAGTAGCGCCATGGCCAACTCCTCTGCCGCCGGCCCGCTAGCGGTTGGGTGGCCGGCGGGTCATGGGGGTCTGGAGGCGGCGACGCCACTGGGGAATAACCAGCCGTCTTGGCCTCCAGCATTGAACCACAGCGGGGTTGGCGGCGGAGTGCCTGTGGCGAGCGCGCGGGATTTGTTGTTAGGCCGTGTGACACCGTTTCAGCCGTACATTTCCGGCAACTGCCGGATCCCCGTACTCCATCAGGCCGTCGTACTGACGCAGGGGTGTCCCGCCGCCTCCCTTCAACAATCACCATCGCCATCGCCGCCGCCACCAGTACTGCCCACTACGCCGCCGCATTCACAGATGACTATGCTACCTGTGCCAACCCCGCTTACGGCAGCTGCCTCAATGCCACCGCCGGCGACGACACCTATAGATGGCTCCCGCCAGTGTGCGGATTTGGCCATAGCGACAGCTTGCCTCAGCGCGCCGACGCCGGTGCCCCCGCCACGGCAGCAGGAGCAAGAGCTGACAGCGACGGCAACGTTGGCGTCTTGGCGCCCATCTCTGGCGGATCCGCAGGGCCAAGGAGCGCCGAGCGCGCCTGAGCTCCTGCCGCCGGCATCTGTACGGCAGCAGAGTAGGGAGGACAAGAAGGGCGCTGATGCAGGGCCGGTGTCGGAGCCATGCCTAGCTATAGCATCTGCACCCACGCCATCACCATCACGGGACCCGTCCAGGGAAGCTGTGCGCGAAACGCCTGCTCAGCTTCCGCCGGCAGCAGACTTCTTGCTTCATCCGCCGGCACCTGCACCGTCGCTGCCGTCGTCGTCCCCTTGGTCGCCCACCTTCCCCGGCGGCCAATCGGGCGCCGCCGCCAGGAGCAATGCAGAGGACACCGGTGGGTGCGGCGCACCGACGCAGCAAGCCGGTACCAGCACCACCGCGTCCCTTGTCCTCGGCGCCGCTCCCGCAGTAGCAGCAGTAGCAGCTACTGTGACAGGGTCGCGTATGGCAGGGGCCGCCGGCGGCGCTGGCGCCTCGACGACCGTTGCCGCCGCATCTTCTTCAACTATTCCCAACCACAGTACCGCCAGTATCGCTTCGGTGGACGGCAGCCGGTCTCGCAGCCCTGGCGGCAGCGGCGGCGGCGCCGGAGGCACCCCGGCGTACGGCACCGTCGCGGCTGTGCTCGCATGCTTGGCTGGCGAGAATGCGGCGCAGCAACAGCCGCCGCCGCCGCCCCAGCAGCAGCAGGAACAGCTAGGGCCGTTCATATCGCAGCTGCCGCCACCATTCATGCCGCCCAATCCATACCATTACCAACAGCATGATCGCCTTAATCATCCTGATCATCATCATCATCATCATCATCACCAACATGAGCAGGAAAAACAGCAGCAGCAGCTGTTTGAGCCAGGGACGCAGTTCTTGCACTTGCAGATACCGAAGGCATCTATTTTGCCGATGCCGCAGCAACCACCACAGCTTAGTACGACAGCTGAGCAGTACGGCAGCAGCGCGACCGCAGACCATTCGATTCAGCCAGCCAGGCCTACCGCAGCTGGGCCTGGCGGCCTACCGGGATCGGACCCGCCGCTTGGCGTAGGTGTCTCGGGGCCGAGGATGGGTGGCGGCCGTGGCAGCGGCGACGGCGCTGTGGACGGGCGTGCAGAGGGATGTGGTACGGACGGTTGTTCATGGCACGATGCACATGCCTTGGCGAGCGCAGCGGACTTTGCGGAAGGCCGTGGCGAAAGGTTGTGGGGGCTGCGCCGCAGTCACAGCAGCAGCCGCGGCATGAGCACCCGATGGGCTCGCAACCCAGGTATGGCGGCCACCGCGGCGGCTATAGGCACGGCAGGTATGGCGGTGTCACCCCGCGGCCCTTCCGGTTCTTTGTCGAGTGGCGATGGCGGTGGCGGTGGCGGCGGCGGTCATACTGGCGACGACGGGTCGGTGGAGGCGGTTGGATTCCTTCCGCGTAGAGGTCCTGCTCAATTGGAGGTCTGTGGTCAGGACGCGATGGGAGTCTGTGGCAAGGTAAACGTGGACAGCGGTGTCGGTGCCGATGCAGTGTTGTGCAGGAAGGCGCAGGTGGTGGCGACGCGGGGGTTGCTGGTCCCGCTGGTGCCAATGGCACCCAGGGTGTGGCCGGCGTCGGGCGCGGCTGGTGTGGAGGGACCTCTGGCTCGGAGCGTTGCGGAGCGTCTCATGACGAGCAATCCGCTGTTTAGGCGCATGGAGGGGGATTGTGGAACGCCCGAGGACAGCGGAGCTGAAGATGAATAAAGGCGTGCGGCGTGGTCTGGTGTGATGTGACGTGATGTGTTGTGTTGTGATGTGATGTGTAGGTCGGTGCCAGAAAGAGCGGCCTGGAGGACTTTTGTTTTGGCGTGTTTTGGCGTGGCGTATTTATGCCTTGTAAAATGGCTTCGCCATGATAGTTTGTTGATATCAACATTCGCGCTGTTGGTGGCATGGGAGATTGCAGCAGGGGATTTACCGCAGGGATGGATGGCTTTTGTGCGTGCTGGAGTGGTTGAAGTAGGTTTTTTTTGCTTGTGGCTTTCGCAGCGTTGGCACGTGGAGGCTTTCTTTTTGTACTATAAGTACATTGTTTTCCTACAGCAGGTGTGCCGAGGTCTGACCTTGGCATCATAGCGTTCTATATGGTTTCGGATCTTCCTTACCAACCCGGTTCATTTTCCCGTTTCTCGGCCTTTGCTTCCACTTGATTGCACTGAGGTAATGTGTGACGGATGGATAGCTGTGCGATATAGCAGCCCAGGAGAGCGGGCTTTGTTGACTCCAGCGCGTGAAGTCCCCCACATATGAGCTAATGGAGTGAAGTACAAAATCTTTTTATTTTTGCGTCTACAATGAATGGATAGAGAGCGTGCGTATGTGTGACTCGTCAGGTTTTGAGAGTCCCAAGGGACAGCGGGACCCTATTAACCACATTGGTGCTCGCACCAATAATGTTTCCACAAGGATGCAGATTCCACTCTTCGAATTCTTGTGAGCACATGACTTGGCCGTATTGGATTAAAGGGAGTAACTTTTGCTATGTAGAGATCTGTAAGTACCAATCTGGCATAGGCACGAAAGCCCTGAATACAATAATGTAAAACCAAAGTGACTTCTTTTCTATTATAGATTAAGTTGGCTTGTTGATCTGCAGTTCAGCCACCCTGAAGCTTGCAAGACTGCGTATCATTTACACCTGGCTTTCGACTTGGGAACATTAAGTTCCGAAAAGATTATGTCCCTAATAAATCCTTAGCCGATGGCGGATTGACACGGAAAGTGCATCGGCGCTGGTGAGCATCGCCGCCCTTTCAAGGGTCACTCCAGAAGGATCAACCTGAAATACCTACATGACATAGCTATTTGACATCCTAGCAGGGACTTTCATGGTGGTCGGGTCCTCTACGCACTGGCATCCGCCCCGGTCTCAGGTATAGTTTTGCCCTGCACCAATCCACGGGCTGGGGCGCTTTGCACTATAGTTCTTGTGACAATATCTATGCAAAGCCGATTTTAGATCTGCCATCCTTATCGACAGGCTATCTCGCGAGGGCCGTCTCAATTTTCGTTTGCGCATCCTGGTTCCCACCATGCGCTAAATCTGGTGGCTCCAACGCATGATGGAGCAGCAGGGATCTCAAACACGTGTTCTGCACGGCAGGCCCCGGAGCCTGCTCGGCAGCATCTGGGCTACCCGTTACCGACAGTGAACCGGCGGTCTGCCACTTCTGTCTCTCTGGAAAGGGCGCCAGGCGATGCAGCCAAACCTCGGGATTGCGCGCAAGCGGCAAGCGAGTGCCGGGCTGAGACGACAGCTTCCCCCCGCAGCCACGGACACGGACCCAAATCATCATCGCACACCGTTCCCGACCCCGCAGCGTTGACAAGCTGGATTAAATCATCACGCAACGTCCCGCGCCTTCAGCGGCTTGTCCGGCAATATGGAAACCAGATGAATCATATCCACGTGAGCGCGGTGCTCACGCACTTGTCACAGCTGGCCTCAGTTGACGCTTCTGTTGCATCTGCACTTGCGGCCGCTGCCCACCCCAGCGCCACGCCGGCTCTGCACCCAAACCATGGGGCTCTCAACCCAAGCGAACTTCCCAACACGTCACCGGACTCGCGGCACCCGGAGAGCAGCATTTCGAGTGGTCGGAGTCGGGCTTCATCCCCGCGACTCGAGGGCATCCCCGCGGAATGCCATGCAGATGCCGTCACGACAGGGGCTGTCAGCGGTCCGGCCGTTGACGGCATGGGCGAAGACCCTGCTTGCGTACGTGAACTGCTGCGCGTTCTGCTCACCCTATTTTACGAGCAATTGCCGTCCTTCGAGCCGCGACAGCTGGCCAACACGGCGTGGGCGCTGGGTAAGTGGCCAGCGGGGCTGGCGGGCCGCGACGACGCGCTCGTTGCCGTACTGGACGCGTCAATGCCGCTGCTGCCTCACTTCGGAGCCCAAGAGCTTTCCAACCTGCTACACGGCTGGGCGTCGTGTGTATCCTCCTCACGTGCGGGTGCTGCCGCAATCACCACCACCACCACCGGCGGCGGCAACGGCAACCGCAACGGCAACGACGATGGGGGCAATAGCACAGCCTCAGTCCCTGCCGCAGCCCCAGCTCCGTTACGCAACAGATCCCCCACCGGTCCACCTCCTGTGCCTCCGGTTAATAAGCCTCTTTCGCCACTGGGACCCCAGCAGGAGCGCCGGGGGCCTTCGACGCCCGAGTTCCCAGTGACCCAGTTTGAGCCGCAGCGGTTCCTAGAGGCCCACTGCCGCGCATGTGCGCACCAGCTGAGGCGGGGTCGGTTCAAGATGCAGGAGCTGTCGAACTTGTTGTGGTCCTGGGGTGTGCTGCTCGGCGTCGGAGCTGGAGGCGCGGAGGCAGGGCCGGGCGGGGCGGGGCCCAAGAGAAGCAATAGCAGCAGCAGCAACAACAACGGCGGCGGCGGCGGCGGCAGATCCTCGTCTTGGATCCCTGGTTTTCTGAGAAGCGGGGAGGGGGTTGTCGGTAGAGGGCAGCCATCTGATGGGCCGAAGGCGATAGCGGCGGCGGCGGCCGGGGGCAGGGACGTCGCAGCGGTGCCGTACCTGGAGCTGCTGACGGCCCAGCTGCAGCTGGGCATGTCGTCGGCGGGTCCCCAGGAACTGGCCAACAGCATGCTAAGCCTGGCTCGGCTGCAGGTGAGGCTTTCATGCACTTTCTCGCGGCGACGCTGGGCCATATGCTGTGTGCCAGCGTACATTCGGGGCCGAATTGCGCCGTGTCATTGTTATTGAGGCGTGCTAATTGATGCTGCCCTAGATTTGATGTGTTCGTGGTGCCAGTCGACGTGCGTGCGCGATCAGTGCTCCCTGCGGCTAGGCCCTGGGCGTGTGCCGCCAACATGCGTGGTCAGCCGCAGCCGACTCATGTCGTGCCGGTCAGCCTGTTCTGGACTGAGGCAGCGATGTTTTGTTGTCGCCACTTCTGTCCCGCCTTGTGACGTTAGGTGTTGTCCCTTTCCTCGGAGGCTGGACGCTTTTCTCCCCACCCCGACCGCCCCGGCGTCTTGGACACCTAGATGGATCCTGCAATGGACCATTGCAACCTCGCGAGGCTCTTTTTTAATTTGTCTTTTACATTTTACATTTTGCTCTCCCCCGCCTTTCCCCGTTCCAATATTGTGTCATGTGTCGCACTACATCTCCCTTGTTGCCTATGCGTCCAAATTGCTGTCCTCTCGTCTCCCCCATCATGTCTCGCAGGTGCTGCCTCCCCTGGAGTGGTTGGAGGCGTTTCTTCAGGCCTCACGCGGACACCTGTTGGCGGATCTCAGCCAACAAGCAGTCCCCGGAAGCTGTAACGACGGTTCCAACGGCGCCAGCGGCAGCGCTGTTGACTCGCGCTCCGACTTTCCCCCGTCGCGGCAACGGCTGATGCCGCCGCCGTCGCGACTGACCCACGGGTCAGCAGCCGCTGCCCGCGTCGGCTTTAGCCCTCAGGAGCTTTCCAACCTGCTGTGGGGTTGTAGCAAACTCCACTTACGGCTGCCACCGGCCTACCTGGACGACGTGGCGCCCGCACTGGAGCGGTGTCTGCCGCTGATGACGCTGCCGGAGAGAGTCAACGTGCTGTGGGCCCTGGCCTGGCAGGCTAAGCTGGGCGTCGGGGACCACTGGGGTCCTGCCCTGTGGAACGCAGCGGCGGTGGCGGAAGAGCCGGCGGAAGCTGCAGCAGGGGCCCCCGGGCCCTATTGCACCCCGGGCGGCGGTCCTGACAGAGAGCGCGTGCATGGGACAGCAGGCGCCGCACACGATCGGGGCGTCGCGGCGTGTGGGTGGGAAGGCAGCTCGGCAGGGAGCAGGACGGAGGCCCAGGTGCCGGAGTGGGTGCGCCGGCAAGGCGCCGGCCGGGAGATTGAGCGAGGGAAGGCTGTCCTCGCTGCACTGGCTGCGGCAGAGGCGACGGCGGAGGATGACGGAGGAGGGGCAAATGACGGGGAGTTGCTCCAGGGGGTGGTGGCTGGTGCGGCGGGTCTTGGGTTCGGAGCTGGACGACCAGCTACTGCTAGGTATGGCGACGTTGGGGAAAGGCTGGATGGGCGCGGAGCTCCGACTGCGGACGTCGGGTCGCAGTGCGGCAGTCCGGAAGAAGAAGCGCGTGGCGATGTGGATGATGGCGATGAGTCGCTTGAGCTCGAAATGGACCAGCGGCGGCGGGACGTTGCGGCCGCAACAGGGGCTGGCGGCAGCAGCAGCACTGCCGTGGTGGCGGCTGCAGCAGCGGCCTCGGCGGCCACCGGAGCGCCCGTGGACCAGGATGAGGCCATAGGATTGCTTCTGGGCCCCCGGACGGAGAACTCAACAATGCTCCGAAACCCCCTGCGGCCGCCGCCGCCGCCACCATTGCCGGACCTCGATGCAGCCCAGCGCCAGCGGGCGCATCCTGCTGGCGGGCACCAGCCGCAGGCGGGGGAGAAGACTGATTCGAATCCGAAGCGCGACGTTGACGTCGTGAATCAACCTATTTCTCATGAGTCCAATACCCAGTACCACTTGCTGCACCAGCAGCAACACCACCACCACCACAGGCAACAGCAGCAGCAGCAGCAGCGGAAGGGTGAGCTGTTGCCATCTGGACCATCGACATGGGGAAGAGGGGAGAAGGACTTGCCGCTTGCGCGTGTGCATGATTTGGCAGCGGCGGAACAAGATCCATTGCCGTACAGGTCGGGAGCTGCGCACTACACTGGTGAACCCCCCTCTGGATCAGCCGGTGCGTCGCTGGTACGACGTGTCGTTCTTGCCGTACTGGATCCCCTGCGCCGCGCCCCGGACGCCTCGGCGGCCCAGGACGTGTCAGTGGCGCTTTGGTCGGTTGCCACCCTGGCCGCATCCTCGTTTTCCGCATCCACTGCCAGCCGCACTGATGCATGCATGTCGCTGCTGCCGACGCTGGCGACGACCAGCGCGGCCGCGTCGCCGGCGGCAGCTGACGGCGGCTTCTTCCCCGTTGGCCCCGACAGCCCCGTCGGCTTTAATCACCGCGGCCATAACCAGACCCACGACTACAATCGCCGTGGAGAACGCATTGTTAGTGCAGTTGTGGATGGCGATGTTGATGGTCGTATGGGTAACCTTACCGATCATGCTGAACGCAATGGTGAGGCGGCAGCTGACGGCGTTGCTTCTTCAGCTCACGACACAGTCATTACTTTTTCAGTTGGCGGCAATGGTGCTGTCCGCGTCAGCGCGCTGCTGGAGCCACAGGAGGCGGATGCACTGGTCCGGCTGTGGAGCCGTTGGCTGGAGGGCATGTCGCCGCAGGGCCAGGCCAACTGCATCTGGGCGGCGGTGCGGCTGCGGCTGCGGCTACCGCACGACCTGCAGAGCCGCCTGGCGACCTGGCTACATCGCCGAGCAGCGGATCTGGGACCCGCCGAGACAGCGGCGGCGTTAAGGGGCCTGGGGCTGCTAAGTGCGCAGCTGCGGCCGTCAGCGGAGATGTCACGCGCCGCAGCGGCCCTGTTGGAGCAGGCGTACGTGCGCGCCGGGCGCTATGGATTGTGTGAGCTGGCACAGGTCTGTTACGGCGGCGCGCTTCTGCTGCGATGGGTAGGGCGAGCGGGCGCTGCTGCTGCTGCGGACTTGGAGTCGGTGCACGGCCTGACAGTCGGTGCCGGCGGCGACGGCCTGCCGGCAGCACCGCAGCAGCAGCAACAGATGGCGCTGCTGCCTGCCGCCGCGGCGGTGCGGATGAGCATGGATCTGGAAGACGCGGGTGTCTTTTTGCCGGCAGTGGGGACAGCGCTGTTGGCCGCAGATGGCAGTGGTGGTGGTGGTGGCTTTTCACCGTTGGCCGCCGCTGCGGCAGCCGCGCAGCAGCGTCGCCTGGCGCAGCCGCTGGATGCGCTGTTGGGCCGCTTGCAGATGGCGTACCGGCGGGAGGATGGCCGCGGTGGGCACCTCCCTGCTGCTGCTGCTGCTGCTGCTGCTGCTGCTGGTCGCCGTGTCCACCGCGGGTTGGTACCAGGATCGGCATCGACGGATCGCGAAGACGCGCCCTTGGAGGCCCCGTTGGGGCTTGAGGTCTTGGTGATGACTGTGGATGCGGTCGCGATGGTGCTGCCGGATCACGTCTCCATGGCCCGTGGGTTGGAACTGTCGGCCTGGTGCCAGGACCTTGTGCGCGTGCACGCGCGCGCTGCCCTGACGCAGGTGCCCCACCACGTCCGGACGCTGGCACCGCTCCTGCATGCCATCGCCGCGGCGGCGGCGAGCTCTGTACGAGCCGCCAGGGCTCGTAAGCAGGCGGAGAGGGATCGCCGCCGCGCAGCTGGCGCGGCGGCCGTCACCGGCGCCTCTCCGGCGCGCAGTAGCATGGACGAGTTCACCCGCAGCGGCCGGTTGGCGGAGCGGCGGGAGGAGCTGCGACAACTGCGACAGGTGCAAGAGAAGCTGGAGGCCTCGCAGCAGCAACAGCAGCAGCAACAACAACAGGATCATCCGCATTTGACACGGGCGCAACAACCGCTACATCACCCAACCTCGCAGGAGATGCCGGATATGCAGTTGCAGGCGCAGTTGCAGGCGCAGCCGCAACCGCAGCTGCAGGCACAGGCATCGCCGGAGCCACCGCTGCAGCCTCAGCCGCAGCTTCAACAACATGAAATCCTGCAGGCTCCCTCCTCACAATCCCAACCGCCGCACCCTCCGCGAGTGCGCCATGAACAACAGCAGCAGCAACAACAACAACAACAACAGCAGGAGCAGCAACAACAACAGCAAGACCGGGAACAGCGTCAAAATCCGCAATCGGCGAACTGGGTCGCCTCTGGTCTCAGCACGAATTGGCTGCAGCGCTTCTGGGCCACCAGTGCACCCTCCCTGGAGGAGGTCTCCCCCAAGGAAGCCGCCATGCTGCTGTGGGCCATGTCCTCTTTGGCTGTACAGCCGCCTAGCCCATGGATTTCGACGCTGCTGCGCGCTGTGGAGCCGCACCTACGCGCCGCCGCAGTCCGTGGCGGTGCCAGCGGCGGGGGAGGTGTCTCTGACCAGACTCTGGGCGTCTTGCTGTCCAGTCTGGGTCACCTGCGAGTGCGACCCTCCCCTGAGTGGATGGCGGCGGCATTGGCGGCAGTGGACGTGTGGGCGACGGAGGGTGTCGACGAGCGAGGCAGCGAGGGCCGTGGAGGGCGGCGGCGGATGGACCCGGCGGCTGTACTCGGTGTGCTGTGTGGGCTGGCTTACCTGGAATGTCCCCTGCCGGTGGAATGGATGGCGCGGCTGGTGCGGGCGGTGGCACCCCAGCTGCAGTGTTTGACGCCCGCGGAACGGACCCGGGCGTACATGGCGGTGGCGAGCTTGGACGCGGCGCTGGCGGAGCGTGTGGGTTTTGAGTTTTCAGAGCTGCTGGCGGCCGGCAGGGTGGGGCGTGGCCGTGGAGGGGCTGGGGCCGTGTCGGAGTGGGAGAGGGGGGAGGAGGGCACGGCGCAGCAGCGGACACTCTTCACCCGGTCTCGGGGGGGTTGGTGAGGATGGTTTGGCGGCCGGGAGAGGATTGCGGACTTCAATGCAATGCGGTTGTTGGCAGGTTGGGACGTGACGCGGCGGCATGGGATGGGATGGGGAGCAGATGGCACACTACCCAGAGGGGTCCGAGAGGAAGAGATGGGCAAAGATGGGCTTTCACGACACGGTTTTGTGGGGTGGGGAGGGGAGCGGGTCCTGGGGCGGGGTCGTCGGATGATGAGGGAAGGGGTGCCAGGCGACAGGGGGGACATGGAGGTGGGGGTTGGCGAGTACCGAAACGACGCCGAGAAGAAGAAGAAGCAACAGCAGTAGCGGTAGCGGTAGCAATAGTTGGAGGAAGAAGCGATTAAGTTTTAGCCAAAAAGGAAATGTTTGTCGTGAGAACTTGTCGTGGCATCGTGCGGTGGATTCTTCTCTTGTTACAGGGTGGTTAAGCTTCACCATTCACCATATATCCTGCTTTCCATCATCTCTTGTCTGTCAGTGAAACGGGATGGGAAGTGTGCGGTGGGACCCTCGGTGCGCTCGGTCGCGCCCTCATGTGCAATCACGGGCCCACTGTGACTAGCGGCGCGGAGTGACTAGCGGCGCGGAGTGACTAGCGGCGCGGAGCGAAAGGTGCTGAAACGACTAGTTGATAAAATTGGGCATTCGCTTCGCTCGCCACGCGTTGTGTTTGGATGAACAGATCCAAAGAGCGAAATGCAGGTGATGATGGTGGTGGTGGTGATGGTGTCTTTTATAAAGTGGCTGAGACAGCAGCTGCAGGATGAAACCGTGGGGTGGGGCGGGATGGGACGGGACGTGCGGGTTGTCTGTCCGTCTGTATGTGCTTTGTTTGCGCTGTGGTGAGTCGTCTTCGAGATCAAGGATATAGGAGGTACCCGATTGCGATGATGCGGATCGCGGTAGTTATCGTAGATGGATAGATAACTACCGTTTGGAAGCCTAACCGATGGTGGAGTGCAGTCTTTTGCGTTGGATGCAGGTAGGTGGGTAGGTAGGTAGGTGGGTGGGTCAGGATGTCTTGCAGGGTAGAGGCTGGTCCATGGACCCGGGCTGACACCTCTTTCGTCACTCGGGGTGTGGTCCTCAGGGGTCTCTCGGGGTGTGTCTGCCTGTCTGTCTGTCTGTCTGTCCTGATATTCGGTCAATGCCCACCTTGCATGGAAACGTGGTGAGGTATAGCGCGGGAGTTGTGAAGGCTGTCGGCTTTGGGTGGAGCGCAGGACATGAGTGGAGTTCTCGAGTGCCATGGTTGTTGTGTTGTGGGATCAGAACATTCCCGCATCATGTTGTGTAGCAGCCAAGGGGGAAAGCCAACGCGCGCCCGTGTAAAAGCTAACGTGCCACAAACATCAGTTATCTGGTTTCTCTTTTTCAGTTCCGTCGTAACGTCGATTTGCATTCGTATGTATCGAAGGAGAAACACTGGCACGACGTGACGCCTGTGCTGACGTGGCGCAGGCTGTCTGGTGGTGGGGCTCTGCTGTCGAGTTTCTCGCAGCCAATGCCGGGATGCAGTGGCCGCACCAGACTACTATTTATCAGCATCAGCCTTTTCACCCTAGGTTTACGAGGTATCAGCCTTGATTTTCCGTAGCCTTGGCAAGCGCGCGGCTCGAGCGGAAGGACCTCGCGAGCCGGCTCTGTCATATCAACATGTAAAGCTCGAGCTCACAGCCAATGTGCCCCTGCGGGGTCTTAGGCGCTGCTCATGCGCAGCTGGTCCTGCGTGCCGTACAACTATCGTTTGTTTCTTATAACGGCAATTTTAGATTAGCATGGCCCTGCGGATGACATATAACGGCAATCGCATGTTGACTATGCGTAATGATCGTAAATGCTAAGGACAATGGTCCCGGGGCCGTGCAGGAAGGTGATGCCCAGCCGCATCATTTGCAAGTCGCTTCTTGGTATATGCATGCAGCATAGATGTGCCGCTCCAACCCCATGGCCAGCTTGCCTGCTCCCGGTGACCCGGTCTCGACTAACTGCAATTGCACTGTTAGGTTTCAGTTTATCCGTTTATCCGATACAACTACCATCCGCATCTCCCACCCCAGAACATCCCCACCGTCTGCATCCCCAAGCTTACAGCTTGCACATCTTTGCTGGTCGAAGTAGCGAGCTTGTGCCTAAGGAGCAATACGTTGCGGCGCCTGACGCTTGGTGTTCCAAACTCCACGAGTTTGTATGCCCCAAACGAGCCGATGGGTTCATGAGCAGTAAACTTCCCAATGCTTCACACTGCACGAAATGACTTTGCAGCCACCACACACCCAGGGACGTGTGTAGCAGCTGAGCAGCGGGGGCAGCGGCACCTTGCTGCAGGCAACGACAACATGGGGTCTTGTCTTACGTGAAGGCAGCTGGCCCTGCTGCTGGTGAAGATACAGCGAGATACAACAGGCGTTGACAGGCCAGAAGCGCAGCACTGTCAACTGTCAATGATTTGCGAGACGAGCAGCAATGCCGTACACCTAGGTGAGTTCGACTACTCGTCGCATGGTTCTGCATTATCGCGCATCCCACCTCACCGTGCTTTCCTGCGCAACTATCCGGTTTCTGCTTCCCACTGCGGGTTAGAGCCGCACCGAGGTTATCGCTGCACTTGCGGCCCCTCGTGCGCTGCCTTGCGGTGCCCTGGCGCGGCTCCGCGCGCGCTCCGGGCATCAAATTGGTCGCCGCTCCCATTCACTTTGCATTCCGTTCGCCCCTTCATGCCTCAACGTGCTCGAGTGGGCATGGCTGATGGGAAGCTCTGCTGCAAAGTGGCAGATCGACTTTAGTTTTCCTCTTTGTTTGAGGGTTTATACCAACTATTGCGTCTCCATCCTTGGTTTCATCGCTTGATTCTGCAGATTTAACTATGGACAAGTAGCTATCTGGCGTTTTACTTATGAACGCCCTTAGGTCGAAGCCGGGGCGACCTGTTTCGAACTGCCGACCGAAACAACTTTCTTTCTTGTTGGAAAGTGATTGACACTCATATACCAGAGGATTGCTGCAGCAGTAATAGGACCCGCGGGGTCCGGCGCTTGCTGGTTTTAACATTTCAAGTGTAGTGCGTTTGCAAACACAAACTACATTGGTGGATAAGCGGCGGCCATTTTATCTATAGAGTAAAACTGGAAGGAAAGGAAAATTGCAAATCTAGGTACCGACGTAAGCGAATCTTACGCTTGCGACGCCGGCCAAGAACAAAGGACAGTTTACGAATACCATACTTCAGGAAAATGTCGTGAAATTATTACTTCAAGAGTGTTATCCTGGACATAACAATGTCACCTCGCCGTACATTCTGCTGTACCAGATCGATCCAGGCCGATTGTAAATCAATTCATCAGGTTTGATATATCGTGTGTTTTCGTGGCTGGGTATTAAACGGAGCAGGTCTCTGGAAATCTTCCTCGCAACTGCACGGGAAAGGAAACGCAATCAACAAGGAATTTGCAAGTATCTGTTGCATATAGTAAGACGCCATGAGCAAGAGGCCTCGGGAGTCGGGGCTCGATAGCGAGAAGATCCCACGTATCGTTGGGTTCTTAAGCGTTAAAAGCTGGTCGGATTTCCAGTCGATCATGAATGTTTCCGACAACTTTCCCTGTTCGTCAGAAGACATGTTCGGCGCACAATCCGTCTTCGCCCCGCCAGCGCCACAAGAATTTGAGGTCGTTGGCGTGAAGCTACTTTTGGAGCTCCTCAGCGAGCCAGTCGTTTGGTTTAAAGAAACCGTACTCCATTTAGACAATCGGGAGGAACCCCTCTACCTCCTCCTATACTCGGTCCTGTCCAAACTGGCACTGCTAAGTCTCGACCAAGGTTCACTGGTTATCTCCTCAGCCGGTGCGGACTCGTTGACTGCCGCCTTCAATGCACACTGTCGTGCAGCTCACGTCATTGTCGGTCCTCAGGTCCTGATGATCCCCTTGACAAGGGGGCTGCAATTTATGCCGCTTGGGAAGCCGCATGGGACAAAGTTTATGAAATTACCGGTGACTATGAATCCTCTGACCATAAACTGGCGGAGCGGCTTTTCAGGTCACCTGTGCAGCCCGGTGAGTGCCGCCTGCGTGCATGGAAGTATATGTCGGGACCTGTGCACCTTCCGCCACCGCATTTAAGTTCAAGAGAGACTCCTGAGGCGTGGAAGAAACCATGTACGGTAGGGCCGTTGCAGAGTACATGACTATGCTCCGGAGAATTGTTAGGAGGTAGCAGCTGTTTTGTTAATTATATTAGAGTGATGGCTGGCCGTACGGCAGCTTGGCGGCCCAACTGTGTGTGCACATGTGCACCCATTTATTCAAAGGCCGGTTGGGCTTCACTGACTGTCGGTTACTGCTCTCTGCATCGGGAGAGAAGGCTTGGTGCTTCAGAAGGTTCAAGAGCTGATCTAGGTTTCTGTATGTGTGTTAGCAGGACCAAAGAATTCCATGCCTTCCTATGCATCCTGTTAATCCTTTCAGGCAAGGGCTAGGAATTCCTCTGGCTGCTGGCATGTGTCGTGTTTCACTCCTGCATCCACATCTAGCTGCTAACAAGCTTGCCACAAGTGGTTTTGCCCATGGGATGGGATTTGCAATGCTGCAGGTCGGTCTGAGCTTGTTGTCGTCCGTGTAAACCCCGGAAAGAGGATATCACCGCATGAGTGTCTGGAGACGAATGTTCGGTCATACTGCAAGGCCGTGATGCTGGTGGAGCCGAAGTGTAGGATGGTCTTCACAGACGACATATGGCAGCCCATGGCAGAAGCTATATCGCTGGCGATCCTGAACGGCAAGCAAGATCCGGTGACGGTGCTGCTCACGGATGCTAAGTCCTGGTATTTTGCCTCTGTGCAGCTGGTCGGAGAGATGGACGAAGAGGGACTTCCCCCACCCACTCAGAACGAGTTCCAGGCATGTGGCTACCGCCTCCGTCTCTTTGCTTGCAAACATTTCACCTGTAATCTCCTATCTGAATCCAGTGATAGAAATTACGCATGTGTGGCTAAGGTGAGGCCGAAATTTGGGGGCCAGTTATCATGCAGATAGGGGCTTCGGCTGCATAGTGTGGGTGGCCGGATGTTGTCCGTTCAGGATGTTGTCTTTCTGGGGGCTTTAGGAAGCACAGTTCGTGAGGCTAGGAGCCATGAAGGTGTTCCGACAACTTGAATACTAATTCGGTTGCCTGGATGGAAGCAGTGTGTAGAGTCCATATGCTGCGATGTATGGTATGGGCCTGGCGAGGGTGAATGTTTTACAGGGTCAGCAAGTCCATCTGTCGTACAGTACGGCATACAGAAGGTGATGCATTGCTGGAGTATGCTGAGTTTGCATGTTGAGGGGCCTTTTCGGCAGTCAGCTACACCTCTTTGCAGGTAGGTAATTCTCTCCAAACGTCCCCTTGGTCCTGCAGGTTTTCGCCCACATGCACACCGTGTTGTACCCTGGTGTAGACATCTCCCAGGTTGCAGCTCGGGCGCAGCAGGGCAGTGGTGTGCTTAAAAGTCTGGCGGACAAGTGGGCGGAACCCTGTATCAGAGATGTGGAAGAGATGCAGAGGCTGAAGGACCACGAGCAGAGGATGAAGGAATACGAGCAGAGGATAAAGGCTGCGGAGCAGTGGATGAAGGACCACGAGCAGGAGATCAAGGCCTTAAAAGAGATTGAGGCTCGCAAAGAGCAGCAGCAGCAAGGCCAGTAATGGTAGTGTGGTTGAATTGGCCTACAGCAGCTGGACAAGGCACTGTTGTGCTTCCATGTGTGTACGAGCATGCAGCATTGGAAGCGCAAGTAGGGAATGTAGGAGGTCGCTGTTGCAGCACAACAGCAGGCGGTGTATAGGATAGTGTCAATCTGGGATGGATGTGATGCTGATGATCGTTGCATGCGTTGGTACTGCATAAAAATGGATAAGAGTAGATGGCTGCAGAGAGTCCGAGAGGTCTTGGACATTAGTTTGGGATTGGCATAGTGGAGGTGCAGTGCACAAGATTAGTGCTTCATGTGGTGCTTCATGTGGACCTGCAAGTAATGCTTCGGAGCTCGCAGCTTGCACCACATCTCCGGTGCCAAATAGAGACAGCAAGCTAGTCTACCCTTTACCTAATGCACGTCCGAATCGACTAGTAATGGTTTTTTTTACCTATCACTCAATTCTCGATTGGCATAGGTGTAGGGTAACCCCTTACCAAGGGGTAACAACGGTGTTGGGTAACCCCTTATCGCGGGGTAACAAAGGGGTCAGGGGTAATACACTACCGCGGGGTAACAAAGGGGTCCCGTGAATTCCTGTCGATATCACTGGATTCTCAATCCGTTAACAACCGCCGCCGAAACTCCTTCAAGTACATCATCAGACGTGATTCCTAGCTGCGCGATTGCTGAGCACGTGCTGCTTGAGGCCGTATTCCAGCGATTCTAAATTTCGAAGGTTTTGGGGTTTTGAAAGCATTTGAACAAGCAAAATTCGACATTGGTGTTGGCAGTATTTGTGGAGGACATACAGGCTTGGTTGGACTCCGATTATTTGACAATTTGCGAGCTGAACATGAGTATTTAGGTTGGGAAAGGTCGTGTATCGCCCAAAACTTTATGTAGCGCCAGTTGCGATGTCCGTTCTAGGGCAAGCATGCGTTTACCACCTTGCAAGGGAAGACCTTATACCACATCTTCTACCACATCTTCTACCACAGACCCTAGGGTCTGCCATGGCCCCTTCAAAAACGCTTTTTTTGTTTTTTTTGCTGTACGGTTTGTGCTTCGAACTCACTTCCCCTTCTGCTTGGTAACACAGCATTTTTTCCTGAAGGCCTGTACCTCTCATCTGATTTCAATGCTGCCGCTCTCTAAACCGTTGCTTGCATCTGATTCCCAGGTCGCCTCTGTAAGAGCCTGGCTCAGGACTTAAGATGGGTCTTACGGATAGCACCCGGACACCAAAATTTCTGCCCCATACGACAGCAAGGGCCTGACCTGCAGGTCCAGCTGGACATCAAAACACCGTAACAGATCTGGCAAATAATGCGGTAAAGTAATGCGGTACGGCCCGTACACGCCTCCTGTTCTCAGTTTCCTCCTGCCCAAATGTCCGGTACAAGCAGGGCGGGAGTAAATAGGTCTGCCCCGTTTACGAACCCCAGCATCTCTACTGCGGTGCGCTGGCGGTTCACTTCGCATTGCCTATCGTTGAGTAGCGGTTGGAAATAATTCCGCCATACTTCAATGTCGGTGACGCCCTTCGTACCGTCCGAAAGGTTTTGCCACAACTCTTTGGGATGCCCATGATAGCTGTTAATGAAATCACGGCATTCTTTGTGCTCAAAAGCCACCCAAGCGTGCCAAAGCTCCCTGTTATACTCCTCCCTATCCAGGACAGGGAGGACCTCCCGATATTCCTGACACGCTCCCTTCCTTAAACGCGCGCTGCTATAAGCTTAGTATCCACATCATTTGTGAGCACTCTTCATTCCACTAGGGCGCGTGCCCTGATCAGGTAAGATGTCCATCCTGCCTGCTTCTTCTTTCACCCCAGACAAATATTGCCTGCAATCCACTGCATGCGTACCTCTTAGCGAACCATCCTCTATAACTTGCATAATTTCTCTGAAAGGCTGAAGTACAGCACCAGCATCCTGGGCTGTTGTCGTACTTCATCGACAACACCAAACTGTCCTTCTCAATCCGTGATAGACTACATAAGAGAGGTGTCTTATGGAATTGAGGGCATTCCATGCTACAGTTGGACAATCATATATTTTTTTACCTCAACGTTTTCTGACCAAAATGTCTAGCTCGTTACGGATAGCCGCTGCAAATACTAGGTGCGACTGTAGTTGAGAAATTGAGATCATGAAAGCATTCGCCGACAGCCGCGTCTTTCTGTACTGAATTGTGCAGGTCTTCGTGCCCAGCGTCTACCTCAGGTCGACCTCCGTGTTGCGTGGTGTCCAGAATCTGTCAAGGACATTTTAGTGGACACCGTAGCCGCCGCTTTAGGTATCAAGAGCGTACAATTGGTCATATGCGCTGTTCACGCCGCGCGTCGGCCTGACGTGCAGCTTATCCTGCTACCCGCAGATCTATAGTTAGTGATGACTATGCCTCAACTCGTCGCCCAGATGAAGAGTACATGAAGGTAAGGTAGTTCTTGCTTGCAAGCCGTCTCGTGAGCTGTTGTTGAGGCACAGTGTGGCCTCACGAATTGCGTTCCCAAGTAGCAAGAAGCTGTGAGATGTTCGGGTTTGATCAACTCACTGCAAAGCTGTGCTTACTTGTGATTCATTTGTGCAAATACTCGCTCGATGGTCGTACCATCATGCTTTGCGGTAACAGCAGCACCGACGAGGCAACTACAACCCCCGCGTCATCAGTGCATCTCCAAAGCTTTCGCTCCACTCAAAGGACAATGACCCATATCCCCTATACTCCTTATGAGGTCACCGGTCACGATTCCTTGCTTCTCTTGTCCCTGACACTGCAGGAGTATCAGGCCCTAAAGGACCAGCTCCAAGACAACAATCGGAAATGCGGGGCGGTGGTGGCGGCTTACCTCTTGCTAACCGTGGATGGCCAGGTAGGGGCCCATGTTATAACTGGATGGCGGGTGGGTCTTTAAGTAATAACCCTTCCGCTCCTTCCGGTCCTGGGCCTGGGGTTGAAGCCCAGGAAGCAGCGGAAATGTGTTACAACTTGTCACAGTCCATGCACCACCCTGGAACGAGCTGTCTGGGCGGTGGCTACAGACGTTCTTCCCTGGCTATCTGTTGGTGTAGGGGGGGCTCTGCCGGGGTAAGCGCAATAGCTGGCTGTTCAGCAGCCGTTGGCGGGTGCGGGAGAGCTCTCTCTCTCTCTCTCTCTCTCTCTCGCGCGCGCGCGCGCGCGCGTGTGTGTGGGGGAGATTGCTTGGGGCGTCGGTATATGCTTCAGGCCCTTCATCGCCCTTCGTTGAAGTATTTGCAGCGGAGCCCAAACGGGCCATCAGGGTGCTCATGGCGCACATGTGCAACAACATGCTGATGGGTGCTAACCGCATAACACTGTGGACCTTCCGCAGCCAAGCGTACTAGCTGCATTGACGATGTAGCCTCAGCTAGCACATAGTTGAAGCCAGGAAAGGGCGTCAATCGTCCTAGTTGCCGCCGGTCGCCGGGTCCTGGGTGGTCCCGTTTCGAGAGATGTTGCCTGGTTTGCCAACCTGCAAAACTAGAAATTACGCTCCGAAAGGCTAGGAACCCGTACTGTCGGGTGGTATGGATCCCCAGCCCAGCCCTAGGAGCGTGCTTTCTCACCAAAAACGTGGAATCGTCATGCATTCGCCCTGTGCGAACCACTCGCCCGAACTTTGGTACTGTTGCGGTACCACCCCTCAGGCCGCCCTGTGCGCTCTACTGGGGAGTGCCGCAAGCTACGCCTACCTCTCATGCCTGTACCGGGACGTGGATAGCTACCGGGGGGACACGCAGGTGCCCATGGTGGAAGCGGATAAGGTAACTGGCGAAGTGAGGGTCGGGCATCTGCCGGCGTGTTGCAGTGCCGCAACACACACACACACGCTCCTCGTAATACCTGCTACTACACTCGTTGAGCTCCATCATGACCCCCATGGGTCCGCAACTTTAGTGGGAATGACCCATTGTTTTCTGGTTAAAATAATGATTCGAATCACCGTTACCAAGAGCGGTAATGGCCCCACATCCCGGTCCTGTCTCGTTGCAATTTCGGTATTGGGTCTGTAGCTCAGCGGCACAGCAGCACAGCGTCACCGCGTTGCTGGAAATGCAGGGCTCGTTCTGGGCGCTCGGCATGCCAGGGCGGCTCAGCTTTTTGCCCTTTGCTGCCAATCGCTGGATGCGTTTCCCGAATGTTTGAGGGAGGGATCTGAGGTGGAGGCCAATCCAACGAAATAAGCCCGTTGCGGGGGCCCACTGCCACACATGTACCGTTGTGCAAACCCCTTGCTTCTTGTTTGCTCCTTGTGTACGGCGGCCTGCAACACCGAAGCCCCTTTGGTTAATCTTATCTCGTTTGAAACAGCCGTAGAGTTAGTTTCCTGGATGCCGCATGTTATATGGACACACCTCGCTTTGTCTCTCCTCCTGCCTTTTTGGATGCCTGGCTGCTGCTACACGATTGGGCGTCTGTTGCCGACTATGGTTCACTTTTTTCAATTCCTCGCGCCTCTTGTGCACGCAGATCGAAAACACATTTATCCGCCGAATGGCCAAGGTAGGCTGCGCATACCGTCAGGCGCTGCAACCCCGTCTGCTGGTGCCTGTGGCGCTGGCAGGGCTGTCTGCCGCCTACAATCAAATCGTGGGCCCGGAGCGCGCGCTGGATTTACTCCACCAGGGCTGTCTGCTAGGCGGCTTTTTGTCATATAAGCTGGCCCTGCTGATCAAGCTGGCGGATGACCTGACACCCAAGGTGCGCGGTTGCGTGGTGGGCATGCAGCGCGGTGGGAAGGTAACTTGGAGGGGAGGAGATGCGGTAACTCTGGGCGTGGTTCATGGGTGTGCGTGTGTGGCGCGGCATGTGCATCATCACACCATTAACCCCAATCCCGCTCCTCGTCATTTCCACTTTGTATAAAAACCTCCTCCTGGAGCTTCATATCCCATCTGTGCACATCCATTGTCCTTCGTTTCAGCCATTCTGTTGTCCATGACACAACGTTTTTTTCGCCGGACAACCCGCTCCTGTACGCCCACGTCCCTTGGTTGTGTTTGTTAGACCTACGTAGACTCCACGGACACACGGCCTAGATTGGAGCCCATTGAGGACGAGCTGGACATGTTTGGCCGCCCCAAACGCCGCACGCTGCGCATGCCCACGGAGGTTCTTCCAGAAGGGGTGGAGGCGGACAAGGTGCCGCTGGCAGGTCTCATAATGGCCGCGGACGGCGACACGCCGGTGCAGCCAAGCAAGCTAGACGGCGCATCAAAGGCAGCGACGACTGGAGAGTCGCCGAGGTAACCGCATGTGTGCGAGGGAGAGGGAGGAGGGAGATTATATGCAAGACGCGGGGGGGGCATTGCAGGAGGAGGAGAGAGATACGAGGTGAGGTAGGAAAAGGAAGGGGAGAAGATATTACTTGGCTTTGCTGTTGGTGCCTGCTGGTGATGCTATCGATGAGATGTTTAAATAAGACTTGGACGGCTTGCCGTGGCGATTTATTGCGATGCTGATGCTGCTCGACGTGATGGTGAATAAAAAAATAGCTTTTAGTTGAGTCGCACAAATTTTTGGATGTTGGGAAATTCCCAAGGTGGATGTTGGCATGTCAATGATACGTGGTGATGGATGATTAGTGCCGCATGCTTCTGGCTACTACGGCCTGGGCACAGGTCAAACGAACCAAAACTGGTCCTGCGTACTCCTAAGCTTGTTCGCCGTTCCGCCATAGTAATATCGACAGATGTTTTGTGCAATCGACAAGTTTTAGGTGCACCAAACCTTCTCCCCTATTTAATTGCAAAAGTCTGCGTAGGGCTCTCAAGGCTGCTTTTCCTTAAGCACATTCCTACTTGTTACGTTGTACCTCCTAGTCGATCATCGGCCACTACCAAGGAAATCCTATTAGTACGTTTGCGTGGCGTTACGGACCAGTCGGTCTAATTGTTCTGGTCTGTGCTTCATGCACTGTCAGGCGATGTGCCCCTCGTCTCGGCTTCTTTGCTTTGAGGCATAGAAAGTTTATTCGCCCGCATCAACAACGTTGCCCCGCCGTGCTGACATCGATACCGCGTCACATACCAAAATACAAGACGCTACCAGAGAAGGAACTAAGCGCAGTTGACCACCATATGCGTTCGTTGTGCACATGAAACCGCTAAAAGTTCCATGGCTTCAACGACTGGGAGTGGCTCGTTTAAGAGCAATCGCAATTATGCCGTCTCGGGGCTGGATAGAGTTAAACAGGTGCCGCTGGTCATCCCATCACATCTCCGTCCCCCGCGGTGGGTGTAAACTGCTGCAGCAGGCCATGGCCTCCTCCTGCTGAGCATGTCGGCCTGCCTCCTTACTAACTTCGAAAGATTACATATTCGGACTTAGTTGGGGTTTGCTCGACCAGTCTTTTATTCCCAAAACAACTGCCTCAAAATTTTAGGTGCCAGTACCGCCAGTGCCGCAAAGGTATTAGTTGTTGCTCCATAAGTAAATGCCATTTTCTGTTACATATAATGAAAGAGAGAAAAGGACTGAGAGGCCCGAAGAAGACGGGCCTTACGAACGGAGAAAGAGACACCGCAACTGAACTAATGCGGGCTGCGCCATAAACGGGCGGGCGGGCGGGCGCGCGCTGAACAACAAAAACAAGATAAGCTAACCAGCTTAATGCGCGCAATAAATGACGGCCCTGAGGACACGGGCCGTTGCGAAACAGTTAGTCTAACAGTTACGCATTGGGCCTTACGCCCAACTAACCCGGCTTACTTACGCAAGCTCGCATTAATTCGTACAGTTTGTTCTGGTTGCGTAAATCGGCCGTAAGCGCATGAGTACAATGAAATTTTATAGCTTGTACGTTTATAGCTTGAACAGTTTATAGCGTGAGGGTTAACCATCGCAAGACGTTGAGGCGCGCTTGGGCAGTGGTCGTGCGCTGGGGCATTGTGCCGTCTGCAGCAAGGTGTACTAGGATTCTTCCACGGTCATTGCAGCAGGAAGAGGACACACATCTCGGGTTGATTTGACCGTTATACGCCTTCATCCAAGAAGCTGAGCATAACGGATCCTAATGGGCAAGACTCCGGAAAGGCGTTGCCACACACACTAACCAAGAGTTTTCGTGGTAATGGTCGTATTCATTTATCATATGCTGAAGCTCGTAGGTCCACGATGTGTACAATAGGAATCTAATATTTGTACACAGTACATGCATAAAAAAGTAAATAACAGCTGATTACTGGATAAGACATTTGGTTGACAACCTGCTATAGTTCTGCTATAGTATTTGGAACTTAACCTAGTCCTGCTCGTACTGTGCATCCTTTTTCTTACGACCATTCGGGCTTCACAAGTCACGCCCAGTTTGTCCTATCATCTACTTCACAAAAATCATTAAGGGATTGTAAAGATGGCTACCCGCTATACGCGTTACGAATTAAAGAGGCACTATTGCGCAGTCCTGCCGTGTTGCGTAAGCCGCCAGCCGCTAGCTCATCTTGAAAGCAAAACCACCCGGCTGCGAAACCCCCGCCCAACACCAACCCATTGTGAAAGTTGCACTAGTGGCCGATAATAATGGCAGTTACCCGTGTTGCGCCGTTGAAATCTCCTAGGACCTCAAGGGAGGGCGACCCACCCAAGGCCAGCAGTGAACAAAGCAGGGACCGCTGCATTGTGGCAAACCCCAGGATTGCCTTGGGTGGGTGGAGATACGACAAAGGACAGACGGTAAAAGGAACATAGACGTGTACTCCAAGATTAGATCAATGAAGTAGGACAATATGTAAGATGCCGACCCGTGGGTGGGGGGAAAGGGGAAAAACTAGAGGACACTGTCCCAGCAGCGGGATACATCTCTCGGTAATACTTGAAAACAACGGCAGTTAATGAACCAATGCGCCTGTACGACCCAAGTAGAAGCTTGGAGTCTCCTGCCGTACTGTGGTCCGGCATGTGCATGCATGCGCCCTGATTCCACGCACCACGGCAATTCCTTCGCATTAACTTTCCTATCTCTACACTCATAGTTCGAGACGTTGAAGCTTGACATCAACGTTTGTAAGTCGCTGCCTTATCGGCTTGCAGCAACCTATTACTGTCGTCTGTATCGATTAACAAAAGCTTACCTGAAATGGCAAAATTGAAAGTTTACATTTCACGTTGACGTGCTTTGGACAGCCGGCCCGGTTGTCAGTTGTAAATGATTTTTGCTTGCTGCTTTGGTGGTCTTGTTGAAGACGTCGATACGAGGGGGGAATTAAACGGCTATGGAGTCCACGGTGAACAGGCCAATATTGGGACAACTGACAAAGGAAAGGAGTTCAGCGAGCTGCCCACGGGCGGGATAACCAAAACTGGAGAGATTTGCCTGGCGGAAAATACAACATCGCTGAGTGCCGTCACCTCAACAGGGTCGACCGTCGCCTATCAGGTACAGGAGACCGGCTCAATTAACTTGCAGAGTGCCGCAGCATCGCACCGAGCCATTGATTTAAGCACACAACCTATGGTGTATCATGCTGGATTGTGTATGTGCAAGCAATACGCTACTTGCATCGTTCGCCTGGCTTGACGCATTGCGGCCCATTTTACTGTAACAGCTGAACATCCTGAGCTCTGCCCTGGCTGGCCTCTCCGGTAATTGGTATGAGCGAGTAATATCCGCAGCCTCTCGACTTACCAGCGAATCTGGTGCAGCTCTGTGCTCCGTCTCCATTCTCAGCGTCGGACTTGACCAGTTCACGGTGTTACATGTCACCGGGAAAAATCCAGAATGTGGTTCGATTTGCCCGATAGGCTCACAGCTGCCAGCACTAAAGGCTGTGCTCGCGCAACCCGGTGGCGGCAGCTCGTCCAGACTGCGCTACAACAGTATCCAGGTCCTGCAGCTCCTGCAGGTAAGCTGACTCCAAATTATACAGCAGAGTTTGAGGTACCATCCCTCGCGCCCCGGATGCGAGCCTGTTTTATGTAAGACGAAGGGGCCTTTAATAACTCGATTGGCCCTGTCGGACCGTCGGCCCTGATTGGACGCCGCAGAAAACCCGCGTGTTCTTCCCCCAATAGGCACCATGCAACTCCGCCCAAGCTCGTTCTCGCGTTTCCCGTTCCCCACGCTTCGTCGCCCCTAATATCCCCTCCCTCTCTCTCTCTCTCCCCCGCCCTTCCCCCGGCCCATACCCCGCAGTCCTCGTTGCTTTACTCCTTTTCCGACCCCCTGCAAGGATCCCAAGAAATAAAGGAGCCACCGTACGACTGGCAGGCCTTGTACGGCACACGTGGCCTGACGGATTTTTGTGCGTTGCCGCTCATACACGCCAAGTCCGTCGTGGGCGCCGTCACGCTTGCCTTTGACCCTCCGCCGCCGCCGGGGCAGCAGGCGCCTGGCTTGGGGAGACGCGGAGGGCTGCCCTCAGTTTCCTCGGGGCCCTGCTTCAGAGCCGCTCTTCTGATGCGCTGCGACGAGTCCTCCCTGAGGGCGCTCGGGCTGCTGCTGTCAGTGCTCCTCGCCGGCCAGGACCTCAAGCTGGCCCAACAGGTGCGTCCTGGAATTTACCCACCCCCATAGTAACCCAATTCCCATCCAAACCTGCAGTCGGCAGTGGTCTCTTTTTGAGTTAGTTAGTGAGTTTGTGAGCTAGTGAGGTGTGTCGTATGTATGTCCGGGTTGACCGCTCGCCTCTGTGTGTGTGTGTGTGTGTGTGCGCGCGCGCTTTGCCGTTTCGTGCGTATGGTGGTTGGGTTTGCAGCGACCAGGTCTCAGTGGACCGTGACCGGCTAGCAGGCCTGCCGCCCAGCCGCCCCGTCGGTGTGCTGCGCTCCGTATCCCCGGGTCTTCAGAGTGGACGACGATGTGCGTGTGTGTGTGGTGGTGGTGGGGGGGGCTGCCGACGGACACCACTGCATTGCACGAGAGTCCATTCCCCCACCGCCTCATGGTCCAACGGGCGCTCCCCCCGCCCAAGCCCCCGCGCCGTTGCGCTCACCCCTATCTCACTCACTCCTATCACTTCCATCCCGGCCCAATCCAGGTCGGCGACATCCTGGCGGGAGTACACGACGCTCGCACCCTGCAGCAGGTGGTCGCGGGAGTGGCCGCGGGAGTGGAGCGGGTTCTGCAACTCAAGACACACGTCACCGTGGCGGTTACAGTGGCACTGCTGCCCGGTTCAGCCGCCGCCGCCGCCGCCGCCGTCGGTGCCGCTGGCGGTAACGTCGGCGGCGGCGGTGGCGGCGTTACGGCGCCCAGCAGCAATGGCGGACGGGCAATCTTCTTCGAGGAGCGGGGCGGTAGCGGAGCTGCGGCCGCAGGCGGCGGCAATAGCGGCGGCGGCGGCGGGAGCGGCTGCGCTGCGAGTGGAGGCGGCGGCGGCGGGGGCGGGCAGTCAGCAAATCCTAATGAGCAATACGGGGCTCGCGGCATAATGGCCAGGTAAAGGGGGGCCCCCTCCGGAGGCGGAAGAGGACCCGGGGATGTGGCGGAGGTGGCGGTCGTGTGGGACGGATTGATCAGGGGGTGGGGTGGGTGGGGGCTTTGGCGGTGTAGAAGTGGCGGAATGCTGCAATCGTCCTGAAGTCGGCGAGAGGCAGCTCCGGGCGGAAATCTTCGGAGAGGAAGCCACACACGCACACACACACGCACACACACACGAACACACACACGAACACACAGACGCACATGCGGATAGGACACCCTCGGGGCCCCCAGGCGCGCGTGCGTGTACATGCGCGTGTGTGTATGTTGCTGTTGTTGGGCAGTTTCCGGTCTTTTCCTGCTCTCCTGAACTGCTGTTGTTCAAGCCTACGTCCGTCAAAAGCGCGTGTGGCGGCGCTCCTTTGCGCACCCTTATCTCAGACTGGCGATATACCACTCGCCGCGGTGGTTGACCCTTCGGTCCAGGTCGACCTCCGCCGCCACTCGGGAAGCCCAAGGCGGCTCATCCCACGACGGCTGTACGGGACAAAATGGCTCCTACGGGGCCTTGCTGTGGCAGGCGAGCACGGTGCAGGTAGGGGCACTGGAGGCCGGCATATCTTGAAGGGTTGTGTGGTCGGGGGGGCTGGCGCTGTCGTGTCCGATCGTGGTGTGATGTGGTCATCAAGCATGCGTGAGGAAAGCACAGCGGCGGCGGCGGTTTTTCTTGGGGGGCTGCCGCCGGCGGCTGCGGCAGCGGCATCCCCCATCCTCTTCGTCTTTCGTTCTTGCGTTGATCGCAGCTGCGGCGTTTACCCGGGGGTGAACCTCTTCTCCGCGCGGATTTGTTATCGCCGCAGGCTCGTGCGTTGGGCTTGCGGCACACCCTCCTGGCAAACTTGCCTAGCGGCGGGACTGTCGTACACGACTGTGCGTCGTACATGCAACAAGTTGGTTGTCCCAAGCGGGACTTGTACCTGCTGAGCTCGAGTAAGGGCATACCGCCCTTCTCTCTGGCAATTGCGCCGGCGCCGCTGCCGCTGCTACGCGACGTCCCGGCCACCGGCGGTGGCGGCGGCGGCGCCGCTGCTGCGGCACAGCTTGTCTTGTACGTGTCCGTGGGCATGCGGCTTCCTCTAGAGCTGTTGAACGAGGTTTTGGCTCAGGCGCAGCACTTGTCTTTACGGTTTTTAGCTCCGCTGATCGGACATAAGCTTGCGCGCGGGGACTTGGCGGAGGAGTGGATATTGCTCGTGGGGAAGTGCTTCTCGGGTCGCGGCGGCGGCGGCGGCGGCCGCGGCGCATCCGTCGGAGGAGGGACGTTGGCAGCGACGGAAAGCCACCCGGACTTGCGTCCGACCACCTCAGCCGTGTGCAATGGCACTAGCGGCGGCGAGACGGCCGCCGCCGCAGCAGCAGCAACAGCCGGCAACGGCGGGAGCGGCTGCGGAGAAGGGAGTAGAGGTCAGTGCGCTGTTAGTCCTGACGACGGCTGTTCGCGAGGCAGCAGCAACGCTGCGCCGGCCGGCACCGCGGGCTGCGGCGGTGTCAGCGCTGCCGCCGGGGTCCCGCCAGCACCGCACCCAGGGCACCCGCGGGAAAAGGCGACGCCAACGCCAACGCCGACCTCTCCGCCGCCGACGTGCATGGACGCATCGACGTCACGGCCAGCTGGGGGCGAAGCAGCCGCCGCCGCCGCCGCCACCGTGGATGCCGGGCCGCCTGTCGCCGAGTGTCCTGTGGTGACCCCGGGACCTGACCGGATGCTGTCGGCCATCGGCACCCCCCCTGAACCTCGTGGTCCGGTGCTCAGTACGGCCCTCGCAGGGGCCTTTGCGGGTGACACACGGGCGCACATGGGCCTGCTCGTCTCCTCGTTCAAGGAGACGATCAACGCGCTGCAGGCCCTTCGGTGGGTGCGGGTGGGAGGGACGAGGATGGGTGCGATATTGCACCCATTTCGGGGGCAGATGATATTGATTTTCGGGGGGAGGAGGTAAGGAGAGAGTAAGCAGATAGCAAGCGAGCCCAGAGTGTGGAGGATAGGAGCCTCGGGAGGGCTGGGGCTGGGCGGGAATGACCCGTGGGTCGGCCTTCTTAATGGGAACTCCCGTTTGGGGTCTTACTTTTTTGGGTTTTGAGGTCCTCCGTGCCTTCCTGGACACTCCCAACCTCAGATATCAGCTATCACCTTTTCCCCTTGTGCTCTTCCTTGCAGTGCGGACGAATACGAGGAGCTGTCCGTTCTCAAGCTGGGGAAGGTGCTGGGTCGCGGCGGCAGCGGCCTGGTTTTCCAGGGTTATCTGCACATGGGCCTTGAGGTGGCCGTCAAGCTGTTTGAAAACCCCGATGACACCGACCGGGAGGCTGTGTCCTCTTCAGAGCATGCAAGTACAATAACTTCCCAACCACATCCAGGTGGTGGCGGCGCCGCCGCCGACGGACTGGCGGCGACGGAAGCCGCTGCCGCCGCCGCCGGTGGCATCGACGGCGGCATCGACGGCGGCACTGACACCGCCGCTGCGAAGGGCGCGGTGAAGGGGCAGCCGCCGCCTGCTCTGCCGTCGACGACGGCGGCGGCGGCGCTGGCGACGAAGCGGCAGCGCGACTTGCTGCACAACGCCCTGGAGCTGGGTGTGGCGTCATCGCTGTCGCACCCGAATATCGTACAGGGCTACTGTCACTGGGTCAATGTGGTCCTCATGCAGGACGCATCACTCAACCGCTGCTGGCTGATGGGCCAGGCGGAATACCTGGCGTTGGCACCCCCGGGATCACCGCCGCCGCCGCTGTGTTCTGCCCTGGTCATGGAATACTGCGACATGGTGAGGCTGGACTGGACTGGGACTGGTTGCGCTTTGGCTTTCTGGGGTGTGAGGGACAGGGGGGCTTACATCGCAGTTACCCGGTGTATGGGGCCCTGCAGGGTCTCTCCGCGGCCTCCGCCGCGGCCGCCCCCTTGCCGCCCTTCCCGAACCCCGAGGGGCCGCAGGGGGTTGATCCCCTGTGTTGGTGAGCTGCCCAGCTCCTGCGCCGCCGCCGGTCCCTCTCCCTCCGACCTGCCGGATAATTAAATTGGTCTTGAGGTTCCCTCGAACTCTGCTTACCAGCTGCCACCGTGTTGCTCACACGCACACACAGACAGACGCGCCTCTGGGCCTTTGACTCCCTACCCTGCCCTACCCGACCCCACCCTAGGGCTCGTTGGTCCATGCACTCAAGAGGGGGACCTTCACAGCGGCGGACGGCAAGACGAATATGGAGGTGCGCGACTGCCCGCCCTGACGTGGCACTTGCCGTGTTTGGCGTGTTTGGTTGCGGGGGGAAGGGGGAAGCGCACGCTTTCCTCCGTGGCTTGCGCCTCGGTGTCATCTCTTATCGGCTCGCGGTCCGATGCCTGGTCGGTCGGGCAGTCCGCTGCAGCTTTCAGAGTTCGCTGTGTGCGAGGTCATGGACCTGGCCCATGTCCTGCTCTCCCGCCGCGCTTTCCCGCCTGCACCCGTGACTGTCCTCCACTGCCGTCCTCCACTACCACCCGTCCTTCTGCGCTCCTGTTACAGTTTGTGTACATGTGCCTGCTGGAGATTGCGCTGGCGCTGCGGCACCTGCACACCGCCAAGCTCGCCCACTGCGACCTCAAGCCGGGTAATGTGCTGCTGAGGTCCAGTCCCAGAGATCCCCGCGGCTTCGTGTGCAAGCTGGGTGACTTTGGGTGAGTGTCCGATGCGTCGCTGAGCCGGATGTTTGAATGTATGAATATATGTACATATGTATGTATGGGTGTATGTATGGGTGTATGTATGTATTTATGTATGTATGTATGTATGACTCAGATTACACTGTGGGCCGCGAGAGCCGGGGGCCGAAGCCGACATGTATGATGTGTGAAACAGGGGGGTGTATCTTCGCCCGTGGCAGCTACCCTGCGAAACCCTGCCTTCCCCGGTATTTCGGGGCACCCTCATCCAGTCACCCTAGTCAACTTCTCAGTGGATCGCTCAGGTTCCGCACCCACCACCAGCATCCAACCGAATCTGCCGGGTCGACAGCGGCCCAACTTCGTTCCTGGTCGGCTCGCAGGTTCACTTTATCCCAGGTCACCACCGTCCATCAACTAGGGGCGCAATGCCTTCCACCATCGGAAGGACTTTGACCCTAATGGGTATCGATCCCGGGGGCAATGGTCGCGCCTTACCAGTAGTGCCAAACCCTATATAATGTATGTATGTATGTCTGCTGCAGTGTCAGGCAGGGCCCTGTATGGGGCCTCGGTGTACGCGGGTGGGGCATGTGGAGTGACCAGGGACATCGTTCGGCGGCGACTCTCCGAGACCTGAACATAGCGCCAGTGATGGCGGCTCCCCCAACAGTGTCCTTAACACACACTTGCTGAGGCAGCCAGCCTGTCGCCAGAGAATCTAGGGTTTTACCGACGGGCTTGTGGGCCCCATGTATCCTGTCTTGGTCGGCCGTTCAGCAGGTGTTTTGCTCTGGACCCGCGTCCTGGTCTCAACTCCCTTGCGGGCTCGTCAGGCTCGTCCACCGGGGTGGCACTCAAGCACCTCGCCATCCCTTCGTCTGCTGCAACCGTTGCTGCGCCCCTCTTCCCCCTCTCTTCCCCTTCCCCCTCCCAACCCCGCCCTTCCCGCCACCTGGGTATAGCTACGCGGCCATTCTGAAGGACGGATTGCTGCCGGGCCGGCCTGCTGTATTGCCGGACGAAGCCTGCGGTACACTGCAGTACATGGCTCCTGAGCTGTTCGTGTCGGGGCGGCCCGTGGATGCCAGCATCGATGTTTACGCTTTCGGTGGGTTGAGGTGGCTGGGGTCGCTGGGTGATGTGCTTTGTTATAGAAATACAACTTGGAGCGGGTGGGTGTTGGGGTAGCTAACATACTGTCACGGGCGATGTTGGCCTATGTATGTGTCTGATGTGTGGGACAGGGGGGCATATCTTCACCCGTGGCCGCTACCCGGCGAAACCCTGCCTTCCCCGGTGTTTCGGGGCACCCTCATCCAGTCATCACCCTAGTCAACTTCTCAGTGGATCGCTCAGGTGGACCGCACCCACCACCGGGTGGGGCGGGACATTGCACGCAGATGCAATATCCCTGGAGCATCACGTTAATCTGTTCATGAACACAACAGGGCGCTTCACCGCGTTATGCGCCAATGCACCCACCGGCATGTGCCGCGTCAGCGTATTCAGGTCTGATCAGTTAGGAAGTTGGTTGCTGCTGGTTCCGGAGCCATGCATGCTTCTGCGTCACGTTTCGGCGGTTGATATCGCATGAATGGGGCACACGAGCTGGTTGTTTTGGTAATCCCCTTACCGTTTCCCGTACATCGTACCCCGTACCCGCCGTTACTCCTTTTGCGGTATAGGCATGCTGATGTGGGAGCTGATTACGGGCCGTACGCCGTACAGCGAGTGCGACTATCCCAGTCGGTCGTTGATGAAGGCGGTGTACCACGGCAAGCGGCCCAGCTTCCCAGGCAACACGCTGTCCGCCTACAGGTGGGGTGCGGACCCGCGTAGTGCATGAGTGTGTGTGAGGGGGGTTGTTGTGTGGGTATGTGGGTTGGGGTGAGGTGAGGGGGGAGGCGTGGGTGTTTAGGTGTGCTAGGAATAACCGCTCGGCGGGGAGAACGTGGCGGACATGTCACATTGGTGCTGTGTCTGTCCCGCTTCCGCACCGCACCACTGCTGCCTGATGATGTCGCTGCCGCCCCCCTCCCCCTCCCCCCCCGCAGAAGCCTCGCAGTGTGCTGCTGGTCACCCGACCTCAACTCACGGCCCAGCGCCTCGGCGCTCGTCAAGCTACTCCGCCAGCAGCTCGAGAGCTTGAAGCATCAATCGAGCACCGGCAGCTCCTCAGCCCCGCCAGCGGTGGGACCCCGGGCACATGTGTGAGCATTTGCTTGCCGAGAGCGGCCCGCTGCCGCCAGAGCGGCCTTGCGGGCCCAGAGGACGTGCAGGAGGGAGGAGGACAGATTTGGGTCAAACGTATTTATACGGGTGAAGTTGTGATTTCTTTCCTTGTTCGGTGTGGGCCGGCATGTATGTATGTATGTATGTATGTATGTATGTATGTATGTATGTATGTATGTATGTATGTATGTATGTATGTATGTATGTATGTATGTATGTATGTATGTATGGCAGGCGGCTGGCAGAGGTTAAGGCCTGACTTCTGCTCCCGGAGTGTCCGGGTTCAAGTCCGTCTGCCGACTCCTCGGGGTTTTGAGGAGTGTTGGGAGGTGGCCCCCCATGTTGTGGACGGTGTAGGACGTGATTATATCAACTTGTGAGCTGACCAGGAAATAAGTTGAGGCGCCGTTGATCCGCTAGATTTGGTTGGATGCTGGTGGTGAGTTGCTAAACCCAACGAATACATTCTGAAGTCGGACGGGGTGAATGGATTAGGGTGCCCCTCTCGCAGGGGAGAGCAGGGAACTGCCTCCAAGGGAAAGGGGGCCGCTGGTGAAGCTATACCACCCTGTAACATCATACATGTATGTATGTATGTATGTATGTATGTGCTTTGGATTTCCATCCCTTTTAGGGAGGCGAAGGTGGCATCCACAGTGGTGGTGCGTTATTTCCGCTCATACGTACGCGCATGGGGCATGGTGGAGGACAGGGCCCTCAGGCAATGAGGGGGTCCTCGCCCCTCCTTCAGCCTCCAAAGGGTTTGATGTAGCTGCGGCGTTGCGATATATATAGCTCTGTGACCATGTCGATCATCGGCGTTGGCGAAGTTGACCGTTAGCGGTGGTGGGGCTGGGGGTGGTATTGAGCGTGGCGTGAGGTGTGTGTTGCGTGGAGTTTCGATGGCACCGTCAGTCGGCGAGTGGTGGCATCCTTGTACGGCGCTGCAGCGCCAGGAAGCAGCATTGTATGCGCCTGCGTAGATGTGTCCCCTTTGAAACCGTTTCGGAGAGCCATCGCCGCCCTTTTGTGCGAATGAGGCGGTGTGTGTGAGGCGGTTTGTGTGAGGGGGAGGGGGGCCTGTAGCGGCCATTTCGACGGGGCCCGCCGCAGCCTGATGCCGTGTGTGAGCCCGACCGGTGCATCTTTACCTTGGATGTCCCGCAAGAGTTGAGGTTGGGTTGGGTTGAAATTTTTGTCGGTGATATGTGGGCATATCTTCACGGTTGGCAAAGTAAACGGTGATAAACATTTTGCAGCTTGATTAGATTATTTCTCCCGCAGCGGACTTTAGATGGCCTGGTGGTAGGTGTGTGTGTGTGTGGGGGGGGGGGGTAGGGCGCACGGCAATGGGAGGAGAGGTCCATCATTGCCGCAGCAGCCGCGGGGGCACCTTGCCAGCCACCGCAGGGTATTCCCGTACCCTCCTTTTGTGCCTCGGGGCAGCTTGTATATAACTGACCTATGCCTTTGCAGCAGTTTGCATATATATATGTGTGTATATATGTATATCTGCGCGATGATGTTAATATTAATGTCGTGGGAGAGTTAATATACGACATCGTGTACGGCAGGCAGAGGCAGGAGTTTTGCATCATTTGATGCAGCAGCAACGGCGGCGGGGACCGATGTTGGGATGAAGCGGTTGGGCATGGACACACGCATGTGCGAACACACATACACACATATACACAAACAAACAAACATACATACATAATACATACACACATGTACAAAATCTCATATGTGGGTTGGGCGTTACACACGCATAACACCATAAAAGCATGCGGGGGGTTGCCGCGTGCACAAGTCGCTCATTGATGTCTTGTTGATGCGTTCTGTCGGTCTTTTACACACATAAATACGTACATACATACTTACATACACACATACACGTACGCACACATGCGCAGAGAGGAGCGGATACACGTACAAAACCCACACAGACGCGAGCACACGCAAGACGTATGGCTTGATGTACGACAGTCCATCCTGAAAGGCAGGCGACGCCCCCTAGGAAATTACGCGATGGTGCCTAGGAGTCCTTTCTTACCAGGACAGGACAGGACAGGACAGGACAGGACAGGACGGGACGGGAAACGTTTCGAAATGGAGTGGTTGGTTACTGCACGGTTACGCCGATCGGCGGACATGGAGACGGGGATGTTTGTTGAGACTGTTTCTTAGACTGATTTGAGTTATGTGGTAGCGTTGGTGGGGGCGGATTCTTTTGCGGAATCGGCAGCTCGGCATTGTTCGGATTATTTAAATTGAGGGTTGGCTGGGTGCAACTTATGGTGCTATCGGCATACGATGATGAACTTGTGATAGCGCAGCAGGAAATGTATGCGTGTGAGGTTCTTGTGCGCTGAAGGTCGCGGAAAAAATGGAAACGGGGGGAGGTGGCGAGTAGTAAAGGCGAAGGTGGTGTCGGCAAGCGGATTGCATAGTTTTTTCAGCCCCAGGTAATCTTGTGAGAGGCTACATCGAGGTGTGTTTGTTACGGCGGATGGTGAATTTATTATTGTCGCGCTTTTTGGATGGGCTTTTGTTCTGGGTGTATATTTCCCTTGGAAAGCATCTGAAAAGCGAGCTGCAGAAAGTCTCGGAGTGAGGGTCAAAAGCGCGCAAACAGATACCGAAGGTGTGATGACGTCGCCATGCTCATGCTCATGCATGACGCATGCGGGTGTGGTTCATAAAGGTGTGTGTGGTTGTTACATAAAGGTGCGCAGCACGGAGAGAAGCTGTATTCATTGTATTTTTTTGACACGGCCCGGCAGCTATCTAGAGCAAGCCTGAGCAAGCGCATACGCTGTAACGTCATGCTTGAAGGGGAATATCGGTTTTCACTGCTGTAAATGGACCGATGTGCCGTAAGCGACACGAAGACGCTCAGGTCTCCACAAAACCCTCAATACCGTGCCCTACGCTGTCCATCAAGCTGCTAACTGCTTGTTGGTATTTGACTGCCCTACCTTGCAGCGAGGGCATTTAACCTGTTCCGTTACAGGTTCCTTTATTTGTACGACCCAGACAAAGCCAAGCTCATGAGCAGCGAGCGAAGCTTCCTATCGGACCAATCCTTAGTCATAACCGTACAACTGTTTTTGTCTGTTAGTTTGCGATAACCTCTTTCATGAAACCGCATCCAATTATTAGGTTGTTACGAAAAGATCGGCATCAACAAGATAGGCAGCGCATGCGGTCGGAGCAGGACCTCGTCTTATGTCTCCTTTTAACTCTGGTCTGAATGGATATTGGCATATTCCTGTCGATGGATGTTCAACTAGCTATGGAGTTATCGGTCGCCTGGTAAGGGCTGAGGATGCCGCGACCTTCCTTAACCCTTGGCCATATAACTTGCGGCTTTCCCCACATGCAGCCCCGCCTTGGAACAAGCGATCATATCAAAGAGAGGCACTGCTTCATGAATTGGAAGGGATGTGCGTCCAGTACGCGTATTGCTAGTGTGGCAGCGGGCGGCGAAGCGAACGGCCTCGGCTTGCGCGTACTTCGCAACCCCCGGCTTCCTCGCTATAAAGATGGCATGTCTCAAATATCATGGGACCAAAGTCCTTCCCTGGAAAGGGGGGTTTTGGCTCCTGCCTCCCCATCCGCCACGAATGCTCCTGTCTTCCGCACCAGTCGTCATCCCATCCTATCAGGTGACAACTCTAGAGCAGACTCGCAGAATAGAAGATCAGGAGCTGCGGGTGTAACGTATGAATACCCAGCTGCGGTCACGACAGGATCGGGACGCAATCGGTGGCGGCAGGAAAACAAACAACTTCCGGATACAAGCGTCGCGTCTAGCAACGCAACGCCCCACAGCTGGCATTCAGGCGATCACAGGTCCCATCCCAGGCGCGTCGGCGGTCCCCTAGCGCCGCCAACCCGACCTCCGCCTGACCTGGGTCCCCCTGGAGTCGCGAATGCGCCGAAGCAGCCTGGGATTCCGGCCCGACGGCAACGCAGTCCAACGGCAAATCGGAAACAGGAGCCAGGGGGAGGGGGCGGGGGAGGGGCCTCAGAGGTGTCACCAGTGGACTGCTCGGCAGCCACTGCGGCAGGAGACGTGGCAGCTGACGGGGTCGCGGTTCGGGTCGCTACCGGGACAGCGGCCAGCGGCACGGCATCCATTGCGAACGTCGGACGGCGGACAGATGAACCATCGTTATGGCCAACGACGCCGCCATCAGGGTTGACCTCGGTGTCGGCGTCAACGTTGACGCCAACACCAGCTTCGGGTCATGCTCCAACAGCCCGCGAATCTAAGCTCGGCGGCGGCGGTGAGGAGCGGCGGCAGTCGCCGCCGCAGCTGTTGGAGACGACGTCGACATCGGAAGCCGCACCAGCGGAGAGTGACAGCGGCGCTAGCGTCGTACGACGCGGCGGTCCGCACAAGGCGTCGCCGGTGCGACGCCTCCTGCGCCAGACCGGACGCAGCGGCGGCCGGCGGGGTGCCGACGGCTCGGGGTTAAACCCCCAAGCACATCCCCCCGCATCCCCCATGCACCCGTACTTGCTGACCGGCATCCTCCGCACTGCCTCGTCCGTACCGAAGCTGAAAAAGTACGTCACCCGGTACGGCAGCCAGTTCAACAACCTCCATATCTGCTGCTGCCTCAATCGCTTAGCCAAGGCGCCCGACGCTCGCGCGGCGACACAGCGGGAGACAGTACGGCAACTACTGGACGAGCTGGGCGACATGCTGGTACGGCACATGCCGTACTGTGACGCGCGGGAGCTGTGCAATGTGCTGTGGGTGTGGGGCAAGCTTGGGCACACGCCACGGCCTGAGATTTGGGAGGCGATGCGTGTTGCTCTGTTCGGCATCGATCCTGCGGCAGCGCCGCCGGCGTCCGTAACGGCAGCGTCGCCGGTGGCTGGCAAGCTGGAGCTAGCGGCGCCGCAGGGCCTGGTGAATGCGGCCTGGGCGCTGGCACGTCTGGAGTGCTCCGACCCGTGGGTTTGGAGGCGCCTGGCGGAGTGCTCGCTGACAAAGCTGCATGCGTTCGTACCGTACGACATTTCCAACCTGTCGTACGCGCTCGTCGTTGCGCGCCAGCACCGTGCGCACCCCGCGCACGAGGCGGTGATGCGCGCGCTGGCGGTGGCGGCGGAGGCGCGGCTGTCGGAGTTTTGTCCGCAGGACATCTCCAACATGCTGTGGGCCTACGCCCGGTGTGGAATGGCTCAGCCGGCGTTGTTCTCCGCGGCGGCCTCGATTGCCAGGATGATGGCGGCAGATTTCAGCCAGGCGGGCTTGGTGCAAGTGATATGGGCCTACGCCGCAATGCGAGTGTACGACGCGCCGCTGCTGGGTGCACTGGCGCGCCAGATGTTGCCGCAGCTGCACCTCCTGGACGGGAACAGCCAAGTGATGCTGTGTTGGGCGTTGGCGCGTTTCGTCGCCGCCGCCGCTGGCGCCGCTGTCGTCGGTGTTTCATGGCGGCGCCGCTGCAGCGGCGCCGCCGCCGCTGCCGCCGTCATCATCATCATCATCGTCGTCATCGTCGTCGATGTCGTTGTTCCTGGCGGCGCGGGTGCGTGCGGGCTTTGTGGATCCGCTTGTACGGCTGCACATGGCGGGTGGGCACGCCGCGGTGGCCGCCGCCGCTACTGCGGCGGCGGCGGCCGCTGCGGCAGCGCCATCACCTCTGGGTGGGATCGGCGGGTACGACAGCTTTGCGCTCGGTGATGATGACACGTCTTTTTCGTCGTCGCCGTCCTCTGCGGATATCAGCATGGGTACCTTAGCACGGGCTTACGTAAATGACTTAGCCACCAGCGGCGGAGTCAGCCGTAGCGGCGGCAGTAGCGGCGCGACCGCCGCACTGACGCCTGACTGGGCGATGGACCTGCTAACGGATGATGACGGCACAGGGTACGGCACCGTTGGGTACGACAGCTTTACCGACTCGGCGGCAGGCCGCGAGCGCGTTAATGCCGCCGACGTCACAGCAACGGCAGTCAACCTGGCGCAGTCGCAGGTGGAGGCATTTGCAGCGGCGGCGGAGGCGGCTCAGGTCATACTCGCGGAGATGCCGCCGCAGCTACTGCCGGCGCTGTGCGAATCCCTTAGACCGCGAATCGACACGCTCGACAGCGGCTCACTGGCTGTACTAGTGTGGGCCCTTGCGACATTGGGCCACGCCGACACGGAGCTCTTTCACGCCGCCGCCGCCGCGCTGACGCCGCGACTGCGCCGCGGCGAGGTCGCGACACCCTTTCTGGCGCACACCGCCTGGGCATTCACGGTGGCCGGAGTGTATGACAGCGATTTATATGACGCGCTGGCGGCGTCAGCGTCGGCTCTATGCGCCGCCGGGCTGGTACCAGCAACGTCCCTGGCGCTGGGTAACGTGCTGTGGGCGCTGGGGAGCGCCGGGCATTACGATGCGGAGCTGTACGGCAATATTGGCCGCGTGGCGGTGGCGGTGGCGGGGGCAGCGACGCCGAGCAGTATGACGTACGACCGCCAGGCCGTCAACCGGCTAGCGTTGGTGATGCTGGCGTGTGCGTACGCGGGGCACAGCGATGCGGAGCTGTACGAAATGGTTTCGGAGGTTCTACGCAGCGCCGGCGCCGGCGCGCTGGCTGACAAGAGCCTGGCCAACATCTGTTGGTCGTTGGCGGTTGTGGATCACCCGGATTTGGATCTGCTGGCGGAGCTGTTTGCTGACGTGGCGCGTCGTGACGTGGCGGCGATGGGTGTACGTGGCTGCACACAGCTTTTCCATTGCGCGCTCTGGTTGCAGGTAGTTAATCGGTTGCACCGTACGACACCGCGTATCCCCCCCTGTGAAGTAGAAAGGAACGCGACAAGTTCCTTCGTTTACATCTTCTCCGTTTGTCCTAGTGCCTCCCACTTCATGTCACGTATTTGTTTTAGGAAAAAGGAAAAAATAAAGGCTTGTTGGCGTACAAATACGCCTTTCCTTTCCCGCTGTAAAGCTGTACAGCTACAAGGACTACATATGTAGGGTTTTATCCAGCTTTGTTGCTTTGCCCCCCCCCTCCGTTGTATTCCGGAACCCTAGACCTCCGAGAGAGCTCTCCGCGAACCCGTGGACATATTCGCTGCAACCCTTACGACACCCTTCCTGAAGAGCCACGTCATCATCGTCAACTCTGTGGCCCTCGTCCTCTCCCGCATGCACTGTTAGCCCGCCCTCACTTGCCTCCCGCATCCAATTCCTCCTCCGGGCCCCCCTCCCCCCCCCTCCCCTTCCCCCACCCGGCTCAGGATCTCGTTCCGGGGGGCGACCGTGTGGTGGCTCTGCTGCCTCGTGCCGTACTGGAGGTTGGACGAGCTAACTTCCTGGAGCTGGCCAAGGACTCCAATGTATCGGATTTCCAAGCGTATGTGTTCAAGTACGTGACGTGACATTGCGTGATGTGGCAGAGTGTGTCAGTGGCTGGGTGTATGGGTGACATGGGATGACATGGCATGGCACGTCAAGATCCAGGAGACTACATTAATAGGGGAATGGCGGTTGATCCGCTGAAGCCGTGTTTCTCATCTCAATTAATTTGTTTAAGCTGATTTCTCTTTTGCCCCGAAGTTGGTGTTTATACAAGTTATGTGTTCTGTTTAGTTGCATGATGCTATACACACACACGCAAGTCATGTATATGTGTATAATTTTAACTAGGACGCTATAAATAGGCTATTCATCCCTGGGGGGTCCCCCGACTTGAAACGGAGCCCCCCTCTCCCCCTCTTCCCCCTCCTCACCTCTCCCTAAGCTGGCGCGGCGGGTTTTGCTCTTCCCCCACCACCCCACTTCTCCCCGGGCCTTACTCCCCCCCTTCCCCTCGCCCTCTTTCCCCCCCCCCCGTCAGTGCCCTCGACTCCATGCGACTCTCACCCTCCCTGGAGACCAAGACCCTGGACCAGCTGTTCTCCCTAGACGTGGCCCTGTGCCTGAGCGTCAACGACACCACCAACCCCTCCTACCCGCCCCTCACCACCACGAGCAGTAGCACCGGCGGCAGCAGCAGCAGCAGCAGCAGCACCCCCACTACCGCCGCCAGCTCTATCTCCGGACACCGGGGGTCCCAACCCCGTCACCCGGAGCAGCCTGAGGTGGTGGTGCGTGTTGTGGTGGAGGCCAACGGCCCTCAGCATTACCTGCGCACCCACCCCACCGCGCTGGAGGGCAGCACCCGGCTGCGGTCCCGACTGCTGAGAGCCCGTGGCTGGGTGCCGCTGCACGTGCACTGGCAGGAGTGGCAGGACCTGGGGGGGGACGTGCTGCGGCAGCGCCGCTATCTGAGAGCCAAACTGGGTGAGCTCCTGCAGCAGGAACTGCGGCAGCGGTGGCGGTAGCTGGAGCGGAGGCAGCTGGGGCAGCAGCCAGGGCAGGTTTCTCGCATCATCAACAACGGCAGCAGCAGCATGGACATCGACCAGGGGCAGGAGAGCCCAGCATAGCGAGGAGCATGGAGAGCAGCAGTAGCAGTAGCAGTAGCAGCAGTAGCAGCAGCAGCATGGGGAGGATCGTAAGCAGTGGTAATAAGGATAGGTGGGGCAGTGGCAAGGGCGGCTTGGGTCGCTGTTTGTCAGTCGGGTGGGGGTGGGGGTGGAAACAACGGAATGGGGCGCGGGTGCGGGTGCGGGCGATGGGAGTGCGGGTGAGGTTGAAAGGAAGGTGCTCGTTCGGGGCTTTTTCGAGGGGAGAGACAGCTTTATTCATGTCCAGAAAGTGGTGAAGAGGGGCGAGTGGTTGATTCAGGCGCCGCTGGTGGTTGGCGAGTAGTTAGTAGGAATTGGATGTTGGTTGGTGAACAGTGTGAGTGCAACTGCGGAGCGGACTTTGGTGGTGATGTGGGGCGAGTGGTGGTGGTGATGTAAAGCCGAAGACTATGGTGACTACGATGGTCATGGTGGTGATGGTGTGGTGTACGGGGTCCCTGTTTGCCAGTGCTGGCGGGTTGTGATTGATACAATAGGCCGCGGGAGATAGGGAGAGAATTGACGCTTTTTGAGTTCCGGGAGCAGCTATCCTTTGTCGGCCACATGAGATGCTTAATCTCGTTGAGGGGAAAAGGGAGCGTCGTACATTTGCTTGTTAATGTTTGGTTGATGAGAACGTTACGAGTGCTCTTGCCCAAGAGTACCAAGGTGCGTCATGACAGACCGACAGACGAACGGACTTCTTGCTGACTCGGACGGACGCGGGGTTACAAGACCCGGCGGCTCTGCGCAACAACGTGCGAACTTTCAAAACGTTCTTGCGCCTCTTTCTCAAGTACATGGATTGCTTGTGAGTAAGCGAATGAAATGTGATTGAATGAGTGAGTGAGGTTACAGCATGTCTGATGGGGGGGTTGTTGCCCTGCCCGCACCCCCCATAACATTACACAACTGTATACTGGGACGGGAAGATAGCAGCAGAGGAAAGAATTCCCCTTAAGGTGACGTCGCTCGCATATGTATATGAAAGAATGGATGGATGAAAAGATGCACGTATGTGCCAAGATAGGTTTTGGGGGTTTTAGGGTTTTACACTCTAAACTATAAACCCAGGCAATACGAGGGTCCGTTGATCCGTAGCTTCTAGAGGCGCAGATGTGATATTTATTTCATAGCCATATATTTCCTTACCCCCCCCCTTTCCCAACGCCGGCCCTGTACAATGGTTTTCACGCACAGGGTCCGTTGGCGGCAATAAAGCAATAATTTCCTTTACCTCAGCTCCACTACCGGCGATACCATCACCACTGCCCTTACCTTACCAAGCCCTACCCCACTCCACCTGTGTCGGGCTGGACCGACAACCAAGTTCAGCGGCCCCCCCCACACACACCAAACGACTTTGAACTCGCAGAAAATGGACCTACCGTCCTCCCTAGCTATTGCAGCCCGTACGGCATTGGTTGTTTCGTATGCATGCATATGTATGCATGTATGTATGTATGTATACAGCTGCAGCACTTCCGAGTCACTTGGGTCGACATGGCCACATAGTAACCACACACACACACCTTCATGCATACATGCGCCCGGGGCACACAGTTCCCAGTCCCCACCTATTGGCAGGCGAACAGGAGCTCAGGATAGCACGACGCGATCGGCATCATAACACGAATAAAGCAAGCCACCTCTCAGGTTTTAGAGACGGCCCGCGGCACCAGAGGAAAGACACGTTCAGTATAAGCAGTACATATCTCACAACAAGTAAAACAATGCTCTTCTCTCTCATGCGCAGGAGACACACACAGCACAACAGATTATAACAGACACCGCTGTGCTGTCAGTGTCAGGAGTGCGCTGATTACATACACTCACTACGACACAACACATTGTGGTCACATCGAACGTTGGCCTTTTGGTGCAACCTCCATCGTGTGTGTGTGTGTGTGTGTGTGTGTGTGTTCTGCCTGCAGGGCCACCCGGGGAGCCACCCGCCTGTCTGCGTGTCACCGGCAGCTACCCACCTGTACTTGGCGGCCGTCATACAGTACGGCACACACCGTAAAAATACGTACACGTACTAAAGCGCACGTCCAGCACCTCGAGTTGGTTTTTTCGCAGTGCTAGCTACTAGCCAGCCATCTGTACCACACAATCACCAGACGCAGTATAGGACAAAATTGCTCTTCATGCATAACCTAAAATCGCTCTTCGTGTATGATTGCATTGTTCAAATCCTGCACACATGTATATGTATATAGCTTGCCAAATCGAAAGCAGCCAAAACCACCATCCAGCTCAACATGGTATCTAACACCGCCTGCATGTGTACTTAATAGTGCAAAACCCCCACTGGCCACCATCCTCGTCGTACTTCTGTATTTCCGAGATGATGCTCATGCTAACACACACTGGAACTGGAACCAGCGCCGACTGCTTAGCTCCCTAGCAGCCGGTTGGTGTCGTTATGTTCTTCAGTGTCTTTGTCATTAGTGTCCTCACACACTCAATTGGTTGGTTCACACTACTTCTTCTTCTTCTTCTTTTCTTCCGTACTCTTCTTTTTTAATAATTAAAAAAAACGCAGCGCACCATTTCTCAACTCTTGCTGGAATACCGCACTGCTGTTGCATTTTGTGTGTTGCCTCCAGGTCAGGTCAAAACAGAGTAACTGAGAGGATCTTGACCTTGTTCTCGGAGCGTTCCGACGCAAGCACTTCGAATGTGATCGTCAGGCACATGCCCTCCCCTAGACCGACAGCAGCGCCGCCCTGCGGCGGCTTGGCAATCTGTACGGCTTCCGCACGCGCCTCCGAAACCCGCTCCTGCCACAGGCAGTCCATGTCCCTGCTGCCTAGCACGATGCGTGTACCGTTATCGCTGCTGCCTTCGTCCTCCAAAACGCAAGTCGAGACATAGCTGCCGCCGCTGTCTTTGTGACTGCTGTGCGTCGCGACCGCCCTCGATGCTGGCACTGCCGCAACCGTCACACGGACTCGACCCATGTGCTCATAGGACTTGAGCAGCAGCACGTGCACTTCCCCCACCATCACCGGGTGCCGTACAACCTCCTCTGCAAACACCAACACCGTGCATCGCGCCCCGGTGCTGTTCGACAACAACCCCGGCTTGTCAACCACATCCGAGATGACATGCCAATCCTGGCACTGCACCATTCGCAGCTGGGCGGTGTCACTGTCCAGAGTTGAAATGTGAAGCGGGTTGGTGTCCAGGTACATTCTAAGGACCGTCGGATCAACGAAGACCGGCGACCGTGGGCAGTACGGCACTACTGATTCAGAAGGCTCGCGCCATGGCAAATGCTCCAAGTGGTGGTTCTGCTCACGTAAGAAATGGATGAGGGCTCCGGCAAGGGCGCGGTGTCCCCACGGGCCGGGGTGTATGTTGTGAGTAGGCTCGCCGTACCAGGTGTTGTTCAGCCAGCGCTCGCTGGCGGCCGAGGCGAACGGCCCCAACCCATCGATTACGGAAATGTACGGCACACCGTGGGTGATGGCAACGGGCAGTTGTATGTGTACAGCGTCCGTAGAGCGGGGCAAGGGACCCCGCCATATTTCGGTACGGCGGGTAGAGGTGCCGAGCCAGATTGCTGCAATTCCGGTCCAATTGCGCATGTAGTTGGACATGGACGCGCAAAAGGAGGGGGAGGAGGAGGATAGTACAGAGCGTTGGCCGTTTCCATGCATTGACTCATGGAGCAGCAGGGACATGAGGATTTCGTTCTGGATACGGATGAATTGGTCCAGGTCCGCAGTGCTCGGGTCGGTGCGCTCACTCATATCCATCTTCACGTCGTTCATGGCCGTGTCCACTACAACAAGGTCAACGCCAGCTAATAGCTCTTTTTGCCGTCCCACCAAATAATTAATCCTAGGCAAAGAAGCAAAAGGGGGAATGACTCCTAATCCATGCGTGCTAAGTAGATGCGCGCGCTGGACCCGAAGGTTCAAACGCACCAGTAATCAGAGGCCGTCGCTGCTTTACTAATTGTCGTGACGTTATGCTGTTGCTCGCAAGGAAATGCTGAGTTCAAGAGTGCCTCAAAAATTGCCGGGTATGCCGGTGAACCCTCTGGCAAGGTTCGTCCCAGGGTCACGCTGCCACCAATGATTACGACATGGATGCACTTTCTTGCGTGTAGTTTTCGATACAACGGGCCGAACATTGCTGTGTCACCATTATTAAGGATGGACCTTGTCATTGCTTGTGTGGTAATCCCATCATTTGCTTCAGTGCAGCTCAAGAGAACAAGTGAAATAAATAGAGGGTAGGGCTTCAGGCCATACCTGCAACTCATTGAAAAGCGAAGTTGCAAAGCAAGACAACTAAGTTTTCGTGCGCACTTTTCTGGGCAATTCGGTTAATGTAAACTGTAGATCCTGCTGGGAGGTTCCACAATCGGGCCGTCAGATTACAGATTTACAAGTCCTTTCCGACTTCGGAGCGTTTGGTTCACTGGATCATCAGTCTTTGTGATGATCTTGCTAAATGGCTGAGCTGGATTTATTCTATGTTTTAGGTTTTCTGAGGTGACCAATGGTTCTCGGAACATCTTGCCCCACTATTAAGGGCCTGACATTCATTAAGGGCGATCCCCTGCCAATTGGCGTTAAATGCGATGATCCAAAACGAGTATACGTGCTTGAGTGTTGGGCGACATGGTGTGGGCCGTGCCGAACATCTATACCGGTGCGCAAAATGAGGTCCCGGACAGCGGCATTTTTCGAAGCGGCAGATTGAGGGGATTTAATTCTTTTGACTTTTTACACTTACCTCATTTCAACTTATCTTCCTCTTGCAGCACCTGACCGAACTTCAACACAAGTACAAGGACAAGCACGTATACATAGTTGGTATCAGCAGTGAACAGAACGTCCAGGCGGGTATAGTTATAGCAACGAATCTTAAACCCCTGGACGGTGTGGGAATTGAAAAGCACAGAGCTTGCATGCCGCGCTGCCTCTCCTGTGGGAAAAAAGCCGCGACTGTGCGGGGAGTTCCAGCGCTGTACGCAATGCTGTGCTCTGCCCATACCCCTTTGATAACCGACCCCTTTAACCGATGAGGCCGCTACCTTGGCGTAGGCGGTTAAGAAATTCGTGGACAGCATGGGAAACCAGATGAACTACACTGTCGCTGTGGACACCGGCGGGGAGGTGCAGGAAGGTAGGTTAGCGCAGCTGGTGACATGGCCCCGGGAAGGAGCTGGCCAGCTCCTTGTTGGCTCTGAGCCCAAAACCTAAAAATGACTGAATATGTAGCAGCCAAGAGTGAGCAGCTCTCGTCTGAAAAAGGAAGCCCACGTGTTGGGGTTGGGGTTGCAGCACGGGTAAATCCCTGCTGTTTGCTTGCTGGGTGCCCGATCGGCGCTTTCGGAGCGATACGGCGTTAATAGGCGGATTTGGGGAGGACTACTCCAGTCGCTTCACTGTAACCCAAGATGAAGCTCCTTTGTCCCCCAGAGTCCCTCGCGCCACGTTTGTGTGACTGCTGCTACTGTCGAGCCGCAGGGTTGATGATGAAAGCAGGAGCGAGAGGCATTCCTCACGCCTTCATTGTTGACGCCAATAACATCGTCACGTTTTCGGGTAGGGAACCCCTTACCCTGTCGGGTCGTGTGCGGACCATAACGGACATGCGGCTATGGAAATGTGTACGTGCCATAAGCATACAAACCCATACACCACGATATTGTATCACAGCAACCAAGTTGAGCCGGGCAGCTTTTGTTTTAACTCTTTTCCGCGCCTTGTTCCTTTTCACCCTCCCCTTAGTTTGCCTTTTACTTGCCTTGACAATGCCGGTACAGGGGATCCGCCACTGGAGGATCCCCATCCTATCTCAATTCACCTGGAGCCCCTGTTGCGGCCTCGATGCTATTTCGGCACTGGCCCTTACAAACCTCACACAGGCTTATTACTTCATGCACACGCCCAATGATCAGGCCAACAGACTGCTACAGATGGCTGGTCGCAGGACGCTGCACTGTGTGCACCCAAATCACGGAATCGCAAAAGCGTTTATTTTTACTGATCTGATCTGCCGCTATGAGCCCCAAACAAAGCCCACATATTTACACAACCAAGCTAGCTGCCCTTTCCTTTCCGGCCTCAGCTCAATTCCTTTAACAGGAGAGAGCTCAAGCTCCGCTGGCCAACCCGCCACACCTCCATGATTCGTGCACTGCCCCTATGCCGTTTGCCTTTATTACATATCTGCCTGGCCCGACACTGGCCGGGGGCGCCAACCCGCCCCATCAGGAAAACCGCCGAAGCGCACTCCTTTATTGGGGAGGGACGTACCACCCTATGTGTTATGTTGTTTTCCGTTTGCCACACACACCCTGTCGGAAACGTGCCCCTCCCTCCCTACCCCGCAAGGACATCCCATGGAACCTGGCTTTGAGTCCACGCTGCGTGCCGCCGCCGCTGTCGCGTCCGATCGTGGCGCGAGCGCCACACGGCAGGCGCTGCCACTGGTGACAGCCAGTCTAGAGGAGCTTCTGGCAATGCCGGTGAAGGCGCTGAAGGAGATCCTCACGGAACGCGGCCTGTCCACCAGTGACTGTGTCGAGAAGGCGGATCTGGCCAAAAAGATCGTGGCCACATGCGCAAATGTAACGTACTACAAGTGCTGCAGTGCTGTGAACATTCAAAAACAACACCAGCAATGCAAGCCCCATACACAAGCATGCGCACAGCATGCTACCTGGCGGCGAATGAGCAGAGACACAGTTATGCGGGTGTCATGGAGGGAGCGACATTTCAAGCACTACAAAACTGCTCCAAGATTCTCTAATGCAGTAAGGACTGCCGCAGCTATTGTAACTGCTGTGTCCGGCCCTTGACGGCATGTTAACTCGGCAGGTCCATTGCCCTCCACAAACGGCACCCTGCGCAAATGCTGTAATGATACGCAACACATGGAACATAGATAGATACGTACTCCGCTCATAAGCTGGCGGCGCAAGGTTCTACGGCTAAAGCTCCGGGCTGCGGCGGCCTGCTCTGAGGCGAGCACCTCCTTGGCGTGGCGGCGAAGGGCTTCTACGTGTACAGCCGCAGAAGGCACCTGCAAGGCGTTTCGCAACCCCGCCACAGCATGCGTGTGCGTAGTGTTGATGGTTTTGCGTTGCGTTGCAGTCACTCCATGAGGATGTCGATTGCGTAGCCCATTGCGATCATGGTGACGGCTTCCAGCAAGCTCTGACCAACCATTGTGCCCTTGCCGGGGTTCACCAGCGAGCCAACTGCCGCACCGATGGAGGCTGCCACAAGAATCACTCCACAGCGAGCCATCTGCGGCGAGAACAAGGATGAATGAATGAATGAATCGTTGCTGTGTGGACTCAGCGACGCCTCATACACTCCACTTCCCATTCTCTTCCATAGGGAAAACCGAAGCTGCTCAACATGGTGCTGCACAACTTTTGATTTAACTGACTTCCTCCCCCACGTGAAGGTTGCCCTCTCATTTCAGGTCGCCCTTCATTGTCTAAGCCCTTCATTCTTACTCACCTCACAAAGACACCAAGAACCGGCCAGAAAGTACCGAGCAATGGCAGCCCACATTTTCCCTTTTAGCCTGCAGCAACCCAGCGGCAGCAGCAGCCCGGTTTTTTCCAAGCCATCCCCACCTCACCTGCAGCACCACGCCCTTGACCCAGTATACCAGCCGGTTGCTCTTCTCCCCCTCCTTCAACTTCACCGTGCGGTAGGTGTGCTGGACAACCGACACCGTACAGTCTGCCGCGTACTGTAGTGCCACAGCGTGCATGGTTGCGAACTGATACGCCAGGAACCGCCGCCCAAGCGATGACGAGCGATACTTTACCGACAACACATCACGGATCCACAACTTGGAGTTCCGCAGGAGCGCCTGGCCAAAAGCATATTGAACCGAAGAGCGCAACATCAAAGCTAAGGAACATAGGGGTGAGAAATCCGCAGCCGTGCTCGTCAGTACAGCGCAACGGTTAATGGTATCACACCACGGTGCAGGGCGCGGTTTGGGCGCTAGCAGGATGGAGCTTCATAAAAAGGAACATTCTCGTGTGGGACGGACGGCTCTGCCCACGGCGGGTAGCCTAAGGAAGTGACACCTGCTTGGAGAGCTGAATAACGGAAGCGCGCGGAGTGTGGAGCTTGGCGCGATTTGCGCATGTCCCAGACATTCCGAGGTTACAGCTCGCGCGGCCATGCTCTGGCCAGGGGAAGGTTATCCTGGCGCTAACCAACCTCCCGACCCCACGACCTTGGACATGCCCATCAGTTGCGGGGGTTGAGCTGTAAACCGAAAAAGACATCACCATTTCCAGGACGAAGGCGTGAAACGGACTGTAGCAGCACCGCGGGGGGCTTTTGGCTGACGCCGTAGACCAACACCTGCATACACTCCTGCGCCAGGACTATCCCCAGCCGCCGTACGTGTTCTCCCCATGCCGCGCCAGGCGGTGGGAATATTGCCATTGGGGCCCGTCGTACCGTACCTGCGCCTTGTCGGAGCCCAAGCGCCACCTGGCAATGCAGCCGTAGGTCTCCCGGGTGGCCGAGATGGAGAACTCCCGCCAGAATGCGGTACAGCCCTTGTACACCGCCGGGGTGAGGTCAGGAAATTCAGGTGGTGGCGGCGGCGCCATGCCCTGGTGGGAAACGGTTGGAAGCCGCGGTCGGTGACTCTGACGTGGAGCGGGGCTGGCAGGCTCAACAGCAAGGAGGCATGTTGGAGCTGGGGCGGCAAGCACAACTGCTGCGTTTGAACCCGCGCCGGCAGCTGCACTGGGAGTGCGGAAAAAGGTGTGCGAAGAGCAGCATGGGTGTCCTCGCGGGGCAAGAAGCATAGACGGAGAGAGACGGGATGAACCGGAGCAGTCACACACGTGCAGGGTGACGGGGCACAGACAAGGATGACCCGCGTCCGGCGTGGACGGCATCTACCGGGCTACGAATGTCATGCATCCCCCACGCTCCACCCTTTTTCGGTAGAAAACATAAAGGCAGGGCCCAGGGCCCAGGAACCGCGCGCCAGATAGACAGATGGATAGATAGGGGGAGAAGAGAGGGGAGGAAGCAGCGAGAGCGGAGCATGCATCGTGCAGGCATGCATGGCTACGCTTCTTGCAGGAGGAGCCCGGAGGAGGGCCACCACCACGCACCTCTTGCTCGGCTGCAAGAGCCTCTCGCTCGTGCTGCAGGTACACGTACAAGTTGAGCCGGAACAGGGCTTGCATGGCAACGCTGCGAGAAGTGGGGGATGGCGGATATGCGGGCAATGGCAGGTGCAATCTCGAAGTGGGGAATCGTATAGTGAAGTGTCACAAGGGCAAGTGGTGCAAGTGGCGCAGGGCTGCCAGGGCCGGGGCTAACGGATCAACGTACACATAACAACAAGCACATGACGTCGGGATAAGCCCGGCAGGCTCCACGCCGAGCTCCAAATAAGTGCTGCGCAAGAGGTGGTGCAGCAAAAGTCTCCGGGAAGGAGGACACGATAAGTAACGACTCCAGCGAAAATGGCAGGCATGGGGAATGATGCCACTCTGCCCATCACCGTAGTTGCCCGCTGCCGCTGCCGTAACCAGCAGCTCGCACAACTAGTAGCCCCGCTGTGAAGAGGCGTTTGTGGAGACGCCAAAGGAGAGGACGAACGCAGCAAATAAAGCAGAGCACATACGGAATCCAGACGGCATTGCGTTTAAGCTGCGAACCACCAAGGAAACACGCCAACGCCGTACGCCGCAAGAACGTCGTACTTTTTTGCCAGCATCTTGACCATGCTCAACGGGTGGAAAACGCGCAGCAGGGGCTTGAAGTCCAGTCCGGCCTGTCCGGAATAAGGGTACATGCACATGACCAGAGGGGAGTTGCGTGGGGAGCAGGGGGTGAGGGAAGGAGGTTGCGATTCTAGGGCGGGCATTAGCCCATCTGGGCTCCGCGGCAAAGGAGAGGGGGATGGGGCGGGAATGAGGGCACGTGCGAAGCAGGAGCTTGGATTCCTGGTTTAGGTGCTCACCGCCGGGGTCGATAGGCTTTTTGCATCCAGGTCCACTGCAGGGGCTGGGGAGAGGGCACTTGCGGAAAACGCCGAGTTGGGTAGGGCTTGGTACGCAAGCCCGGCAGCCGCGACTGCGGCCACTCCACGGATTACAGGCGTGCATTTAGCACTGTACGAGATTGTCAGCAAGGGGCTGGCAGCGACAGACGAGGCCAGGCCTGCAAAAACGAGCTTGTCGCCAAGACCAGGCCCGCCTCCATAATCCCAGCTAAGAACTTGTGCAAGGCCTGGACTTTGTAAGTGTAATTGCATAGTGTAACTTCTGCAACTTGCGTAAGGCCCCGCGCAATGTGAACGGAAGTGAAGAGTTCACTAGGTTTGGGTACTCTAATCGCAGGGCTAATAAGGAGTGTCAAGATCACACTCTAGCGATGTTAACAGAGCATCTGTGGCTGCACAGGCAATGCATAAGTGACAGGTGTACGAGTTGAATCCAGCCGTGCTCCAAAAATGACTGAAGCTATGTTGTTTTTATGCTTACATAACTGGCACTGTAAATGAAAACCTGCTGCATATTAATCAATTTCATATGCGACCAGTCATGTCAATATTGTTACGTTCCTTTTACTCTGAAACGCTTTCCAGGCGAAGGCCTACGATACTGGAAAATATCAGGCATTCTCTCCCAACAATATTATGTCAGCATTGCTGAGTAACCTTTGTTAAGGCGAATCCTTTGAGAATGATGACAGCTAGGGTTGGACTCTCCATCATTTATTCGCTCTGGTTACTGAACGTGCTTGGGCCTACATATGGTCAAAGTAGTTTAGCCATTACGCTACAGGCATCGTGTCCTGTCCTGAAATTCTTCGACACTTCCTCGCTTCAGTGCACCAGCTGCCCCAACGTGCGTCCTTAGACGGGCATAGCGACAGCGTCGAGTGATCCTTTGATTCATCGTCATGCTAACAGCTTGCATGCTTGCCTCGGTCGTTCGTGCAGGGGGCCTTCCCAGACAGCAGCCAGCGCGCTTGCATCAAATGTGACGCTACCAGCGGCAAAGCTTTCAACTTCCAGTCTGGCTTCTCCATGTTCCAGACATGGTCGCCAGCAATCCTGCAATCCTCGCAAGTCTGTGCCTGCCAGGCTGCACCAGACGGCTACACCACGGTCATAGCCACAACGGAATCGAATGGCACGTTCTATCAGCGATGTGTCGTGTGTCCCGACGGCACGACGGCCAACAACCTGAACCAATGCGCTCCAAACAGCCGCACCGTATCAATCGCGCTCACACCAGCGCAGCAGCTATCGGAGGCTCTGCAGCAGCTCAGCATCGGCCTGACTTCATCGGCCGCCACCCAGGTAGGGGTTCGTGCGTCACTGCATGCGCGCGCTGAGGCGCAAAGAGCCGCGCCAGACGGCGCTTCACACCAAGTTCTTGCCGCACCCACGCTCTCCCCTATCATGACAATCGACCTGTAACTCAACGACATAGCTTCACAGCACCAACACCAACACTAACAACAGCATGCGGTGCCCGCAGGCAATGCTCGTCAGGTCAACCACCGCATTCACCCTCACCCCCCAAATCCCCTCCCCCACGACCAGGCTTCAATTGCCGTTCCCACCGCCAGCGGCTCCAGTGTGTTGGATCTCAACGTGCAGCAGTCAAAGCCGCTGGTGGAACTTCTTGGGCCGTCGGCCTTGGCGTGCAGGCAGGGGCTGGGCGCAGACCGGGCCGCGTGCAACGCTGTGGCCAATCTGTGCGCGCTCACGTTGTATGACAGGTGAGAAATAACCCGACGGCGGCCATGCCGCCCGGCATACCTACGTATGTCTGTAATCCATACCACCACGGGCGTCAAGGTCAGAGGCTAATCTGGGGCTTGCGGGTCAGTTGCCGAGTGTGTTGCTTCAGCGATGTGGGTCAGCGTGCACGCATTCCTCGCAGCCCCACCCAGGTGCCAGTGTGGCTACTCGCGCACACGTGCTCGTCCATGTAAAGAGTGAGCTCATGAAAGCTCACGAAACGAAGAAACGAAAGCCCATGTGGAGAGGAGACGGGATCAGAGCATGCTGACCTGGGTGGAGCCCGCGGGGGACAGAAGTTACGCTGGGAGTTCTAAATAAGGGATACATGGGATGACGATGATGTTATAGGGTGTGGGCCACGACCTGAGGGGTGGGCTGCTGGTTGGGTGTTTTCCAATGGGCCAATAAGCGAGGGGATTCCCCAGCTGTGCCGGGAGGCCGGGAGTGTTTTTCGTCTATTGCATATCCGTGGAATAGTCAGTTATGTGATCCAAACTATTACCATTCTGGTGTTTGATAGGATTTAGGAATTGGCCCGAGCCCAGCCCGGCCCAGCCCAGCCAGCTGGGGCCCCATCCATCGCTTGCATGGACGAGGCGTCCCCTGACTCGTTCCACCGAAATCCTTCGTCGCATGTTCGCCTCTGCGTAATCTGGTTGGCCCGCGTGCGCTGTTGTGAGCTCTTCTCGGCCCTGCTGACTGGTCGTCCGCTAAGTGCCTAATCCGCTAACCTCCCCAACCCCCAACCGGCGAAAACCCGCCCAACCAGCCCCGTTTCCCTTTCGCCCACCAAATCTTGCCCCCTGCAGCACCTCCGCAGCGTGTCGTATGTACGACGCGCTGGTCAAACTGTTCGTTACCAACAGCGTAGGGGCTTCCCCGCCTCCCCCCAGCGGCACAACGCGACGCGGTACCACCAGTTTCAAACCGGAGACCGGCAGCATGCCCTGGCTCTACTACGAGGGCGTCGGCTACACGGATGACCCCCGCATGGATCTTCGGTGCGCTGTGCAAGGGGGGAAAGACGAACCACACCCCTGTGCAAGGGGGGGGGGCGGTTAGGCCTCCGTCTCTCCGTCACTAGTTCACACCGGCTGGGTATATGGCGATAACATGAAATCAGGAAAGCAATGAGAAAGCTTGTGAAGGGGACTTTGCAAGACGCAACCTTGGCGGCTTGTGCGTGTGTGGCTGAATGCTGCTTAAGTGATGGCAACACCATGGCAAAAACTTCTAATCGCTGAGAGGGGAAATTGTTCTGCGTAAATAATGTCTGGTCTGTGCGTACATAGGTACATTAATTCCTTCCCGTAAAGCGTCGAGCCCGGGGTGGCACCAGTTAAGCAGTCAGCCTCCAGGCGTTTCGTTGCCATTCCATAAATGATATGCTCTCAGGGCGTGGCTCGCCGCCAGGATATGTCCAATATTCCAAAGTGGATGCGTGTGAGGGCTTTTCCTGTGTGAGAGTCTTCGGGTGTGGTCGTCTCCTGGAAAGCGGGGACGGGCCGGCCAAAAACCGATGTCTCTTCCGATGCTGTGGCTGCCAAACCGTTTATCTGTCGGAACATTTACCTTACATGATTAGGTTGGGTGTGTTAAATGTTTATCTGTGTTTATATATGTATGTGTGTATGCCGTATCTTGCTGTGCAGAGTGCAGTTCTCCGGCGGCAACCTCGCCCAGGGCCAGGTGTCCATGCTTACCTTTGTTCTGTCGTCGTACCTGCTGAACGGTACCTGGCTGGGCTACAACACCTGGACGTCGGAGTTCCAGTTGTGTGGGGCGCCCAAGGGGGATGGGTCACGCTGGTACAGGTGAGCCCGCCTGCCGCCACTCTCCCCGGGGCCCGGCAAAGGGCCCTCGAGGGGCTCCCCTGCCATCGATCGGCCGCACAGGCGCGGATGCAGCACGTGTGGGAGAGGGCATCTTCCAATTTCTGACAGCGAATATGCCACGACGATGGCGGCGGTAGTATCGGGGCTCGAGGGCGGTACCTGGGTGTTGTGGTACTCCTGTAAGTTGGCGTGGTGGTGTTACGCGGCCTGTCAAAGAGCTGGCTAGGACCAGACAGGCCAGGAGGATCAGGGGCAGTACTACTAGACCTCCGTCTGGGTTAGAGGAGTCCCTCCCGCAGAGAGCTGGGGTGCCGCGCACACATAGACACATACATACTTACATACATACATATGTCACCCCTGTCCCACACATCATTCATACATACGCAGACGTGCACACACAGGCAAGGCTCATATCATACAACGTGCAACCTTTCTCCCCCCGTTGTGTTTTTCGTTGGGGGTTTGGGATCAGGGTCGGTTGGAACTACAAAAATAGCTGCAGCATCAAGCTGGAGGCACTGCTGGCGGAGGTGGCGCCTGCGTTCCGGGGTGGGGACGACACCGTCATGTATGAGCTGTTCCTGCAGGTGCGTTCCTGAAGGGGGGGAGGGGAGGGGAAGTGCGGGCAGGCAGGAGGGGCCAGCCGGGGCAGGCACGGGAGGTAAGGAAGGGAGGGGAGGAGGGGAGTAAGGAAACGGAGAAGCACCTTTGGAAGCTTCAGGGGCAGATGGGGAGGAGCTATCGTTGTGACCAGCAAAATCGCAAGTGACGGGGCAGCGGGGGTAGGGTGGGTCGACGAAAGAGCACCGTCCTCGTTTGAAGTTGACTCTGCATCTCAGCCGCTAGCCAGTCTCTTACGCTCCCCGTTATTGTAGGGGGGCCTAGCCAGGAATTGAACCGTAGGACCTTAAACTGCTATTATATATAGTGGTGATACCAGACCAGACCAGACCAGACCTAATAGTACACCAAGAGAGGACGTGAAACTGGTAACATGATGAAAAGACAGCGGAAGGAGAGGCGGAGGAGGAGGGTGCGGCTAGCACGGTCAAGCTAGCATCGTCGGCCCCTGACGCCCACACCGCTGCTGTGCTCCTGTCCGTGACTGTGACTGTGACTGGATTGCAGGTGGGTACCTCGACATTGTACCCTGTGCCCGTGCTCATCACAAACACACTCACGGATACAACGGTCGAGAACTCAGGTGGGTCACCTGTGTCGGCGGTGATGGTAATCTAGGTGATCTAGGTGATGACGGCGATAGTGTGACGGTGATGGAGGTGATGACGGCGGTGGTGACGGTGGTGGTGGTGGAGAAGCTCATAGCGGATTCCGCGAGGGCCCTGTCTGCAGGCCGGTCGCACTGCACGCGGTCCGCTAGCTAGTCCCCTTACTCCTCCGCGAGGGCCCTTTTGCCCTTAGTCCGCAACACACTTCCGGTACTCCCATATCTTCCACAACATCAATATGTTTCCTGTTCCGCTTCCCGTGCCAGGCGCCGTGCGGCGCTTCTTCTTTGCGGACGCCCGTCTGGGCTTCAGCGCTCAGTCGCAGGGTTTGCAGGTGGTGCAGTACGCTGCGGACATGCAGCTGCGCGTGGTGTTGAGGCGCACACCTCGAGACTCCATCTACGTGCCGCAGCTCACCATCACGTACGTGTGAGAGAGTGTGTGTGTATGTGTTTGTATGTATGTATGTATGCATGTGCAGGTGTTAACTAACGGCCAAAAGCACATGCACGAGGGCAAAACGTGGTTCTGGGTTTGTGTATATGTGTGTGTGTGTGTGTGTGTGTGTGTTTGTGATGATGGTAATCAGGCACGATGAAGGAAATGGCGATGGTGGTACACGAATCACTTAACCGAAGCGGGCGCCGTTGTCCCCAGCGGCGTGGTCGAATAAACCAGTGAACTATGTTAAGATCCGAATCCTCAAATAGATGTCGATTTAGAAGAGTGACGTTGTCAAGAGCCCAGAGTAGAAATAAGCGGAGGAGGCGCTGTTGGTCGTGGTGAAGGGCGACTCAGGTGGTGGGCGGCTAGCACTGGCTGCTACATAGTCAGCAAGGGCACTAAGGTCCCAACCAGGTAGAACCTAGGAAACCTATCTTCCTATACCCCTAAGCTGGCGGACAGAGCAGGGTCTGGTGGACGGCCCATGAGCTAACCGGTTCATTCACAGGGCCCCATGCTATGACTCATTTTCCTTCTGAACCTTTCCTTAGTTAAAAATGGCTCAGGTTTCAATGAACAATACTCAAACCTACTTCACATCGCGGATGGTTAGGAGGGCTTCCAGTCCCTGGCGGAGAGGGCACCGCCTCACGTTGTTGGAGGGTTGCGCTTTACTCGCGGTCCTGTGGTTTGCTTTCTGCTCCTCCATCTGCAGATACAGCGCCTGGGAGACGAACACGCTGAGCACCGTGAACCTGGACAGCGACGCCGCCAACGTGGAGCGACCGGCGTCCTTCTCCGTGACCTACACGAACGAGCCGGATTTGAACAACCGCTTCTGGTGGGTGCCACGCAGTGCGCTCTGCTGCCGCTCCTTTGTCCTATCTGGCACACAGGCGCATCAGCTCTTTCCGCACACACTCGCCCCATGCTCAGGGCTTGCCGCCCATCTTCAATCTCAAGGGCATAATCACCATATCGTTTTCATATCTCCACTCGGGCATACCCGCAGCCGGCGGGGGCGTTTGGACTTGCCTGATTTGGCTGGCTTGCGTGCATTGATGCGTGTGGTATGTTGTGCGCTGTCAGGTACGGGTGGCGGACCATCTTGATCGTGTTCGAGGTGGTGCTCGCCTTCCCCGCCATGATGCTGTCGGTGTTCCGGTATATCCGCAAGAAGAGGGAGCAGGCAGATTTGGTGAGTGTGGGGTGACGGTGGTAAGGATGAATGGGGTGGTGGTGGCGGCGATGCGCAGAGGCTTGCGATGGTTATGGTGGTAGTGGCAAGGTTGAAGACGATTTGGTGATGGCGGCGGTGGGGGGGAATTAGAGCGGGCCAACTCTACCTGGTTGGAGGAGGGGCCCGGGTGGGCGGGCAGCCCCGGGTAGGCGCGTCGGGAAACGGAGCACCGCGACCAGACCGCAAGCATGTCACCTGGTGTGCTGCGTGCGATACACCAAGGTCCATCATAAGCGAGGCCTTATACAGCAGGGTTCAGAATTTGAGGGAGGTGAGCTGGCGGTCGGCATTGGAAAGGTTATATGCAGCGCCATGCGACACCCACCACACCTCACACACGGCGGCCGTACGACCTCACCGCCCGGCTGTGACCCCTGTTCCGTCGTTTCAGGACTTTTTGGTGTACATCGGCGTCAGCTTTGCAGACATCGGCTCCTTCGCACTCGCAATGGTGCTGCTGGTAGTGTCGCTGTACTACCTAATCCTTTACAAGCTACAGGAGGAGGTGAGCAACCCGGGGCGGTACTCGCGCCAGGGTCTTGCGTGGTGGATGGGGGAGGGCCCGGGAGCCACGCCGCGAGCCCACGCCTACTGCACGGCCGCAGCGCCCACATGGCCACAGCACGGGTCGGCATCATTGAGATGCTCCGTCCCATCAACCGGGGATCTCCGTCCCATACGCGTCCCCGCTGGCATATGCCACGGCACGGTGTCGGCGAGATCTCATTCGTGTGTCGTCGTGAGGGCGAGAGGGACCGCTGTCACCGCAGTACCTTGTGAGGAGTTTTGTTCCAATCACGCAGATGCCCTGTCTAATTGCAACCCTATCTAGCTGACCTCAAGCGACGTGCCTCTCGATGCGGCAACCTACGTGGCCGTCTTTCTCCCACCCCGTGCTACAGATTTACTTCCTGATGCTGCCGGACGACCAGCTGGAGAACTTTAAGATTACGGTCATCCTGGCGATAGTCGGCCAGAGCCTAGGGCTGCTTTGGATGCTGTGGCAGCAGGTGGGTGAGTGGGTGTGTACACGTGTTTGTGTGTGTGTGTGTCTGTGTGTGTGTGTGTGTGTGGGCTAGCCCACGTGGGAAGCGCTGCGAGCCCCTACTCCCCAGCGTGGCATGAGGGTTCCGGCATTTTTTCTTGGGCACAGGGGGTTGGGAGGATGACGGCGTGAGTGGGTGGTTGAGTGCCATCCGTCAGCTTAAGCTGCCCAAGCGCCGGGTGCGCACACGGTCGGGTCACACCAAGGGCGTCAATGCGGGTGGAGCGTCAAAAAAAAGCGCAAAAAATGCATCTCAGGATTCACGATCGCTGGAACCGCGCGGCGGGGCCTGTTGTCATGTCATGCAGATGCGCACGGACGTCTTCTTTATCGACTGGGAGAAGCCTCGCAAGATCCTCAGCAAGGAAGGTGCGTGGTGGGGTGGGGTGGTGTGACGCTACAATCTTCACACGGAAATATTCCTTCGTTCAGTGGAACGGGGAGGAGGGCGGTTGATGTTGTTCACCTGATGTAGGGAATGACCAACCTTGTTCCCTCTGGCTTTCGCGAAGTGGACACGTAGGGGAAACTGAAGGGCACGTCCCCGTAGGTGGCACTGAGGGGGAGTCATCCACAGTCTGGGGAGTCCCAAGGGGGTAATAATCCAAAGGGGATGACGAAGGGAAGGGGAAGAGGGGGACCACCAGGACCTGCTTGGAAACCGGGAGGCTTGGAACCCTCTCTTCATCGCTGACAGCCAGCAACTGTCACGGCGTGTGTTGATATCCCGTGTTGGTGTCCTCTTGCTCATCCCCGGGCACTCATCCGGCACCCCGGGTACGCCTAAGAGCAGCTCAAAGATGGGGGGCAGCAAAGATAAGGGGCTGTGTGTTTTACCCCTACTTCCCACTGTTGGAGCAGGTACCCGAGAGGAGCCGGGCGCAGTGAGCTGTTGGCGGACGTTGATGGTGGCCAACGAGTTTAATGAACTGCAGACGGTTCGCGTCACGTACCCGCCCTTTACCTTGCTGATGGTGGTAAGGGATGGGTTGCTGTAGGGATGGCATGGGAGATTTGAGTGAGCTTGATCGGCTCGATAAGGCCCCGCTGTGATGTGGCATGTGAAGTGGTGGGAAAAGTGGGGGGAGCCGACGCGGCGCGTGCCATCAAATGTGCCGAATCAAGCACCGCTTCCTGCATGTTGATCCTCCATTCACCTCCCACCGGGCCCTACTGAAGGGGGGGTGATCTCCCAATCTCGGCTCCACGACGCGCCGCGCCTTCCGGCGCTGTTCCGCACCCTCCGGCTTTGTTTCCACGGCCGAACTCACAGGTGATGATTCTGGAAGGTGCCAACGTCATCGCGGCGGCCGACGTGACGCCGGATGCCAGCGACTACCAGCACTACTTCGGCGTGACCACCTCCATCATCCTGCGCTTCGGTGTAGAGTCCTTCTTCTTCCTGGTGCTCTTCTTGGGCCAGGTCGGTGGCGACACGGCTTCGCTGCAGGGGATGCCGCAGGGGAAGCTTTGCCTGTGTGGATGCATGAGTATCGCATGTAAATAAATATTGGACATGTTCAGTTGCTTTTCGGAAGATCAATTCCCCAGTGACCATGATATGAGCATGATATGACGGCTCGTCCCTCTACTGTCCTCTCCCGCCGTGCGCTGCATGTGCAGTACATCTTCAAGCGCCTGCTGTACTACCCGTACGTGGCCAACCCCGTGACACAGTTCATTGACCTAATGTACCTGGCCAACATCTCCACGCTCATTTTTGACGACACGCACTCGGGGTACTATATCCACGGAAGGAACCTTGCACAGCACTCAGACACGACGTTGAGGTACGACCGCTGCGGGCATGTGTGTGTGTGTGTGCCACGGTTTCCGGCCTCAATCCCCATTCCATAATACACGTCACGTCCCGAACAGCAGCAGCAGCAGCAGCAGCAGCAGCAGCAGCACCCGAACAATCTAACAGCGAACGGCTCTGTCCTTGTCCGGACAATTCCGCTCCGTCCCTATCCGTTCGGCTGGGCCCTCCCCGATTAGATTTGTGACAGAGTTAGACGTTCAACTCTTTCTACTCGCCTGCTGTCCCGTGGGCTGTCCTCCGGCTGGGCCCGGTCCGTCCCCCTGCCCGGGCCTTCCCAGGGAGCTCAACCAGGAGCTGCTGAAGGAGGAGGAGGGTCTCACTTCGCAGCGGGGCCTCATCAACTCCTCCGCCAACCCCAAGCTCGCGGACAACCAGCTGTTCCTCATGTACATCACGGAGTCGATCCGCAAGACTTACGATGCCAAGATGCTGCAGCTCGTCCAGCAGGTGAGCAGCCGGCATGGGGGTTAAGAGGAAGAGGCTTTCCTTGGCTTTTCCCGCACGTGTAGGCAGCCCAGGTCGCATGTGTCCTGCTTTTCCCGTGCGGCTGGAGCACGTGCTCTTCTGCGCTCGTTGTATGCAGCTCGCAGCGGGATGTGCAGAGGGGCATGGGCGTGCAGGGGTGTGCAGGGGTGTAGGGCGGCCCTGCACCGCGCAGGGGCCCCAGGGTGTAGCAGAGAGGCAGGGGGCCCATCAGATCCAACAGGGGAGGGGCATGCTCTACTTAATGGGGGTATGGACCGGCGTGTTAGGTAATGCCGATCCGCAACCGACAGCAAGTCTCCTCGACGGCGTATATGAGTAATGCCGCCGCCGCCACTGCGACCATCCATTGCCACCACCGGCGCATCGCTTTGTCCGTGCAGGCCACCAACGACTCCCGCAACCGCAAGGGCATCGTTAACACGTTTCTGCGGGGGAGCGGTCGCCAACGCGACACCGTGCTCACCGCTTACCAAGACGTCACGCTGCTCTTCAAACAAATGATTGAGGACGTGGAGCGAAATCAGGCGACGCAGGTGCGTGGCACGGTGACAAGTTACAAGTTACAAGTTCCGCACACAAGTGCGGGTGTGTCCGTAAAAGCCGGGGGCCCCATGGACGTCGTATTGGTATTGATGCGGGTACGCGGGGTCCCTCGTCCGCTTCAGGGCGAAGCGCCTCAGCGCGACGTGCCTGGCCTCCCAAATTTCCGAGAGGTACCTGGCCAATGCCAGGGGTGGCGCCTCAGTCATAATGGTGCGCATGCTGCGCCCCTTAAAGACTAGATTACCATCATACTTAGCCCGTATGCTCTTGTAAGCGGCACAAAAAAGTGACACGACCCAGGTTCGAACTGGGGACCTCCTGTGTGTGAGACAGATGTGATAACCAACTACACCATCGTGTCGTGGTATGTATAATGCGATAACAATGGCATTGATTGTCACGAAGTAGACGTCGCTGCGCACGCCATCGATGCGTGAATCGGCTGGCTGGCGTCCAAGGTTCAAGGGCCCCCCTGCGGCATCGTTTATCTGTTGCGCAAGTGAAATGCCGCGGTGTGAGAGATGTCTTTGGCAGACTATTTCTGCTGAACTGTTTCTTCTCCATGCAGCTAAACTAATCCTCCTTTCCCCTGCTTACGAGGCAGCGAGCTCCACTTCAAACTGCATGAGATAACCTGATCATGAGTCTTTCCAGTGCCGCCTGCAGCCCCACGCGGTGCAGGTTACTGCGTAGCTTCCCTCACTTGGTCCCCTCGTCAGCATGTCTAGGCGCAGGGGACCTCATTCTCGCAGACCTGCTTGCCGTGGCCTTGGCACGGGCCCTTATCCTAGTTGCGCACCCCGGTTTGGCCCTGTCAAAACACGGCACCTTAACCATGTGTGTCTCAACCCATTATTCCGCGGACCTGGGCCCTGGGGCCCCCTTTCCTGCGCAGGTTACCGATCCGACCTACATGCAGATGATCTTGCAGCTGCCGCCGGAAAACGCGCAGAACAATCCCGCCTTTGTGCACGACTATTTTTCGTCCTTCACGACCACCATTTTCATTGGCAACGAGGTAGGTACCCTGACGGCAACCTGGCTGGGAATGGCAACCTGGCTCCCAACGCTTTCGCGTCGTGTGTTGTTGAGGTGACAACGGCTGCATGCTGCTGGTGATGGTGGTTGTGTTGCGCGATGTGGTGCTTTCACCGTGGCAGGGGCGTGTGGGTTTGCCAGCATCTTGCATTGCCGATTGCATCCATGTACTTGTTCACCCCTCCCTCGTTTCTTCCCTTCCCATCCTCTCCTTCCTACTTCCCAACGAAACAGGTCCGGCTGTTCGTGTACGAGGCGCTGTTCTTTTGCGCTATCGACATGTCGCTGCGCAATGTGGCGCTGTCCGCGCTGCTCACATTCATCGTGATCCGCGTCGTGGCATACGTGCGCGCCATGGTCGGGGAGGACAACCTCTCGCAGAAGACACTGGTTGACCGCCATTTCCTCATCTAACCTTAGCCAGCCGGAGAGGCCAGCGCCCATTGCTATTTCCAGCGCCCTTGCATGGAGGCGTGGTGTTGGGTTGCGCGGCGGTGGTAGTTGATGATAGCATCCAGATGGCCAGTCAAGAGTGTGACACGTTGGTAGGACCCAGGAGTTGCTGCTATCTGCAGCTTTGAGTCATGACGGTATTGGGGACGGCCTCATTGGGGGCCGCCGGCAGGAAGGGTGTGCGGAGAAGTAGCTATGGAGCAGGCATGGCTTCCTCTCCTTAAGGGGTTGGAGTGTACTGTACATAAGGAAAGCGGCTCATGTGTCGATGTGCATGCATGTGTGTGGCGGCGGGTCGGTGTGGGGAAGGGAATACATCCATCAACGAATGAAGACTGGAGCCAACATCTACTTTTTGGTGGGAAGAAGAAGAAAGAAGTGATCCTTTGGAAGATGGACTCCCTGACACGTGTCTACAGCTGACGTTTCGCCCGTGTAAGGGCTTTGCTCCGGGGTGTGTACATCCCGTTGTGGGTGCTGGGTGGTTCGCTGGCCGGACATGACGGACTGGACTGGACTGTGCGGTCAGAAGAAGCAACTCTGACATTAATCAGGCATGAGTCAGGCAGGTTACGGTCCTTTTCATCATGCGAGAGGATGGTTAAAGGTTAGGTCCTTGCTGTTTATGGTGCTCGGTATGTGTGGACCCCGAACGGGTGCCTAGGTATTTTGGCTAAGCGAGGCCGACATTACAGAAAATAACAAGAGCCTTACCATCAGATATCACGACAGTATGAGCCTGTAGGAGCCTGTAGGAGCACCGGGCGCGTAGCCAGATCGAAAGTTGATACAGGAGATTACAGTCAACGTCGCGATTAGGTCGCCAGGACAGCTCGGTGAACTCTATCTGGATTCCGCTCGCGGCCAGTCTTCCATATACCTTTCTTGTACTCCTCTTGGCCGCTCACCTGCCGGCTCGTTGACTCCGTTCAGAATGGACCTTGAGCAGCCCTTGAGCCCTCGGCTCGTATTGGGAGGTTTGCAGGTACGGGGTATGCACCCTAAAACCATGTGACGCACACACACAGACATACACAGAATGGACCGTAGTCAGCACGTATGGCATCTCCCGACCTTTGCAACCACATCAGGCGAAAACCTTCAAGGGGCGCGTCGGTGTATGGCGCTACATCCGTTACGTGTGCTTCAGTAGAATGACTAGTCACAAAAGACTTGATTCCAGCACGCTCAAGCTTGGAAACACCTGCCTCCAGCAACCCATGAACATTCCCCAACAAAACTTTCAAACCCCTCGGCCTTGACTCGCGTTATCCTAGACATCTACTTCAGCAGGCAGGTCAGCGAACCTGTTAGCGGCAGCACCCTTGCCAGCCTGGTAGTCGTGAAGCCGATTACCAATTTCTCTGCTGCTGGGCAGCATACGTGAGCCCGTATATTGGCTTTGAGCACGGGTACTTGACTCCTTTCGCCTTTATTACGCTCATCGAAGCCACGGGTGGTTCTCGCTTCTTGCCCCCAGCTGCTGCTTGTAAGACGGCGCGGTCTGGCTTTTCTGTTCGCATCCGGTTTTGTCAGGTAGCTCTTTTTCCCGGTATGGCTGTGCCTTGCCATTTTTTTACACCCATCCTGGGATTTTATCGCCTGTTTCAGGAAACTTATACATTCGCCGACTCCTTGTGCCTGCCTTGGCGTGAAGTATCGTGTCCTTGCAGAGATATCATGACATGAAGTCTGGCCTGTCTGCAGAAACTGTGTATCCGTCAGATCTTGATTTTTTTGCTTTGCTGGTTGCTAAGAATTGATTCAAGGGTTCGCATCGTTGTCAGTTGATGGTTAACTGCTACAACGGCGAATGAATAAACTCGACGAGATGACAATTAAGATAGGACTTCCTAGCCGTATTTTTTGGTCGCAGCCTTCAACGTTGCGCCACGTTTAAATTGAAAATGTTGCATTTGCAATCACAACTGGTTGGCCCTGCGGCACGCAGGCCTCAAGCCCCGAGCCTGAACCGCGCTCGATCTAGACTTACAGTGAAGGCACAGATTAAGCTATATACCAACCCTGGATCACGCGGCAAGATTGCCGAATGGTGCGCGATGTTGTTATTATGTGGTCGTTGTTCGATTGCGCGTCCATATACACCCGCACAGCAGTAGGATGATCGGCGACTATTAATCCTATGAACTTTTTGTCAGGTATCTTGCAGAGCTCAATGTTCCTCATGAGCTTGTTCCGGTCGACATGCGGCGAGGCGAGCACAAGACACCAGCGTTCTTGGCGATAAACCCCTTTGGCAAGGTACCAAGGGAACATGTGGTTGGGTTAGGTTGGGGTTAAACAGTCAGCCTTGCTGACTGGTGGAAATTTGCAGCTTCCCTGCTGCAACTCCCCTGATTATGCCGTGACCGCTCAGCTATCCCGTAACCCTCGTGATACACTCGCATTTGAGCGTTGTTTTCTACGTCCCGGATCACCCTCTATCTTCAATATGTCGGATCATGTGCTTTTTTTCACCCCTACCAGGTGCCTGCCTTGCTGGATGGCGACCTGCCACTGTTTGAGAGTGGCGCCATCCTCTTACATCTTGCGAACAAGTATGGCAAGCTGGGCGACAACGAACTGGGTCGGGCCGCACAGTGGACCCTGTTCGCCAACTCGACATTGTCGGAAGCCTTTTTCAATGAACGCCAGAGGTACGGCAGCCTTTGATGCAAGCACGCCCATGTGCAACTTCGTGTGTGTGCGGGGGCCGGTGAGGGGGAAGAGCGAGGGAGAGATGCTGCACTGCAGCATGAAGCTTCCTGCTAGGACATTTAGCACATGATATTTACCGAATCACCGATATCTTACCCGCGAGAGATACATATGTGATCTGGAGGAGGCGTGGCAGCAGGAGCGTCTGGGAGAGGGGGGTTTCGGAAATGAAACCCGTATCCTCTTGATGCTGTTAGTTGATGGGTCCGCCAATACTTTCTGGCTTCTTACGGATCTTTCTTGCGGCGCCCCGGGGGTCACCCCCGCCGCGCAGACCAACTCAGATGCCCGTCATGCTGCGGACACTGAATGACCTGCTCACCAAGAAGCCGTACCTGACCGGTGAGTGACACAACGCCCGACAGAAGGGGCCATGCAGACAGTGAAGTGCGCCTGGAAGCATCGAAAACCAACATCTCCTTTAAATAGACCTTCAGGATGCATGTATGATTGTCATGTGTTACAAACCCGCCGCTACCTGCGAAAAGCGCATACACTATAGCCTTAGTTTGCTAACTAAACGTCCGAAGAGGCGAGAACGGGATGAACGGTATATGGTTGCCACATATATAAATATAGCGGCGCTTTGACCGCGACATGCCATATTATCCCCGGGGGGTCAGCCAGGTCACAGAGGCGCGGGGTGCTCCACCGCCATTACGGCCCTCAGCAATCTGCTAGCCAACAGACGTGAGGAACGAGGCCAGAAGCACTTCACCGACCAGTCAACCTGCAGTTCACATTCCACGTCACCCCACCGCCACCCACGCGCCGGTCCAAATGCCGGCACCATGCTCCCGGACAACTTAGAGCAAACTGACGTGAAGCTTCTCCTCAGCCAGTCTTCTCCGCATACCGTCTTCAGGTTTCCCCATTTTACCTGTTCCTTTCTTAATCCTTCACGTCTATGAACCCCTCCACGGGCCGCCCACTCCGCCTGGCGCGCGATGTAGGAGAGGCGTTCAGCGTCAGCGACATCGCTGTGGGCTCCTACCTGCTCTACCTGCCGCTGTTCTTTCCGGATCTGGACCTGACGCAGTACCCGGCGGTCTGGTCGTACATGCAGCGCATCTCGCAGCGACCCACGTGCCCCATGCCGTACAAGGAGGCCATGGCGGGTCAGTGCAGGGTGTGCCGTTTGGTCGGGGAGGGTGGAGGGGAACGTGCGTGCTTGCTTTGTTGTCTAGAGCGGACAGTTTTTTTAAGATGTGTGGTGGGGGGATGGGGGGGAGAGGGGAAGGCTGAGGATGAGGATGAGTGCGCCATGCGGATTGCGTTACTTTACTGTTGGGGATCACCCTCGCTCAAGTTCCTGCTCCAGCAACACTGTAACCGCCTAATAACCATAACGGCTAACTGCTAACCGCATATACGACATTCACGAGGGTACTCGAGCTCTTGTGCTGTATTTTACGCCGCGTCTGCTGGAACTAGGCGCGAATCGATGTCCCTCATTCGAGGGTCCCTCCACTGCCCCGTGCGTCCCCCTGTGAACCAAAACCACCGCACATGCCTCCCCCTTCGGTCCTAAAACCCTGCGTACCTCCCTCCCCAACACTTTCCCGCCTCTACCCCCTGTGTGTGTGTGTGATGGGGGTCCTGTGCAGATGCTCTGGAGGTCGCAGCTCAGAGGCAAGGTTCCGGAGCGGGCGGTGTCATGTCCAAGCTGTTTGGAAAGCGATGATGGTGATGATGAAGAAGAAGAAGATGATGTTGTTGTTAACGACTTGTAATGACGGTAGCTGTGGTGATAGTGGCGGTGATAGTTGGATGAAAGGGTGCCCTCGTCGAGGTGACGCCGTGGCTTAGACGGTATTAGTTCCGCCTCCGCTGCGTTATTTCTGTGTTCCCCACGCAGGGGCTACTGCTGCCGTAGTAGTGCGACGTTGTGCAGTTTGGGTGTAGGTCTTCAGGCAGCATCGCAGGAAAGTGTGTGGTGGCCGTTTCGTTAATTTGTGCCTTCTTTCATGGTGACTTGACTGTTAGTGTTCCCATGCAACAGCTATTATGAAGCTGGGCATTCCACTGGTTGCCTCCGAACGTAGAGTAAGGGGCACAATGAGTTGACCGTTGGGGCAGACGGTAATTGTTTGTAAGGAAAAGGTATGCATTACGTCCTGTAACGATTCTCTCCATCTGTCCGCAACTCGGCCGACCCGACAGGCGCCCTCCAGCCTCCTAGACAGGTCAACTCACGTAGGCATAGTAGCACGTTATTACGTTGCTGCTGCCAAGCTAAACAGCCCCTTAAACCTCTCCACTACGCCAGGCGCGATCCGCCATATCCATCCAACAGCCATCCAATATATACCCCCACACGCGAGCGCGTCCCTCCCTCCCGCCCGCCCGTTCCTCCACCTCCCGGTGTTCCCGGGGGGGCCCCCTCACCACCCGCCCACCCAAAGCGTCTTCCCTGCCTCCCAGACGATGCCGCAACGGGTACAGACGACGGCAGGAAGCATCAACACCTCACCGGGCGCCTGGGAGACCATCTGGGTCAGCAGCAGTAGCAGCAGCAGCAGGGGGGAGAGGGGGAGGGGGAGGTGGGGGAGGCCGGGGGGAGGAGGGCGGCCCTGTGAGCGGTGTCACGATGCCGTCGTCCGCAGTGCCCCCCACAGCCGCAGCTCCCTGGACCAGACCGTCCGCCAGTTCCTGCGGAGACCGCGGGACAAAGAGGACGAAGAGGACAAAGAGGTCGGGGGCCTCGGGGGGGGGAAGGAAGGCCCCCCCGGGGGAGGGCGGGAAG